GTATCCAGTAGTTATCCACCGGTTGATCGGCTATCAGAACCACAGAGTAGCGCTGACCCGCAAGAATCGTGAGCTCATCTACCACCACAGGTTCGGTCAGCTGTCCATCCGCTTCGATGACTGTAAGGTTGTGGCCATCGATGGAGAACAGGAACTCGGAGTCACAGGACATTGCAACCAGCCGCATGCGATATCGCTTTCCCTGTGCGATGCTGATCACAGCAAGATTAGACGCGGGCCCACCTGCATAACGACCCAGTCCATTAATAAGCGTGGAGTTGGCGGTGGTACCTATGATGTGGCTCAAGACGGGGGCCACGACGTGATACCTAGCGACGCTACTTTAATCGGGCAGGTTACGGATGTACCTAAAACTCACCAGTCGGAAAGTGTGATCACGGTGCTCGCTGGTAACACATGACAGTCAGAGGGTTAACATGAACCAATTATTCGCTCACCGTCGTCGACATCATACATGTATCCCAAAGGGTCATCAGGATCATAGATCACCAGGGCTCCCCTCAGACCATCACACTGTTCCACACGTCAGTCCCCCACTGCATGCACAAATTTCGAGAGCTACTTACATATTGGACGGAATAATGACTATGATACCAGTAAGTGCCTGCTTGGTTCGGGGCGGAGAATGAGTGTAAGAAAGAGTGGTTCTGTGCGATGGGGCATTGTGTGACGAAGGACGTCCCGTCCGCATAATTCGTCCCATTCTGGAAGATACCGTGCCAGTGCTGCGCAAATAAGATTAATTAAGAAATGCGCGGGTGATTGGCACTGCTTACGACGCTGGTACTCTTGAACATTGACTCGTCTTTGAGCTCGTTCACTACCTCAATAGCAAAGTTATCTCCCTATCGTGAGGTAGCGCTGGTGCACGACAAGGAGGTCGACGGGAGCTCACCTTCTGGGCTGCAATCAATGGTCCAGGGAACCATTCGTTGACAACAGTTGCTCTGTTAAAGATCAGGAGCAAGCTTGGAGTGTCGTGGCGATAGACCTCACGCGCGTTCGAAGCCATCGGGAGCGATGACCTTATTACCTATGGTTATTGTAGTTTTGGGGCCGAGTACGGCGGTCTGAGGGTAGGACTGTGAGCGAGATACTATAGATACAGCATTAATCGATGAAATGAGAGAAGCGAATACGATAGGAATAATCATCGTGATTATTCACGATAGGCCGTAGTGCTCTCACCCGGGAGAGTAGTGGCAATGCAGGTTAAGATGATGGTGAGGGACACATACCCCTCTGAGCTTTTATCTTGTACTACTTGCAGCGGTAGCCTCGAGTGTATCTCGATTCAAAGCAGCTGTACCTCGACTAATGTTAACCAGGGTGTGATCGCTCCACAATCAGTTGTTCAGCAATCCCCGGCGCCCTGAACATCTGAATTTCAACAGTGTACTGCTCTTGGAGTTAGCAACTATCTGCCGACGTATTGAAGAATGAAGGCGTACCACAATTGCAACCATGACTCGGAAAACATAAAATAAGTCGGACGGCTAGGACAGCCAGGTGGTCATAGATGTTCCACAGCAGTGCCAGTGTCAGGTTTCTACGTCAGTTGAAGGCAACTCTTCAAGCATAGGGAAAAAAAAATGCAGATAGTTAGTACTGGTCAGGTATGCTGTGCGAGAAAATCGGACTAGATTTTGTCTGGGAGGAATGGTCACATGCTGTAAAGGAGCTGAGTGCCAACCTGCTCGTGTCCTGGAACAGATCAAAGGAAACATGAATATCAAGTGTTCAGCAGCGTAGATAATTGTGATGATTACTCTGGAAGGACCGATGTCATCGCGGAGATTTGTGTTGTCTAACTGATACCGTCGCTGTGCGATGCGAAAGGAAACTGAGGGATCAGGCTGTAATCAGATGAGATCCTGGAAAGGTCTGGAGCAGGCATGTACCTTCATGGCTTCATTCTCATTCAGCAACGATCAAGATTTTGCTGTATGACGGATCAGCGATGCTAAAGTTGGACTTAGATGCTAACAATAATTCACTTCTCCTGTGGCCGTCGCAAGATTGCGCACCAGCATTGATAAAATAAATCATGTGGGCCAGGTTAGCTTGCAACCACAAATCAATACAACTTTTGGCACAGACCTGAGATGGGTAAGTGGATCCGAGGAATGGGTTAGAAACCGCCGGATGTGAATATTTCAATTGCGGCGTTGCACGGGAATGCAATGTACACCAAAGTCGATGTTGCGCCTTCCCTTGCAAAAATGGATTAGTAACATCATTGTATCGGCCCAGAGCTATGTCACAAAGCAACACGACAGCGGTATCGAGAGCGGAGACTGTTCTTCGAATATGGACATAATACCTCCAAACAGGAATAGCTTCGCTGTTAAACTAGGATTAGAACCTGGTTGCCGCAGGGTGTACTAGTGGTGGCCCGTCTGAACCTTGGTAATGGCCAACTGTGCACCAGACGCTCAAATGTCTCGGCAACGAATTTTGAAGGAGACGGCCAGCAGCGGCAAGCTTTATGATGGCTGTGCCGTAATTAAATGGCGCAAGTCGGGCACCATAAAGGATTGGACAACCGCGCATGTAATGAAATGGAGACTCCGTTCACGGAGTTGACAGGCTATGGTAGTTACTAGCAACAGTGATTGCGGCAGCAGACCAAAGCCAGTTGAGTTCCTCATGAACGACGTAGTTTCGAATCCAGTGGAATTGAAATTTGAGAAACTTCACAGACAGTCTTTGCTTAGCACTAGCGTGGACGTGGTCTGAGGATGTTCCAATCTCAATGGACCATTGAGTCGAAACCGGTGGCGTTATTGCAAACTAGCTGCTGTGTCTGGCGCTTCAAAGTTCAAAACTCCGCGCGTGATAAAGTACATCAACGCGATCCAAACTCCAGGTCCGCTATCTTATTGATTCCCGCACGGGCCGTTCGACTAGGCTGGGAAGGGAGCCTTGGGTATTGGACTTCTGAACCAGCGAAGATACTATGCATGTGGTGACAAGGCCTGACCTAATAATAGCCTGGGGTTACATGGGCGGAGTGGAGCATCAATAATATATATATAGGTCCCAGAATCCCTGATCAATGACTTCCGACACCCACTTTAGGACTTTAGGGTTTTGTCGGACGAGTTCGTTAAGGCACTGTACACTGAACAGCGGGAAACATAGAACTCACTGCGGAAACGAGAAAATAGATCGAGTATAGATAGAACAGTTAACCATACCCAAACTAGATACAGGCAAGTCTGTCTCGTGTATGAAGGGCGTGTTATTCGGACCCCAATTATATTACTCTAGTCAGATGTGCGACCTCCGCCAGAAAATTCACTAATTAAATTAAGATTCTCGGGCTTAAAGCAGTTGAATCCATAGCTAGGAAATGTAGTATCTTAACAGAAATCGTTGTATTTTAAAATAAACAAGTTTAACGAAGTTAGGCGGCTACTAATCATTCAAGCAAGGTCAACGCCAGTGACGGCACCTAGTTATGAAGGGGCAGAAATTAATTATAGCAGCACTGGAATACAAAGATACATTATCGGTATGCAGTTCATGCTGTAAACATGATGCCCCCAGGAAACGAAAATGATTATGATGTCGTTCTACCATATTTAGGGAAGGGGTGATGGTGGGAAGAGTTTAGTGGACATATTAGCTGCTTCTTCATAGGAAAAGCGACCTCCGCCCCCCAATTGCAAGGGTGATAAAGAGTGAAAGATTGGACACAACTGATCCCAGTCCTCTATAAAGCAGTTCAGCTATGAAAGTACTGCCTCTTCAAGCATGACTTACGTGGCACGGGATTCACATGTGCAGCGGTGTCCGAGGGACTTTCTGCCATTACCACGGCAAAACCGCTGAATACAAAGAATCAGTCATGTCTTTCACGAGAGCGTTGACAGACATACGCATCAAGGTGCCAGTCGATGTGGCTTTTGGCCCAGAGTTAGTACCATTCTTGGTGGCTGAAGAGAAATAATGACATACCAATGCAAGAACCACGGACCAGAATTATCGGTCGTCCATCGTATAACCATTTGTTGATTAGGGACGCCAGCGCTTACCACATCGCGGCGAACTGGGTTTACATAATTGAAAGTACTGTTGCCTGCGCTCTGTACAACATCGAAGGTGTGCTAATGATCGTCATCAGTACCAATCAAACATGTCATCGAAATCAAGGTGGACTTACCCCATGAAGGTGTATGGGATGCTGGTACAACATGGAACATAGATCAGACACATAAGGATCAAAGGAAAGGAAAAGACGCACGGGTCCACCTGGTACCGGTTACTATTGACAGTGTCAACTCCACCACTTTATTGGCTCCTAGAACGATTACACTCCCGTTTGGGAGCAGCTGAGACGCGTCTTGAGCTCCACTGAGAATTTGGAGTAGAACAGGAACGGTGGGGGGTTTGAATGCGGTACCATTGACATAGAATGTTCCGTTGGGACTAGTAATCTGGAGGTTGAGGTTGATATCTGCGTTCCCGTACCCTGGAATTCCAGGAGCACCGGGATTGATCAGAGCATGCAAGTCGGTCTCTGCCAATTGGACCTGGGTTGTACTGACTGTGGTCGGGTCGACCTGCGGGGCGCCTTGATAGCGCAGGATAGCAGAGTTCGTTCCTCCCACGAAGGATGCACCCCCTAAATTAGGAAGACTGCGTATCCAGTAGTTATCCACCGGCTGATCGGCTACCAGAACCACAGAGTAGCGCTGACCCGCAAGAATCGTGAGCTCATCTACCACCACAGGTTCGGTCAGCTGTCCATCCGCTTCGATGACTGTAAGGTTGTGGCCATCGATGGAGAACTGGAAATTTGGGTCGCAGGACATTGCAACCAGCCGCATGCGATATCGCTTTCCCTGTGCGACACTGATCACAGCAAGATCAGACGCGGGTCCGCCTACATAACGACCCAGTCCATTGATGAGCGAAGAGTTGGCAGTGGTACCTATGATGTGGCGCAAGACTGGGGCCACGACGTGATACCTAGTAACGCTACTTTAATCGGCAGGTTACGGATGTACCTAAAACTCACCAGTCGGAAAGTGTGATTACCGTACTCGCTGGTAACATATGAGGGTCAGGGGGTTAATGTGAACCAATTATTCGCTCACCATCATCGACATCATACATGTATCCCAAGGGATCATCAGGATCATAGATCACCAGGGCTCCCCTCAGACCATCACACTGTTCCACACGTCAGTCCTCCGCTGCGTGCGCAAAATTCAAGAGCTGCTTACATATTGGACGGAATAATGACTATGATACCAGTAAGTGCCTGCTTGGTTCGGGGCGGAGAATGAGTGTAAGAAAGAGTGGTTCTGTGCGATGGGGCATTGTGTGACGAAGGACGTCCCGTCCGCATAATTCGTCCCATTCTGGAAGATACCGTGCCAGTGCTGCGGCAAATAAGATTAATTAAGAAATGCGCGGGTGATTGGCACTGCTTACGACGCTGGTACTCTTGAACATTGACTCGTCTTTGAGCTCGTTCACTACCTCAATAGCAAAGTTATCTCCCTATTGTGAGGTCAGCGCTGGTGCACGACAAGGAGGTCGACGGGAGCTCACCTTCTGGGCTGCAATCAATGGTCCCAGGGAACATGCCGTTGACAACAGTTGCTCTGTTAAAGATCAGGAGCGAGCTTGGAGTGTCGTGGCGATAGACTCACGCGCGTTCGAAGCCATCGGGAGCGATGACCTTATTACCTATGGTTATTGTAGTTTGGGGGCCGAGTACGGCGGGCTGAGAGTAAGACTGTGAACGGGATACTATAGATACAGCATTAATCGATGAAATGAGAGAAGCGATTAAGATAGGAATAATCATCGTGGTTATTCACGATAGGCCGTAGTGCTCGCACCCGGGAGAGTAATAAGAAGTAAGATAAGATGATGATGATGAGGGACACATACCCCTCTGAGCTTTTATCTTGCAGCGGTAGCCTCTAGTGTATCCCGATTCAAAGCAGCTGTACCTCGACTGGTGATGACTCCATAAACAGTTGCTCAACAATCATCAGCTCTCCGGACATCTGAATTTCAACAGTGTACTGCTCTTAGAGTTAGCAACCACCTGCCGACACATAGCAGAATGGTGGCGTACCACAATTGCATTATAGAACCATGACTCGAATAACATAAAATAAGACAGACGGCCAGGACAACCAGGTGGTCGCGAATGTCCTATAGCAGTGCCGGTGTCAGGTTGCTACGTCAGTTCAACGCAACTCTTCAAGCATAGTAAAAAAAGAATATTGATGGTTAGTGCTGGTCAAGCATGCCATGCGAGAAATCGAACTAGATGTTGTCAGGAAGAAATGGTCACACGCTGTAAGGGAGGCGACCTGGAACTGATCAAAGTAGATATAGATGTCATCTGTGTTAGGCAGCGTGAATGATAACTATAATGACTACTCTGAAAGGACCAATGTCATCGCGGAGGTTTTGTGCCGTCTAACCGATACCGTCGCTGTGTGATGCGGAAGGAAAAAACTGAAGGCAGTGATCAGACGTGATCCTAGGAAGGCCCGGAGTATGTATGTGCCTTTGTGCCTTCATTTTCATTCAGTAACTTGCTGTATGGCGGATCAGCTTGGGGAACATCGATGCTAAAGTTAGATGCAGACAACAGCTTACTGGAGATATGAGATGTTGACAACGTTTACTTCTCGTGTAGCTATCGCAAGATTGCGCACACTAGCATTGGTAGAATAAATCATGTGGGCCGGATTAGCTCGCCACCAAAAAGAAGTCCAATTTTTAGCACAGACCTGAAGACGGGAAATCAGAGGAAAGTGGTCGGAAATCGTCGGATGTAAAGGAGACTGTTCTTCGAAGATGGAAACAGTGCCTCAAAACAGGAATAGCCCCATTGTTAAACTAGGATTAGGGGCTGGTTGCCGCAGGAGGCACTAGTGGTGGCTCATCTGAACCTTGGCAATGGCCGACTGTGCACCAGACGCTCAAATGACTCGGCACCGAATTTTGAAGGGCGGCCAGCGGCGGCAAGCTTTAATGATGGTCGTGGTGCGACCATCGCGATGAAGAAGGTTGTGTCATTCTTGAATGATGCAAGTCAGGCTGAAGTGTCCATAAAGGATTGGATCAGCCATGTACATCATAATGAAATGGAGACTCCGTTCACAGAGCTGGCAGGCTATGGTAGTTGCTAGACAGACAGTTGTGTTCCTCTTGGTCAATGTACTTTCGAACCTATGGTGGACTTAGCACTAGCGTGGATGTGAGTCGAAACCAGTGCAAAGTTCAAACTAACTGCCGAGTCTCCCGCTTTAAAGTTCTCGCGGCATGCGTTGCATGACGTCAGCGCCTCGCTGCTGCTCCCAAAATGAGTTGAACCAGAACGTCCAGGAACGATTCCTGGCGTTGCATTGGAACGTTGATGTTTGATCGCCGCTGACTGTAGACGAGTAGGTTTCCCTATTATGTAATAGAGCGTCCTCCACATTGCATTCCTCGACGACTGATTTCATCTTCTATTCGTCATATGCATTCTACTAGCTGGTAACAGATCATAGTAAATGGAGATGCAACTCTTCGCAGAACAAATAACACAACGATGATGACAAGAATCTGATAACTTAGTAGCAAGTCGCCAAAGTGAAACGATAAGATACACAAGGAGAACGAAATAACAACAATTCGTCCAGACAAAATACCATGGTAATACACTCTGAATCATGAAAACAAGATTGAGCTCACAGAACGAAATCAATCAACTCAGAACCACCGAGCCCATTTCCCCGGACTCGGCATGTTCGGGCTCTCGTACAACAGACCGCGTCGGCCTTCAAATAATCCAATCGGGCTCTCTTGCATCCCTTTTGCGCCAAGCCGCGCCAGCTCCTCATCAAGGATTGCCCCTGGATCATGCGGATCAAATATAGACTTTGATCCAGGCGTACGGAATGGCGACTCTGCGGAGGAACTGTGCGTAGGAAAGACCAGCTTCTTGGGCGTTACAGGCGGGAACAAGATAGAGGTATCTTTATGATGATGTCCATGCGCATGCGTGCCGCGCTTGCACGACGGTGTGCGGATATTCTCGGTATCAAATACAGCAGGGTTAATCCCATCGTCCGGGTGGAAGGTGGCGGAGGGGGGTGGATCGAGATTGAATTTGTAATGCGCGAGGCTTGCGGAGGGACTCATGTGGAGGCCTTTATGAGACAAGGGCGTGCGAATGGGTGAGAGTTGTACAGTATTGCTGCCACCCCTACGAGGAGGCGTCGAAGGACGAGGAGGGGGCGTCATAGGTCGGTGTGATGTAGAGGTTGGCAACATGGGCGGAGGACAACCCTTAGCAGGTGGCTTAGCTTTCTTGGATTTGCCACGACGGTCAAGCGTAGGAGATACCGGCACGGGAGGCAGTCCAATGGATTTCTGCACAAACACAGTCTATAATCAGGAAAAACACGGACAAGAGGAATGTGCGCACCTTCGGAGGTGTTTTGGGAGGTGGTAAACTTGCCTTTGAGTTGCGTCTATCAGTATCAAGTAGAGTAATTCCAGACTCTAGCGGAGGGGTTGACTCGATGCGAGGGCTCATGCCGCCATCAAGGTTAAAAAAGAGGTGATCCTCAGAGGACAACTGGGGACTGGAAGAACTTTTACTCGGCGAGAGGCCGGGTAGGGAGGAAGGGGGGATCGGTGACGTCTGCGCCACATCAGAGCTCTTGACGGCAGATGATGATGAACTAGTACGAGCGTAACTCGACGATGGTGGTAAGGGAGGAAATATGACATCGGCAGGCAGCTGTACACAGTTTTGATAGTAAGGTTGGTGATGGGCAGAACTGCGAGGAGGAAAAAGAGGGAGGAGTTGCGAATATGGCACAAGGGTTGGCAGAGCGGAGCCTGAGAATGCAGGAGTCGTCTCTTGTACAGGCGAGCTTGTCGGCGGTTCAACAGGTGCAGGTGCAGCACCTTTCTTCTGTCGTTTCGTTTTGCGACCAGACGCCGATTCTTCCGCTGCGCGCTTCTTAGGAGCAGTCTTCTTGTTGACTTCCTTAATTTCCGCGCAGAATTCTTTCCTGAAACCACCATCAGTGAAACACTCGAGATCGCAGTCCCAAATCGCCCAGAGCGTGCGCCCAACACTGCGATCACGGGGGACCTTACGGAAGCATATGGTTGTACTGAGGACATGACGAATAGAGTTCATCCACGTCATTTCGCTTCGGTTGTAATACGGATACACGATCGTAATCCAATCGTAAAGCTCCTGTAGGGTGAGCCGATGATCTGGCGAAGAAAGTATTGCTTGGCCGATAAGGGCCGCATACGAGAGGTCTGGTTTCTTCATAGAATATGGACCGGGAGGAAGGGTATATGGAAGATTTTCGTAATCATCTTCATCTGGGAGGGGACCCATGGGGCCAGGCGATGACACAAGGTTGACAATAGGTTTAGAGGGCGTCGCGAACGGAGAAGATTGAGGTGGAGAGGATGAAGGCAGAGGCGACTTGTAATAGGCGTTGCGGCGGGGGGTGATAAAGTTCGCATTTGAAGTGTCTGCAACACTCGCCGTATGTGGCTGATCGAATATCGAGCAAGAACTGTGGCGCGTGGGAGTTGGTGACTGGTCTCGGGGGGTGTAAGAACCCTTGAAGCGAATTTGTATTCATTGTAATTGTCAAGAATTGAAATTTGAACATACCCTTTTGAGACGTGAAGGATGCTCTACGGTATCATAATCTCTATAATACTTGCGGTGCTGAGGAGTGACAGGAAGGGGAAGTTCATCCTCGTGGTTGTCCTTGAATGCAGCAGTGTACGTAAGTGACAGCAACAACGAAAATGGCGCGCTATATAGATGGCACACACCAATGAGGCTATATTGGTAGAGGAATCAGATTGATCCAAGGATGGGACGCGTCGTAAATCGCGTGATTGCATGAACGCGTCAAGGCTGAAAGCTGTGCTTGCAGGGGATGGAGAAGGTGCATTGCGGTCCTTGTCTTTCTTTCCCCGCTTATCGCGCTTTATTTTTCGGCTCCTTCTCTCGAGGATCATTTCCATGCTGTCCATATGACGGAGCGAGATAGCAGGCTCCACGGGCTCAGATTTGACAGGCGTGGAAGGGGGTGGTGTTTGGGAAGCAGTAGACGTGTTTTGACGCGAATTTGAGCTGGAATGAGAGCAGGAGCGAGATTTGCCAAGAACAGAAGCAATACTCTGTTGTGCATCTGCAGACTCTGCAGAAAAAACGCGAAGAGTCTTCGCGTCTTGAGTAGTCAAAAATTGACGCATTTGGTCGCTATGACGGCTCAGATCGTCGCGGGTCAAACCAATTTTCTGCAACAGGTTGGATATCGGTGAAATAGGTTTCGCGGGTTGTTCAACATCCGCCATTGCGGTTTAGAAAAAAGTACAAAAGATATGGTCAGGCAAGACTATAGGAGGAGTGAAAGTGATTAGCAGTTACCAAGGCGGAGTTTCAACGCTCTTGTGCATTTTTGTTCATCATCCACTCTCGCGATCTCAGCCTGAACATATTTAGATTCTTCTGCAGGGTCTATGCCAACATTAACCGTGAGCACACTATGTAGTCTCCATCGCTCGTCTTCGAGCTTAGTTCAAGCTTAGTCCCTTGCAGGATGTTTCAGTCGACATTGAAATGCCCTCATGGACTTGCAGTTCTGGATCATACAGCACAAGTGGAATTCGAATGTCTCACAATTACGGCTCATAGGTCCACACCGCAGAGATGTTCACACACATCTTTCTCATTAATACACTTTGGTGAAGCTTGGGTATGTAAGGCCGTCGTTTGATTCGACCTTCTTTTCTCTTTACTTCCACTTGCTTCATTGGTTTTGACCTCTAATTTTATGTAGTATTCGGTAATTAAACCACGAGATTGTACGCTCTAACGATTCTGGAATATCTTCGACTACCTGGACTTGCTCTCACGAGGTTTTGTTTGGATTCGAGTGTGAGGACCATCTCATTTTGTGCGCGTTTACGACGTCTTGGATCCATCACGGCACTTGTTCACTTGACGGAGTATGAGTCTACTAATGTGAACCAAAGTTAACACTGTCTCAAAGTTTGGGATAGCGAGCTTATGACAAGACCATTCCAAATACCCCAAAGGACTCCACTGAGGCCATAAACGATATGCTGGCACAGATTGCCACTATCATTCGACCAAGAACCACTTCCTGGACCACGCGATGTGCTACGCAAATGATGTTTCTCTGACTTCTCGCGTGTGTCGGACACTGAAGAAGAATTCAATACTGACCCGTGACCAAACAGTGGCCCTAACTGTTCTATATAAAGATTTAGGAGACTGACTTGCCTAGTCTTCCTCTTTTTCTTCCCTCGGTCCTTCGGAAGTCATCATGCTGATCGGCGGCGGTCCGCTCCTAAAAAGCTTGGTAATCTAAGCATCAGATAGGAGATATAGCACTGGCCCGATGACCTCACTGGTGGGTCTCCGGTCAAGTTACACGGAGTCCCATCCATGCGCAATAGACAGATACGGCATCCCCCTGAAGGTATAAGTGCCATCACTTCACAGTCTTTCACAGATCTCGTCGACTTGGGCTTCACTTCACACGGACAGTATGGCGATTTCCATTCTCACTCTCAACGACGGCAATCAAGTCCCCTGGATCGCATTTGGTACCGGTACAGCACTGTTTCAGCAAGACGTACAGAACACTGTCGAAACCGCCATTGCCAACGGTTTCACGCACCTCGATGGTGCTCAGATGTACGAGAATGAAGAGAGCTTGGGCGCCGGCATCAAGGCGTCCGGCATGCCCCGCTCTGCACTCTTCGTCACCACTAAGCTCCATCGTCTGCAGCCCGGCCAGACTGCCAAGACCGCGCTGCACGTATCGCTGAAGAAGCTTGGTTTGGAGTACGTGGATTTGTATCTCGTGCACGTGCCCGGCCACCATGCGGGCCACCTGAAGGAGGTGTGGAAGTCGATGGAAGAGTGCAAGAGGGAAGGACTATCGAAGTCTATTGGAGTGTCAAATTTCGAAGTTGAACACTTAGAAGAGATCTTAGAGGGCGCTGAGTTTCCGCCTTCGGTCAACCAGGTGAGCCAAATCACATCAGTGTCAGTATTGTTTTTGACAATCCCCCCCCCCGAAAGATTGAGATTCACCCGTATGTGTGGAAGTCCTTACAAGCTGTGATCGCGTTGCATAAACAACACAACATCGTCACGTCCTCTTTTGGTGGCCTATCACCACTCTTCCGCGCATCAGGAGGACCCTTGGACCCCATAATCGAGAAAATCCGGGCACGTCTCGAGTCTACTCGAGGAGAGCCTGTGTCAGTTGGACACGTGCTCAACAAGTGGTTGCAGCAATATGGTTTTTTGGTCGTGACGTAAGTTTCGTTCGTTTTGGGTGTGCTGCATAATGTGCCATCGGCTCACACAGTATTTATCAGCACTTCGACCAAGGCGGATAGGATGAGAGAGTATCTTGATACAGCCAACGTTCCGCAGTTGACGGCCGAGGAAATTGAGTTGATTGAGAATGCTGGAGCGCAACGTCACCAGAAAATTTTCGTATGTTTGATCCCTGGAGGATCACTACAGTACTGATCAAGATTCTTTACAGTCGAACTGACATCTTTAGGGTGCAGTTGTCACTCGGTCAGCAGTGACCGTCCTGCGTACAGGCAAGGAAGGGAAAGCAGGCAGATAGCGAAACACAACTGTCTTCTTAACATCATTGTAATTCAACGCGACAATAAATGCACCAGCTAGCGTATCACAACACCCCTACTAGCACCCATGCAGCTGCTCCTTCGTTAAACTCTCCCCTAACAACTTCAATGAAGTCACCAATTTGATGGATTCTGGAACTTGCAAGCTTAGTCAGCAGTGCGGCGTGCTGCTACTCATTGCCTGGCTTGCTTTCTGTCAGATATATACCCAGCCGAATCACATGACAACATGAACATGAATACCGGATCATCCTCATAGATGGTAGTACTCAGTCTTGTCCTTGTTGACGATATCCCTCATAGAATGTATCTCGCTTGTGAGTCACTGGTTCAACTGGTCAAGATTGAAATGACCATGGGCTGCAGTCGCCAATTCTTTGTTGAATTCGGATGTCTCATAATTGCCGTCTATGTCACATGAAGGTCACATATATATAGGGCCGTCGTTCGATGCAACCTTCTTTTCTCTATATTGCCACTTGCCTCACTCGTTTTGACCTCCAACATCATATACCCGGGCCTTTTTGGTATTCGATGAGACAAAGCCAAACAACAGACTTCGATCTAACAAAGTCTTGAGCATGCAACTTGCACTACCTAGATTCCAACCGTCTCGCTCTCTTTGCTTCTTTAAATCCACCTGATTCTCCTGCATAACCCATGCATGTCGATCCCATAGTCGAACTCTCCTTGTCAAGACCTCATTTTGACGATCTCGTTTACCCGGCATTTCTTTCCATTTTGTCCTCTTCTCAAGTATCGCTCTGGCTTCGGATCTAGTATCGACAGTTTACCATGGACCGAACCCGATGTACCTTGCTTTTGTGCGGTGATAGTTCCTATCCTTCCAAAGATGCCATTCCCTCGATCGGCATTGTCACACCGTATGCCCATTTACCATCTCTCTTCGACTTTCATTGTCCTTGCCATCCGACCTTTCATGATATCATCCGACCAAACATTGCACTTTAATTTACCTCCTCCGATTATCAGGCGCCTTTGTTGTCATCGACTCATCTCTATTATGCGAGGCGTGATTTCCAATGGACACGGAACTCGGATGTTTCACAGCCACAATATCTGTTTGGAGCACCCACCGAAGACCGCTGCGTGTAAAAGGCTGTCATTTTACTTAACTTCTTTTGCTTCACTCATTTCGACCTCAGACTTCCTACTGCGAAGCTTTCTCTAGTAGTCGACAGAATGATTCTAATGTGCGAACTTGGTACGAGGTAATCGATTTTCGGGATGCGACCTGGATAGGCGACCCGAATTTGCTCTCTCAAGATTGGACTTTGGTTTGAGTGAGAGGGGCACCTCACTCTCCGGTGTATTCTGCGACTGCCTTTCGTCCATCATTTCTTCGGTGACACCTGTTGGATTTTCTGCCTAGGCTATGGTCTAGTTTGTATCGACCTTCTAGTCGATCTCCACTTCCCGAAACTGTATTCTGAGTCCTGACGATCTCATTCATCCAGTGTCCCCTAGAAACCCGACCCACGTTCTCATCTACCACTGAGCCTATCCGCGAACATGAGGGAAATGTCAATCATATTTTCACTGAACCAAATTCTGGTATTACCGGCCAGTTTGAAATCGTTGATGTTGGCTCGCCAATATGGTTGTTTCCTAACATGGTTCCCATCCGACTCGATCACGATCTTTCACCATCGAAACCCACTGAGCTGCACGATCGATCTTCGTCAAACGCAAAGAGCGCTTTCAGTAATAGTCAGAATATGGTTTGACTTTTTCCAACGAGCTCCTGCCTTCAACTCATTTGTTACATTTGCGCGAGCTAGGCAGCTGACGTGACAAGTTCATTCCCTTGCTAAATTCACGTTCAAGACTCAAGAGAGGCCCAGGGTTGTTGTATTTCTGGAGCTCACAGAGCTGCGACTTCGCAGGTGTATGCTAAGGTATGAAGAAACAAAGTGTGTCGGGGTAGTGTGTATATCCGGAGGTCATTACCACTTGTCCGACGTATCTTGGTTTGTGATGCACTTTCCAAGCTCCCTAGTACGAATGAAGCCAAGTCGCGAATAAAATTAAGCATTGATCGCACTTCAGGATTTAAAGTATACCTAGCTAGCTTAGAGTGAGTGTGTTTATTACTGCTGGTATTTTAATTTTGTAGTCAGAAAAAGCAAGAGGGCGTTTTGAATACTTCTTTCTCATCGTTATCGATACCCTTCCAATGCATTGATCCTGTAGAGTCACGTCATAGATCACATAAGTCACGTCACATGTGTGACCTCTCAATATTGTGGTGAGTCTGACCTCGCTTCCAGTAAACGCGCAGCCATGGTGTACCACAATCTCAAGGGTGTGTGTCCTGAATGTCGGCTTGGAACTGTTTACTGAAGCATTCAGACAGCCCTGATCAAAGGAATAAGGGCCTGCAAGGTAGGTTTTTCAAATCCATGGTCTTGAAGTCACCTTAGATCCTTGCAGACCGTCGCGGATGAGCGGGCCCTGATCCAACAGGAATCAGCCGCCATCCGGGCGTCGTTCAGAGAGGAAGACGTGTACGCGCGACATAACAATATAGCAAAACTTGCTGTACATCCACATGCTGGGATCGCCTGCCCATTTCGGTCAGATAGAATGTCTGAAACTGGTCGCGAGCCCCCGATTCACGGATAAACGCTCTGGATATTTGGGTATCATGTTACTTTTGGACGAGAATCAAGAGGTCCTGACTCTCGTTACAAACTCGTTGAAGAAGTATGTGTCATATGTTATGATCCACTATCTCTGAAGTGACTGTCGCAGTGATATGAACCACTCCAATATGTATGTCGTTGGTTTGGGACTCTGCACGTTCGCAAACATAGCTTCTGAGGAAATGTCGCGAGATTTGGCAAATGAGATAGAGAAGCTTTTGGGCTCAAGTAACACTTACATTCGCAAAAAGGTGCGCACATTCTATATTCACATCGTGTTTCATGTTTAAGACTGGAATGTACTTCAGGCTGCTTTGTGTGCTCTTCGCGTCATCAAGAAGGTTCCTGACCTTACCGATCACTTTATCTCGAAAGCCAAGAATCTTCTCACTGATCGAAATCACGGCGTGCTACTTACAGCAATAACACTTACCATCGAAATGTGTCAGAACGACGAGAATTGTCTGAACGAATTCCGGAATGTAAGTGCTTTTTCTCGTGCTAGCAAACTTGTCATCATGGATTATTTACATGCTCGTAGGCTGTGCCGCTACTTGTTCGTAACCTGAAAGCCTTGGTCACCACTGGATACAGCCCCGAGCACGATGTCTCTGGTATCACAGACCCATTTTTGCAGGTCAAAGTCTTGCGATTACTTCGTCTGCTTGGCAGAGGCGATGCACGCGCTAGCGAGACCATGAATGATATTCTGGCGCAGGTTGCAACTAACACTGATTCGACTAAGAACGTCGGGAATTCGATATTATATGAAACTGTCCTGACGATCCTTGAGATCGAAGCGGATTCTGGTTTGCGTGTCATGGCTATCAACATTCTTGGCAAGTTTTTGGGTAACCGGGACAATAACATTCGGTCGGTTACAATTACTTTCTGAAGGCATATTTGCTTACTTCGCTCAGCTATGTCGCTTTGAACACTTTGAACAAAGTGGTTGGAATGGACACCAATGCAGTTCAGCGACACAGAAATATCATCCTAGACTGTCTGCGGGATGGCGATATATCCATCCGGCGGCGTGCTCTCGAATTGTCATATGCGCTCATCAATGAGCAAAACGTGCGGATCCTCATTCGCGAGCTGCTTGCTTTCCTTGAGGTTGCGGACGACGAGTTCAAGCTTGGCATGACAACACAGATATCACTCGCTGCAGAGCGATTCGCTCCAAACAAGCGGTGGCACATCGACACCGTACTTAGGGTGCTAAAATTGGCGAGTGGGTTCCCAACGTCTAAGGTATCTATTCACTCAAGTTCATGTTAGGCCGGAAACTTTGTCCGCGAGGAGATCCTGTCTGCTTTTATCCGTCTTGTCGCTCACACCCCAGAGTTGCAAGCGTACACATCGTCCAAGCTCTATACTGCCCTCCAGGATGACATCTCGCAGGAGTCATTAACACTGGCTGCTCTGTGGGTAATCGGTGAATATGGTGATCTGCTCTTCGACGGCGGCGTCGTGGACGAGGATCAGCCCAAGCAGGTCAGTAATAAACTCTGCGCCTGGAATTGAGAATTAATGAATTGCTTCTTTTAGATTACTGACAAGGACCTTTTCGATCTCCTGCTTACCACCCTCGACTCGCCCTACGCAAACTCCCTTACTCGTCAATTCCTCATGGCAAGTATCACCAAGTTGGCCTCCAGACCAACGACAAGTTCGCCACAACAGCAGCGGATTGCCGAGGTTCTTGCCAAGCACACCACTAGCCCAGAGCTGGAACTGCAACAACGCGCCGTTGAATTCGCCAGTCTATTCACCTTGGGCGAATTAAGGAGTGGCGTCCTAGAACGAATGCCACCTCCAGAGCTCAAAGCTACTGTAATGGGTATTGGTGCGTGGACTCTTAAATCTGACTTGACAACATTCTGACGTTTTCCCAGTCAGTGAAAATAAGCCCGTTGGGTCTACACAAGGTGGGAAGGATGCTGATCTTCTTGGCGATGAGGTGGCACCGCCGACGCCTGTCATCAACGGCCAGGCAACGCACAACAATCAAGACCTCCTCGCAGAGATCTTTGGCAGCAGTCCTGCTGCTCCGTCCCCGACGCCTGGTCGCACACCCTCTACTTCACCGCAACCCCAGAAAAGTAGTGTTCAAGATATTCTTGGTTTGTTTGACTCTTCCCCTTCCCCGGCATCGCCTGCTCCTGCTCCTTCCTCTGCTACATCCGCTTTTACCACCTTCTCTCCACAACCACAGAGCCAGGCGCCTCCTCGACCTTCTCCGCAACAACAGCACCCACCTGCGCCACGGCTGACTTCCTATACTGCCTATGATAAGCAGGAGCTCAAGATTACCCTTACACCTCAAACCTCAGCTGCGCGACCAGGTGTCGTCAACATCATGGCTCGCTTCCAAGTTTCCGGGTCCAACGCTGCTACCGGACTTAACTTTCAGGCTGCTGTTCCAAAGGTAAGGATCAAGAGCCAACAAGCTGGTGACCATCCCACTGAGCTGTTGTACAGTCACAACAACTGCAGATGCTTCCCATGTCAAATTCCGATATTCAACCAGGTACCACGGAAACTCAACAAATGCGTGTGGTGGCGCCGCCTGGTGTATGTATCCTTTGTTTCTTAATGTTAAAATCACTTTTCTGATTTTTATACAAAAGTCCAATATACGGCTACGGCTACGTGTATCATATACCCTTGCTGGTCAAGCAGTCCAAGACCAGATAGATTTCTCGGGTTTTCCGCCAGGGTTAACAGGTAGTGGTTAGCTTGTGGTTAGGGTGCACGGCATTCGCTATCTAAGCTGTCGCGCAGTGCTAGTGATATCAGTATCTGAAACACACTTGGTCTATGTGTTGCATACTCGGACAAAATATGGATATTACCGGCTATCCTCGAGCTTTATCACGACAAGAACAAGAGGTAACACCTTGGATACGAACTGATTCAGTGTTAATCGTAATAACACACGATCTACTCACTATATTGAATGTCATGAGACCATGCCAATTGTTGAATCGACAAGGGATCTTCATAGTACATACGTAAGATTGAGAATTCGACAAGAGGCGAACACGCACCGTCCCTAAGCCACACGTCAACTGAAGGGGGTTCCCTCTTACGAATTGGGGGATCTCTCAGCAATTCCAAGGTCTTGAGACGAGGGCAACGATTGATGATGGCAATGGCGATGTTTCTTTCAGCTTGTGATCCCTCGAGGTCTCGCTTTACTCCCCAATGGATATGTTCCAGTGTCGGGAACAATGCTACCCACCCAGCTAATGCGGCAGTGAAACTAGACGAGGGTAACTCTTCATTTTGGCCCTTCCAAACAATCGTGAGGGATGCAATGGGCGGCATCGCCCTCTCCGAATCTGCGCTGCTTTGTGACAGCAGCCAAGACATATGTTCCGTCTTGATTGCTATTGAGGTTACGTAAATTTTGTCTCTGGCTACCATCGCGTCGAGACAGTCGTTCAAGGATGAGATGTAACCATCCGCATCAGGGTCGCTGATATTTATATGTTTCAGGACTTTGAAGCTAGGCTGAAGACGAAGGATGTGCCCGATGTCATTCGGCAATCCCACAAGTGTCCTAAGTCTGGGGAGGGCATTGAGGGTGAGGACCGATTTGTTCTGTGTCTCATTGTCCTCCAAGGAGAGGCCTTTCGTGGTCAGTGAGGTGAGCCCGTTATGACGTCGTAGAAACTGTGTCAAACATTGAAGCGACAATGAATTGGAGGAAATAACAAATTCTCGAAGGTGGCGAAGGCGGAGCATTGATAGGATATGGGCCCACTTTGGCGCATTGCGAAAGCGAAGGTCAAGTGTTAATGAAGTGATGATAGAATCATTGAGTGTCCGAATGGTCCATGTGCTCATAAATGGTGCGAAGAAGTAGTCTGTTGAAAGGTTGACTGTCTTCAATGTTGTGAGGGAAGGCGTTATTGTGATCCAGTAATTCTCGTCACGATTGTAACGACGAAACAATTTCCTGCAAAATCTGGCAACAGTCTGGTGGTAATAAGCAAGTAGGTAGGAGAAGGGGAGAAGAGAATAGACTTACATCCACGGTGCTGACCACGCCTTCCAAGCGTAAAGCGCGAGTTAGATCTGTTACTCCTGGAACCCATGCTCTGTCTGTGTGCCCCCCAGTTATGAGCATGTCTTCGCATCCCTGTTTCTTGATGACAATCATTAGATCTATGAGCCCAAATATGACATGTCTCGAGTATGGCTCCATGCCACGCCCGAAGCGTAAGTGAAGGTTGCGAAACGGCTCCAACTTTGAGATGAAGCGTGTAAGAAACCTGAGTTGGGGATAACTGTTGACCGTACAGCAGACGGAATTACATTTCTTCACCCAGAGTGCCAACAAAAGCCCGCGTAATGCAGCTATGGTTGGCTGGCAGATACTGGCGGGTGCGTTCGTAGGGCGTTGACGCCGGCGAACCGATCGAAGTAGACGGTGAGTGCAGCAAAATGAAGCTGCTTTGAGACGATGCAAAGCACTAGAAGTTCTTCATTTGTTAGATTCTTGGATATATGTACATAAGAGTTCGCTCGGAAGGTCCAAAAGACGGTAGCATCGTCGCGGTTGCGATAGCTGAGAACACGGCAATGAGCACACGATGTGGATGGCAGGCACCTTGGCTCACAGCCACTACACGGACTCGTGCCATGTATCTTCTATTGCCCACGCTACAAACCCCTGTCATTGAGTGTATAGTCAGGTCGCATATATATGCTTGGTCCAGGTACGCCGAGGCCTCGGAACGACCTGATCCAGAAATGTGACTACTATTCTCAGATCGCTCGTTGCAGTATCTTGGGACCACCGGACTTGGAGCACTTCTAATAACTTAGAGATCACTGGACCGGGGACCCCCATACATGAAAGTTTCTATTGCCAAGGTTTGCAATGGAAGACATTTCCAGACCATTGTACATTATCTTTTGATATATCTACTCACATGGGAGGGCAGATCTGACACCGATCGCAACATAAACCATGAACTAACATACCATATTTCCGCCAAAGAGTGTCAATGGCTGGAGTATCCAGTCCAAGGCCACCCATGTCAATGGGTGTAGCACAAAATACTGGTTGGGCAGCACAGAACGAGATTTCATAAGCGCAGGTTGCGATGACCACCCGCGTCACTAGGAACGGCAAGGTCTTCATCTTTGATCGAAGGCCAGAATAAGATGGCATGGTCCACGAAGCACTTCTTTCGTTCTCATGCAGCCCGAGAAGCCGAGCAAAACTAGTAAACACTTTTGCGCAGTTTATTTCTCGGACTCCCACAGTGACAATTTGGTGATGGCTCGTAAATCGAAGAAATAAAATGGCAGAATTGAGTGGGGCTAGTGCCAGGTTGTGTGCTCTGTGGACACGGTCAGTTTCCAATCCAAGTGCTTGGGGATTGACAAACATTGCTAAGAAACAAGAACGTAACGCACCACCATACAAGCGCTAGTGTTCCTATCACGCCACAAGGAAATAAGGATACGCCTTTACTAATAGGTAATGTTTGTAGTAACATAAGTGGAAAATGTGTGAGTAGCAGCATCGCCAAGCACACGAGAGAGACGATCAAATGTTGGTCCACGCTACAATTCAAAAACACCTTCCGAGACTGATTCCCTCTTATTTCCGCTAGCCATATCAGAGTAGACGATCTCTGTCTGCATCTCCTCCGAGTCCTTGGTGTGTACCAAATTAACTGGTTGCATGCTATACGTTTCCTGTTCGCATCGCCTTGCGAAGTGGCCGGGGATGATAGCCCTCGATTCGGCGGACTTTAAGGAATTACCGCCTACCTGAAAGTGTACTTGCAAGATGATGAGGCAGAAAGCGGTTCCCTAAATAAAATTTTGAAACTGCCTGCGTCTTAGTCGAGTAGTCTTACCATGATGGGAGGGATAATGTTCACCGCGAGAAATCTGGCGTTGGATCCTGACAGGAATGTTAGAAGAGATGCGAGGAGACTCGCGGCATAGATAGTCCCGCTTTCGATGATGGCGATGAGAACAGGTAAAAGAACAGAAACCCCGCCTGGTATGGCACGACGAGTGCGATAGATGCGCCAGGAAATCAAAGCTGTTGTTGATATCGTTTGGTTGTTAGGAGCTTGCAGATTAGCTACGGAATATATGAACAGACATACCACTGCACGCCGCACTGAGGAGCATAGTTAATATATAGAATGAGGTGACACACCAAGCCCCAGCAGTTGAAATAGGAGACCCTATGGGGGTTTGAGAAAGGTCCCAGGTAACATAAGATGCAAGCCCTGCAAAATATCGTGGGATTAGACGAGGGTTGAATAATGTACCACCCAAAAAACCTACCCGCATTGGTTAACAGCACAGTAAAACCAGGAATGGCTATTGAGAGCCTTCTGTGATTGAGTACATAACATCGCCAGACCTACTGCCGTACTCAAAGGAGAGGATAACATGTCAAGTGGAGAACCTCACAATGACACTGTCGGCTAGAATAGTTTGCGCAGCATAAACCATCGTTTTTGAGACTTCGAATGGTGAAGAAAGGATGGAGAAGTAGGCGTCTGCACCGATTGTATGCACATTGAATATGAATGCTTCTAATGCTTCAACAAAATCGATGAGTAGATGCTAAAAGTGAATGTGTTTAAGTAATGTCCAAAGGGTTTTATGGTACTCACAGTTGTCGCAAATAAAAGCAGCAAGGTCGCCACTGGGAGAAGGAGTCGTCGTTGAGATTTATCGAGTACAAGTAGAATGAACAGTGTTAATAGGTACAAAGAGAGGAATACGCCTGCTTTAGATCATCAATTCCGACACCACTCTTCCACCACTTGGCAACGCACCATAAAGTAAGGTCTCGAGAAATAAAGATAAGAGCATAGTTTTGTCTAAGGGTATGTTCTCCATGCTTGCCACTTATGGTCAGCCTTGTGATCGAGTGAGTGGGATTAGGAAAACCAGTGACTTGTGAGTTTGACAAGAATATATAATTCCGATCCCTGAGGAAGAATCCCAAGAAACCACAATTGTATCATTGAGGCTGTCCATGAGAGTCCGGGGGCTAAGAGGGTGATCTAGAGGTACCTGCGATCATCGATATCAATACATGAAACACTTCATATTAAAAGAAAGGGTAGTCGACTCGTAATGCATCCGCCCATCTTGATGCCAAGCTTGTTCTATCATTGGAGTCTCAACATTACGTAATATTACCTTGCTTGTCAAGGTAACCCTAAAATTTATCACGTGTTTGCGAGAAAGAGGACAGTTGAGTCGGTACATGATTTTGCACGCGCTCTATCATACAATAGTACTCGGATGCCGCCTCCACTTCTCTCGACACGGCGGCTGGGAAGGAACCTGGGACTTTTTGTGATGCCGTGGACAATTTCTAAGATCAATCAATCAAGATCCATGGTTGTACTGGAGTCTGCGCATTTATTATTATTCGTTCAAACGGCCATACTTATACTGAATTAGCTAACAGGCTAGTACAAATCCGAAGTGCTGTATCAGATCTTTCTCGAAGCAGATTGATGAGCCTGATCAAGGGCATCATTCTAGCAGCCGGTAATTGGTCAATGGTAGTCTATTTATGCACTGCAGGTGAAATAGAATTGGCCTTGCCAGTGCTTAAAAGTTCATCGTGCAATCTTTCCGACAACACTCGGTTCAGTACAAGGTCCCAATGTAAGCTCTATTGTCCACCAAAATGTTTGAGCTGACGATCACTCACCAGACACTAGAGGATTATTCTCACTGTTGGTAGCGAGATGCATTCCGCCACAGAGTCGCTCTACTTTCTCCCAACCGACGAATCGGAGCGCAAGAGGTCAGACCATAGCTCTTGACCTGAATTGAAATTGAAGCCTCTGATTTCATAGACTTGATCTTCAAAACGAGGTCTTTAGAAAGGCTTTAGGGAACCGTATTGTATTTGCTCCCATCGAACTTCACGCGGGAGACAAGGTACTTGACAGTGGGACTGGCTCAGGTTTGTGATCGTCTGTGATTCGTCTATTCGTCTGACTATTTAATTGTCAGCATCTTGGCTCCTCGACTGCTATAATGCCAAGAAAGATGCTACTTTCTATGGAATTGACCCGAAGACAGACATTTTTCCAAGGCTCGACGATGAACAGAAGCGGCGGATCCACCTGGATGCGGGGAGTGTTTTACAGCTACCGAGCACTTGGACCGACAGCTTTCAGTTGGTGAATCAGCGGCTCCTTATGACAGCGTTTTCAAAAGAGAACTGGGACACGGCTTTGGAGCAAATTTACCGTGTACTTGCGCCAGGAGGCTGGGTGCAGCTCGTCGAAATCAGTCAATGCATCTCTGGAGAGAGATCACGAGAGTACTACGCGATGTTTCGGGATCTATTTTCCAAAAGGGGCGTATTAAATGACTGCGCTGACCACATTCCGAAATTCCTCAAAGATGCAGGGTTTGACCAAGTCAAGGCGCAACGTTGCGAAGTCAGCATTGGGGGTCCACCCGATTCAGACGGGATAAACGCCGGGGCTCGCGAGAGCTTTATTGGCGCCAACAAGAGAATGTTAAGTACGGTAGTGACACTGGGGATTCGGACGGAGGAAGAATACAAGGAAATGGTAGAAGATCTAGAAAAGGAATGGGAGAGCGAGGCTCAGTCAAAGATGATTTTTTACATTTTCCTTGGCCAGAAACCACTAGCTACTTATAACGACAAATGATAGTGATTAATCCATCCCACTCCTGCCACATCTAGCTATATCATATTATGATGTACAGAGTATAAAGATTTGTACCTTCGATGAATTGCTTGTCGACTTTTTTGACCATTCACCCGCCTGCGGCCGAAGGTTCTAGGACTGATCACTAGCAAATTGACGGTCCAGCACAGTTTTTCGTCATGTGAGACAAAAGAGATCCATCCTTTCGCATGAGAAAGCTGCCTGAGCACTAACAACGACCCATGATCAATCTTATCAAGGACTCATGCATTCACCGATATCATGGGTCACCGGCTGCTACTCCCAGCATACCAGGATTATCCAGTCTCTCCTTCCATGTCTATCTTTCAATGCAAACCGTGAATATTAACCCCGCTAGTAACTCAATGATCTTTGTGCTAAAAACCAAAGCCTTCGACTTAGGATTCGACAAAAAAAATTATGACGGCTTCGACTCAGATATGACAACGATTCCAAAGCTGTAGCGCCGCGTTTCACATGCAGTGCACATTCAACCCCACACTCACGCTTAATAAACGATCTCATTTTCAACTTCAGGAAGAAAGCGCTCACAGGCGACCGTGGTGGAGCACGCAAGTTATCTCCTGATGCGGAGAAGCAGTAGAATGCACTTACTTTGAGGCCCATCAGTTGGAGGTCCTGACGGCCGAACATTATAGGGAGCGGCAGCCGGGGGCCTCTCATCTGTATACATTTTTAGGCTTCCCTGGATGAATTTTCGAGTTCGCTCTCAGTGAGTTGCTCCAGTAGAAGAGTGTTCTGATTGACTAGGCGTGAGCGGGTTTGATTTGAACAAGTAAGCAAGAAAAGTAAATTTCCTCCCAAGTATGCACAGATGCTTTGTTACAATACTCAGTGCCTGACTAATAAATATAGCCTCGGAAACCACGTCTGGTGCCCCGTAATGCCTCATACTACATGTGTGTGTCTCAGCAATAACGTTCACCAAGTGGACGTAGTGAGACTTCTGTTGAGTGAGAAGTTTGTTTGTCTGTGGACGACGCTTGCAGAGCCTGGGTGCATACTGAAAGTTAGAGTATAAGGTATGCGCTAGAATAACGAACCTGACTGTCTATGCTCTCGTTGTCGACGGTTCGTCTGGTTTCTACTGTAACATTGAGCTGCAATTATCGACATGAGATGTAAGTGGCGCAATCTTGATTAGAACGTACCTGGATGCTGAGGCTTGCGACCAAAAGCAGAACCCAAATGAAAGCTTGTATACATTTGGTCTGTCTGTATGCCGTTACGGACGAAGCCTCGGGCATTCAAACAACCAAGAACGGTGTTGCAATACAACGGAGACAGAGAAAACTGCAGCCAGGTGTAAACCAAATTGTCTGGCATAGCTGTATTCTACTTCCCGTCAACATTCCATTCTCGTTGTAAAAAGACTGTCTCACCATGATTGAAATTGCTAATGCAAACGTACCAGTCCATAGGCCGCAGTTGACAGACAAGATGATAAGCCGTGCCAACATTGCATCCGTCCTAGTGATGGAAATATGAGAACCTTTCAGGACGCAGAAAAGACAGCCAACCTCTTGTTGAAGCCCGCTCTGCTTCGTACAAGCAACGTGCACATAATAATTGCAATGATTGTGTCTGTGCCAGCTGCTAGTGCGTTCACAGCAGTGGCGTATTTCTATAAACATTTGCATGAACATTGATTTGAAGACATAAATCAAACCGTTAGTCTCACGGTGAGATCATCAAGATTTTGGACGGTGCTGTTTGCCAGTCCCTTGAAAGTATAAACTTTATTTGAAAGCCCAATCAGCATGGATATGTATAGCGGATTGAAGATACATACAGCAGCATAGCACTGTAAGACAGATGTCATAATGTCATTAGATCAAGTTGCTCCATGGTGTTGCGTAGTACTTTTCAACTTGCCTAGTTGGGAAAGGGCCGCTGGGATCAAAAAAGCAGGAAAAACCCAATGTCCGCTGCTCACTATAAGCCCAAGCCATCTGAATCAAGGGTGGAACTAATGCAGGATTGGTTGCTTACGGTGCCAGATTCTGAACGTGAAGAATAGCTGGGAAATTGTAGATACCATGCCCTGTGTGAAATTTCTTTACCGGACAAGAGATAGCAGGTAACCAGGTTTTTACATACCGAAAAAACAAATGCGATGAACAGAGGCCTATTACAATGAATGGCTGTTAGCACATACTTCACCGATGAAACATCTTGCATACGGATGAGTCCCTGAGAGAAAAACATAATTCCCATATTTTGAGATTAAATACTGCCATACTGTGCGACCCGTCAACCGATGTACAGTTTGATTGCAATGAGTACTCACTTCCGATGCAGCCCAAGATCAGGTGCACAGTGTCAAAAAGCCAGATAGAGATGACCTGCACGATTCCATGTGAGCCAGTGTTAACGAAAGTCCTAACGTGCCCTTTACCATAATTTTAAGTGCCATCCGGTCCTTTGGATAACTGGACGAATCGTATTATGATATCAATGAGATGCTGTTAGCAATACATCTTTTAAAACGCGATCATACTTGATGAAATATACAAAGCTGAAGTAAAACATGCGCCATTCTGAGTCTTCGTATGCATGAGCATGACAGAAACCTACATCTGCAAACAATTTGCACCGTAAAACATACAGGCAAGCCATATGCTCCCAAGCAGTGGTCCATAACTGGTATCTAGATTGGTGGCGATGGGAACACAAGGTATTGGGGAGTCGGACATGATGAAGTCTTTGCTGGAAGTGTTCTACGTGGCTGGTAACTTTATATCAAATACAGTAAGCTGTCCTGTACCAAAAACATCTTTCTGCACTTACCGTTGCGTGAGGAGCACTGCCTGGGCACAGTGATCATATCAGATGGTTTGATACCGGACCTTGTGAACTTGGATGCCTATGCCGTAACTCAAATATCAGATCGGCGATGAGTCCATGACTCTCCTGAGACCGGTTGATTTCAGGCATGACACGTTGCTTATCGATATATCACCAAGCTTGTGGGTGCAGTGATCATATCAGATATTTCGATACCAGACCTCGTGGACTTGAATGCCTGTGCCGTACTATAGAGTTACGATCATAACTTCGCACCCTTTGGGGTGTGAGGGTGGGAGTTATGGCCGTAACTCTACAGTAGCTCAGGTATCAGATCAGCAGCGGTGACTCTTCTGTGAACGGTTGATTTCACTCACCGAAAGTCTCTGTCTCGCACAAACGTCTCGTCTCATTATCCTCGCGCATTCTAACTATACGTCTTATGTTGTCAACGTTTCGTTCACTTTCCCCTTCGAACTCATTATCAGCCTTACACTAGTGTGGCAGCGCTGATCGCTGATCTGAAACATCTGCGCAAAGTCCTACGTTACTACATGGTAGGCGTACCGTATGATCTTCAAAGATCTGGCATCAGATAGCTTCCATAAATCTACGAATGTTTGTCGACAAATTAGATACGATAAGGAGAGAAACACGAAGACATGAGCGCATCATTTCCTCATGTGGACACTCTGGTCGGTTCTCTCAATAAGGAAGTCAAACCAGCTCGCCATATATAGCAAACGTTTCATGGCATGTTAACGATACTGTTTCAAGGAACTTTTTTTTTGCATCATATAGAGTCCTTTGGGGTCGTAGACCCTATGTTGGACATGGTTCGTCATTTGCATCTTGTCTTCTTCGTATGTAGGTGAATCGTATGGTATTGTTGCGCTTGCATGAGTCGGACACGTACTCACCGGGACGGCGCAAGTAAGCACTTCAAGGAACTTGCTGTGCTACCAGGTGTCTCCGGGGATCTGATTGATGCATCATGTGCATGACTGTGCAAATACATTCGAGCTATTTTCGTTCATAAAGAGGGGTTCGAATCAGTATGCACACTCCGCTCGAAGATGCCCACTTCAACTCAGCTCGAAACTCTGACCACCAGTGATGACGTGTCCTACTCTTACTTTGATAGTGGCGAAGTCCCTGGAAATACGTATACAACCCTGGTCTTCGTCCATGGCATGGGTTTCAATGGAGGTGCGATTACATTAGTACTCCATAAAGTCCTGCTGACTTCCTTACGCAGGTGTTTTCAGGAAGCTTTTCCCTCTAGCTACTGTACGCCGTCTCCGCATAGTCAGCCTACACAGGCGTGATTACAATCCCACCACTAGCTTCCGTGATGTGGACTTGGCTGGTCTCGCCTCCGGTACGATGGAGGGACAAGAGGAGTTCCTTCGCAACCAAGCGGTCGATATCGCTACTTTCCTTGTTACCTTTGCCCGCGAGCAACGTATTCCCCCAGCGCAAGGTGCCAGTGGTGGAATTGCGCTCATAGGATGGTCTTTAGGGTCTGTGCCGGCTCATGCAGTTGTAGCCTATCTCGATGCCTTGCCATCTAGTATTCTTTCTGACCTTGGAAAGTATCTCCATACCATGGTTTCTCACGGTAGGCGCACTCCATCTTCCATCATATCCGGGATGTTGAACGGTGCCGCAGATGTGGCTGCGATTAACATTGGTATACCCAATCCCCCAATCTACGATAGAGCCCTCTGGTTCGAACCCGATGTTGAGAAGAGATTCAATCTTTTCTACGAATGGGCGACTGCGTACTTCCCACACAAAAACGTCACTTCAGGAAACATTGCTGACCTCGAGTTCAACAAATTCTCGAACCAAACTCACTCCATGCACGAGCTGTCTTCAGAGGAGCTCGCAGAGCTCACGTCTGCCAAGACTTTCGGTGCTTCAGACACGCTCCTTCTCTATATTCAACTAGACGTATTCAAGATCATGGTAAGACGTACGATATTCGACACGGCTTTGGCGGAGAAATTCCTCCCCAACCTACGTGTCAGATACATGTGTGGTGGGGCGAGTCCTGGTATCTTAGTGTGGGCCTCACAAGAACTAAGGAAGTGTTTGGCTGACCCAAAGCCAATGTACGGGCCTGATGCCGAAGAGGCACGAGATGTGAAGTTCAATTTTCAGACTGAAGGAAACCACTTCGTTTTTTGGGACGAACCAGAGGTAGCCCTTGATCATTACATTGCTACCATCAATCTTTAGAAATAGCAGCTGCACTTAGTTCCACATATTCAATTGTTCTTGAACTTCAACATGATCTGTCGTAATGTGTAATTCAGTGCGTTTCATCAAGGCCGAATACGTCGCCCTAACGTCAGCAGTGCGCAAGGTACTTTACCTGTAAGTTCTCATCAACTTGATCGATACATTTCTGGGACGGTCAAAGATCCAAGGCGGTTTACCATCGGTTTTGTAAGACGGTCTGAAAATTGACATTGTGAGACAGTTGATGAATGTCTATTTTCTTTGGTGTAGTATAAGTTCTCAGGTGGGCCGTCTGCGGCGGGAATCACGATAAAATATCAATGCACGACCTAAGTATACACGGCAAATATTGCGAAGTGATAGTGCTAGAGGGATAACTAGCGACGAACCAATCAATACATTAAGGTCTCATGCAATATCTTGCATCATACGCTTGAGCTCCATTTCGGGAAGCCTTGTTTTGAACTCGATAGTGCACGGCCGGGCATTTTCCAACACCCCGCTCATGAACCCCATGTCATCCAGTGGCTTTGTAGAATCCAGAACCAGATGGAAAGCCCAAAGAATCAGGAGCGAGTTGATGAATACTGATCTGTGCCACTCGAAATGAGTTTATAAGATCGTGTTCGTGGAAGGAGATCTTTACCTATTCGCAAGGTGCTGACCTGGGCATACGCTTGAAACTCGGAAAGTCAAAGGGGGAATGCCAGAATGGACACTTGCTTACCGCCGACCAAACCCGAAGACAAAAAATTTGAGATCGTCCCTCAGGGCACCTTGGTCATTAATCCAGCGCTGAGGCTTGAACGCATGAGGCTCGGGGAAGACGTCTGGGTCTCGAGAGATGGACCTAAAACGGTAAGCGTCGGGTCCTTTGTATCTTGAAGGCTAATGGCTTACCAATGATGGCCGAATACCGTAGTTCCAGCTGGGATACAATAGTTCTCCTGAAGGGCCAAATCATCATTCGCGCGATAACTTGTTCCAAAAGTACTTGCCCAAACCACCTCCTTGGTCGTTCGGTGAGCTAACCCTATAGCGTAGACATTGTAAACTTCAAATACAAGACCAACAGTGAAGAAACTTGCCGCTGGGAACCAAAGGTCTCCATCTCAAAGCCTCGGAGATGAAGGAGTGAAGATGAGGAAGAGCTTGTTCATCAGAAAAGGTCGGTGCTTTTGTGGAGCCATCCTTTAAGACCCGATAAAGCTGGAGAAGGTAATTAGCTACCTCGTCGCCTTCCTATGACCGCATCAAGCTCGGCCTGGACCTTGGCTTGTTCCTCGGGGAAACATGCGGCTGCCATGAGCACGGTGCATATCGCGGCAGTAGTCTGACACTCGCTTGTAATCACATATCTTCGGGAAAAAAAGGACAACTTACCGTATCAGATCCTGCTGCGAATAAGGAGCCAGCAAGAAAAGCCATCTCCATCACTGTCAAGCCATGGGCATGGACGTTTTCTAGCATATATTTCCCGAACGAAGGGCCGATATCCACGGCGCTCTGCTGTGAAACAATTCAGGCGTCGTGTGAAGATAGGCAAGGAAATACATACAATTTGCAGTTTCACACGGTTCAACTCATCGGTGTAGAGTTGCTTGCACCTCTCATGCTGCTGTTTTAATTCCTGGCCATACCAAGGAAGGTATTTGAGCCAAGGAATCGAGTCTACCAGGTAAGCACCAGGGCGCAAGGCTGTACGAAGTCTCTGGATGTGCTGCAGGGCCTCTATGACTTCGGGATCGGTCGCAGATGTAGGCGTGGTCTTCCCATATGCAACTTTCATAATTGTTGCAGCAGAGTAACTACAAAAATACCCTTCAGTAATATCATAACACCAAACTAGACCAACACCCACGTTGCCGCATGGTTCTGGAAATTAGATGAATCTTCAAGAATGTCGAGGACCATCTTCTTCGCGTGTAACACCTGCAGGGGCTGATATTCCTCGGCTGCTTTAGGCTGGAAATGTGTATGAAGTGCTCTGCGTCACGTAGCAAGTAAGAATTTAGGGCTATCTCTGAACTGTTGCGTACAACGAACCTACGCATCCGACGCCACCTTTCCCCGGCAGGGGTTAAGGCAATAGCCAGTCCACCGTTGAGCATTTCCCCGGCGGCAATGAGGTGAGGACGATCAGCTAACAATCCACCTTGTTTCTCCATGATATCCACCACGGCCTGCTGGCACATGATGGTGAACCATGATACGATAACTCAGCTTGGGAGGACTGACCTTGTGACGGCCGATGACGATAACTTTCTCAGTTCCTGCGCGAATGGTGACCAGAGGACCATACTCGTCGATCCATCCTGCTACAGTGAGAAATGGACTGAGCAAAAATGGACACGATCAACACTAGTTCAAGAGCACAAGTCACGTGTAAAACTTTACTTGCGATGGGGTAAGAAGTGTCCCCTTATTCTCCAAGTGGGAGGGGAAGGCGGGAGAGGGAGGCCACTTTCTGATGTAGGAAGGTGAGCGCGAGCAATCACCGCTAATACTGCCCCGAGACAAACTGCAGCACCGAGGACGAGCTGTGCATTGTCAGAAAGACGTATGTCAGGCAACTGTGGCATGACTGATGGGAGGATCAGAGAACTGGGCTAGTGGTGCTCTATATATGATCATTAGTTAATAAATAGTATACTCTATGTATATTATATTACTAGTACTACTAGTTTGAGGGACAAATGTGGACAAAACCTCGGGCTTGCTTTGGAAATCAGAGATCGATCAGATGGTGGTTCAGATCTGGTGAAAATTTGAAATTGAAGTATGACATAAGATTATCAGGTCCGCAGGTGCCTCTAATTATAGAGGCGATGGGTTACTGGATCGTATCAAATGATACACCTACTAGTGTGGCATAAATTATATAGTAAAGAATAATTGAATAAAATAAACATTATTACTTGAGCCGATGCGGTAGAGCTTCAACTTATCTAATATCAACCTTTTATCTGCCCTCTTGTTCCCGCCACTAGTTTCCCTCACGACTCGGATCGGAGGTTAGTAACGTTAGCCTTGCATCTTACACAACACAGGTCCTAGCTTCATCAAATGATTCGACTCAGCTTCATGAATCATTTCAGACTGTTGCACACGCTAGTAATTTCATCATTCCCAACATCCAGACCACATACATTTGGCGACTAGCCTTTGTTCGAGCGATAGATCGTTAAGCGTCGCTGCCACCCATGTTATGTACTTAACTAAAGTCCGGCGGTTCCAACAAATATTTATGATATACAAGCTGCGGCGATCACAACTAGTACCTCGTTGTGCACATACTTAGCGCTGGCTCTTGTGGGCTACGCAACTTCAAGTTGAAGCTCCTGAAGAATCAAGATCATCTTTCGCCTTTGATATCAGGCTACTTGGCCGATACTTGATCTAATAAAAGGCTGCGGTAAGTAGTCTGATCAGTTTGGCAGCCACTTTTCCGCCACTGAAATTTTTGGCCAACACGCAGTGCATGTGAAGTGGCGACACGAACTCTTGCATTTACATAAGATATCGGAACCTCATGCTGCGAGGCCCTGACTGGACCACCACTTGATTGCCGATGCTGAGCGCTGATACAGGGCTTATTATATCCTTCTCCCTTCGCAATTGTAGCTCCATCGGCTTCTCAAGTGGTGGCACCAATTTGTTGCCGAAATAGAAATATCTCAGAGCAAGCTGCACATTTCGTTATGAGTGTTTATAAGTACTGGAGTATAAGTATCAGGGCCCTACATGAAACTTCTAACCATCTCCCTCACAAATTTCTTGTCCACTAGAATGCCGACAAAAGACAATCTACCCACATGTACTGTCGACAACGATGTACGGGCATTTATTTTACTGTGCTTCTACATTCCGAGTTTAATTTCGAATATAGGTTATTGCAAACATCCGTCAGACCATCGTCAAATTTCTTCAGCGTTGCGGCCTGCAATATACCCCCGTCATGATCGACCAAACATTGCACACAAAATGCTGCCAGGAGGCCATCAATCGTGGCTTTCCGATGTCTGACGGAGATTATTCCATCCGCCCGTACATGCACATTGGCGTGGCCATGTCCACCATCGCTTATGGCCACCTAACTGACTGTACAACTAAGATGTGGATCTGCCTCTTTACTGCCGTCGGTATCTGTATCGATGACACTCTGAACAGAGGACAAAAGATGGATGATGTGTACCGTTTCAATGAGCGGTTTTCAAATTGCCAGGCACAGGGCGATCCAGTCCTGAATGCCTGGGATGTGCTTTTGCGGGAGGCCCCCCGCCACTACTCCCCACTAGTGTCGAACTTGATCATCACGTCTGCACTCGACTTCGTTTCTGGGCTCCTGCTCGAATACGAGACCAAAGATATGGGGGTATGCTCCAGAACCACGAGATTGAGGCTCGAATCTCTAACCCTTCTCGTTTATAGGTCTCGAAGGAGGCTCCCTTGTATCCCGAGTATTCTAGGCTTCTATCGGGCTTGGCACATGGTTTTGGGTTTTTTGTCTTCCCCTCCACAGTCCCGCTTCAGGAATATATTCAGTGTATGCCGGACCTAATGTTTTTCCTAAACCACACGAAGTAAGCGCATTCATGATTTTATATGAAACTTCCTATTAATTGTGACTTGATTCAGCGACATAATATCATACTACAAAGAGGAAATTGAAGGCGACACTACAAACTACCTGTCACTCGTGGCAGCCTCTCGCGGTTCCACCAAACAGGATGCTCTTTATGAAGTCATCTCGAAAACCGTGCAGGCCCATCACAATATCCTCAAATGCCTAGAACCGCATCCTGAGGCCTATGAGGCCTATGCCAAATGCTGCCATGGATATATTAATTTCCATACTGCGTTGAGAAGGTACAAGCTGAAGGATATTTTGTCCGAGGGGTCCAGTCTGTAAGGTTATGTTAATTTGCACCGAGTCAAATTATTGCAATGATAGTGCAATGTGTAAATGAAGATGAGGATGGCCCTCTAGAAGTAATACCTCGATGGCTCAATGCAAGGTCTACAGTAGTAAATACTCGAAACACAATAAAACACGAAGACGTCTTTTCTGATTTGCTGACACCGGAGATGATATCGAGATCAGTCCAGGAGCTGTTGCTTTCATATTAGCAAGGGTAAGTGCATCGGTACAGGCTGAGTTAGTTCTAATCTCGAGGTCACCATAGTAGGGTCTGCCCCAGTATCCCTGATGTCTGCATTATATATCATAGCCAAGGTAAGTTATGTACGAGCAGCAAGATATTCGTTGCTCAGAAGAGTCCCACCAAATCCCATATACGCTGAACAACACCACATAATCAGAGTTGCAGGAGAGTCAGTACCCATGGATGGTGATGGAAAACGAAAACGCTATGTGAGAAAGCTTCGGAATCAGTCACAAAGCCACTCGGAACTCAAGCTGACGAAACATTGAGCGCAGCATGTCATTGCGAAGAATATGACATATATGCTCCCTGTCTTGTCTTCGTTTCGACTGTTATATAGTTGTGAGAACCAAGTAGGGTAGAGTAGTATGGAGGGAAAGAGGGTACGAAAAGGTGAGTGAGCATGGGTATTGTATTCGACAGACTAACGAAAGTCGTATAGCAGTTTTGACACATTCGGAAGCGGCGAACTGATAATGAGGTGACAGTGACGAGAACAGGGAGCTGAGGGTCGGCAATGACGAGGCGCTGAAATGGAGACGAGGTCTGTGCTGACTGGGATTGGCGGTGCGCTGATGGTCACCCAACACTATGCGAAACACTTCAAAGTCATGAGTGGGTGTTTCTACACCGTCGTAGATACTCCGCGTCCCACGGATGGAAATGTAGGAGGCGGTAGTACGGATGTTGGCAGTTAAGCCTGAGAGTTTACCCGACTCAATTGCAATTGGACTTCCTGTCCCCTCAGGTCCATCTAAGTGTCAATGTTAACTAGATAATCATAGCACACACCTTGATGAGTAACAGAATTACTCGTCCCAACGCATGGCAGACGGAACCCAATAGGCTCGCCCGTAGTGCTCATCTTGAGAATCGAGCCAGCAAAGGCCGTCTCGAAGAAGCATATTCTCCAAAGCAGCTCGAGCACGTTCTCTTGTCCATCCTCGACGGTTCTCCAGGGTTGCTTCAACAATCCGCCCACCTTCTACTTGTGCTTCCGCAAGAATTACAGCCTGATCCGCATCTAGTTCCTTGACCACGCTTCTTACCATCTTCTTTCCGCCACCAACGTCAAGCACCTCGTATCCAGCGCCGAGTGGTTGGAGTGTCTTGATGCTTCTTGTGACATCTTCCTCTGTAACGACACCACTCTCGACGCCACGCAACTTGCTGACCATACGTACAAGCTCCCCCATTTCTATCACTCCTCCATTCCTCTCCCTCGTGCTCACGCACACGTCTACTATCTGAACTCCCAGCTCATACTGCCAATCACCCATCCCAAGCATTTCTGCCCACCAGCCGCCCTTCCTTGGTCCAGCGAGGGGGTCTACGCCGATTGACGAGCACATTTGCTGAAATGCATGGCGGAACGCTGGATCCCTACGAATCGAATCTCTGTGTGTCGTTGCGAAGTGTGAAAGGGCAGTTCGGAATTGCGTTAGTTGCGACTGTAGATTATCGACCTGGGTCTTCGAGAGCTCTGAAGATAGTTCTGCAAAGCGCTGTGATAGTTGTTCTTTGTCAAAAGCAGCGAGACCGACGCCGCGATGCATGTTCAGTTGGTTACTTCACTATGAAAGTTGACCTCCTTCAGTCCGTCCCATGGGGCCAAGAATGTCCTCATGATTACATGATGACGGAAATTCCCGCTACGGCAGTAGTGGGTTTTTCCGTACCATGGCCGTTTGGTACACTGCAAACTGCCGCAAACCTTTGATCTATGTTTCTGTATCCGAGGTTCGGACAAGGCCAAGACAATATTATAAATATTTTCATTGGCACTAGTGCTGCCGTGGTCCAGTCCCGAACCGTGGTTCGAACCTGACCATTGGTCAGGTTCGTCCTTGGTTCGGTCCATGGTCCAGCATTTTACACGGACCGAACCGGAACGAGGTTCGTGGTCCGCTAACTCCTGTGCGGTTCATCTATAGGTTCGGACCTTCCCGAACCGTTCCGAACCCGGAACCGAATCTTCCTTGCAACGCCTTCAAGGCTCAAGCACACGTTTATGGTCATTTTGACTTCTCGATCCTCAAGATTTGCCATGGTCACTTTGACCTTTGGCATTCTCAAGACTTTTTTTGACTTATCCTGTCTGGAGGTTTGCATCCTGCACACCCTGCTGTCTGATAAAGCCTACCTGTCCAATCAAGCTCGAGGTACCACTTTTCCATCAAATCAAGCACAATAAACTGATTGATATGATATATTGATATATTTTTTTAGGTTCTGTCAATGCATACTACAAGTTAGTAGGAGATTGGGTATTCACATATAAAGGGAGCAAGGTGAGTGATATATTTTGACTACTGGTACAATGTCTGAACCTGAAGCACAGTGTGCCCTCAATCCAGGTGGGTCTCTAAAGGATGCCAAAGACATTGTTTTTTACAATGATCGTGATGATGCTGTCCCCATTTCCACTCCATCCTCTGCCCAGCCCCCCACAGATGCCTTCTCTGTGCTACTGCAGACTGGATGCAAACCAGTGCCACTTACTGCAGGTGCTCAACGCTCCATTCGCACCTCTAAACCTTCTGCGCGCCTTCATGATTCTGACAATGTTTGTTCTTCAACAAGCTGCAAGCATGCATTATCTAGTGCAACCAAGCAACTAGTTAGGAAGAAGGTTGTGTTACAGCTCTCTGCTCCATTATCGGACGATGAAGACTCTCATGTGGCTGGTGCCGACACAGATATTGATACTGACCATGGTGCTGGTCAATCGGATGAGGCCGAGGACAAAGATGTACCAGCACCTGAGGACGAACCTGAGGATGAACCTGAAGATCTTCAAGACACCACCATCCAAGCCACTTTATCAAAGAGTGAGTGCACCACTGATATTCAAACAATCTTCACTCGTGACGACAAACATTGGGTCTGCAAACCTTGCAGGGATGCTGGTGAACTTGAAAGCAAGTACACGTTTTGCGGAGGTATCTCTACACTATGCATGCACATTTGTCAGTATGTTTACGTCTTCTTTCTCTTGAATGATCACTAATATTATATATCTATCAGTAATAAAGCCCATTTTCAACTTTACAAGTCACGCTGCAAAGCCACAAACATCACCATGCACCCTCGAGCAGTTCCAACTGGTGAGGTTCAATCCCTGTGAGTTACATTTGCTGTATTGTAGTGTGTTGTACTGATTCATAGATAGTTCAAGGCAATTCACCCTCGATGGCAGCCTTGCCCCAAAAGCGCCCATGTTTACCAAGGCAGGGCTTCTGGAGTATATCATGGAGCTGATTGTGACTGAGGACAAGGCATTTTGACAAACCAGCCTTCTGCAACTTGCTTCATTATGTCCGCCCCACCCTTGCTGAAAGTGACGTGCCACACTGCATGAAACTTACGGAGACTGTTAAGGCCTGCACAGTGCAGGTGGTCAATGTCATTCATGAGTGTCTTGCAAAGGTAGACAGTCAAGTCTCAATGACTTTTGATTCATGGACATCAATCATTGGCAACTCTTTCTTCTCCATCACAGGCCACTATATCTGGAGCCTGGATGATAAACCCCAGCAATGGGAGTTATGCCGTGAGCAACTCAGTTTTGTGCACATCCAGGGCAATCATAGTGGTCAGAATATGGCTTGCTTGATTGTTGATACCATTGACAAATATGAACTATGAAATAAGGTAAAGTTTAGTCTACTACTTTGCTGTGCTGAATCTAATCAGTGTGTTGTAGGTTGGATGGATGACCTCTGACAATGCCACCAATAATGATACCGCCATGAAAGCAGTTGGACAAGAAATTGATCCTGAGGGTACGCGGTGGGCACCTGATGCATGCCGCATCAGGTGCCAAGAACATATACTTAATCTCGCAGCATGCCACTTCATTGACACTGTTGCCCCCACACCTCAAGCTGCTCTCATGAAGAAAATTCGACAAGTGCTTGATAATGGCAATGATGCTGACCTCAACACATTAAATAAACAGCTTTCTTCCTTGGACATCAGTAACAACAACAACAACAACACCTTATTTGATACCGGTGATTCACTTGGCAAAGCTCTTGCCCTCATTGAGCAGGTACGTGCTATATTTGTTAGACTATTCTTTTGCTGATCAAGATCCTCAGATCCAAAAGTCCCCTCAAGCTCAAGCGTTTTTCTGCAAGGCTTGCAAAGAGGAAAACGTACCTGAACTTGAGCTCTTGCAATGGATCCGGACTCGCTGGGCATCACTATATAAATGCCTGGACCACATGTTGATCTTGCATCCAGTGAGTTTTTTTTTCTTTCAATGTTTAAAAGTGGCCTGATTTTAATTAAATAGGCCGTAAACCATTTCACCAACCTTGCTGACAAAAGCAATGAAGTGCCAACTCTTCACAACAAGACTTACGACAACTTCAAGCTCGATCAAAGTGATTGGAGACACCTTGGGCTTATTCACCAAGTCCTCAAGGAACCAGCTATGGCTCAGCAATCGTTCTCGTCAGCAAAACATCTGACCGCATGGAAAACAATCCCTACACTAGAGTGCCTCACTGTTCGATGGAGATCCATGGCAGATGACCTGCAATATCTTCTGATTGCTGATGTGATTGAGGCTGGACTCAAGAATGTTGACAAATACTTCAAGAAAACAAGTCAATCGGACGTGTATTTTATTTGTCTTGGTGAGTACTATCAATTTTAAAACTCATTCTTATCTAATATAATTTAAGTTCTTGATCCAAACTATAAGCTCACATACGTTGAAGGCTGGTGGGATTTTGAAGATGTTGCAGATGGCAGAGCTTGTCTGGAGGCCGTGGTGAGTACTTGTCTATGTTGTTTTTCCCCCTCTCATCTTATTTTTTTTTGTAGTTCGATGACTATTATACACCACCAAGTTGAACACCTACTACCAAAGAGCAATCTGCTCCACTGGTGAGAGCTGCCAGTGTACACAAGAACTATGGCGATGATTGGATGCATGAGGCTATTAGGATGCATAAGACATCAGACCACCTTACTCACAATCCTCATCAAGAGCTCAACATGTACTTGTCTTCACCACTAGAGGAGACTGATGACATTGTGGCCTGGTGGGGGGTAAGTTTTCTTTTTGACTTGTTTTTTTGCTACTAAATCTACTTAATAGCTTCACTCACTGCAATACCCTACACTTGTGCGCATTGTGCGAGACTATCTACCCATTCAAGGCAGCTCCATTCCTTCTGAACAAGCATTCTCAAGCAGAGGAATCACTTTGACTATCTGATGCAATGCACTCATGACTGACACATTCACTGCACTACAACTACTGAAGGGAGCATATAGGAATGGGCACCTTTCTGCAGAAGTAGAGGCTGAGGGACATGTGGCTTCATTGGACATGTAACTACGAGTACAAATATCTTGCCTATGTTTTTTTTCCTGGCTGTAATTTTTTCGCATTCAGTTTGTGTTCAGACTGAGAAAAAACTGAACCTGACCACTGTGAACCATTCGCAAAGGTTCAGTCTAAGGTTCATTGAAATACCTAGAACTGAACCTTGGTCTGGTTCTTGGTTCTCATCCAACCACCTCTGAACCAAATGGAGCCAGACTGTGGCAGCACTAATTGGCACACCCAGACAATAAAGCTTGCCACTACAAACTGAATTGAGACTACAAATAACACTAACATATTTGGGAAAGAAACCTTTTGGTTTGATTGACCAAAACACATCTTCAAGTCCTGACAAGAACTGAAAGGCAAGTATGAGTGGAGATTCCCAAAGTCTAGGAGCAAGATGACGCAGCTAGTGCATGCTTGCTCCCAAAGGATAGTTGGTGAGAAGAAAACTCACAGTCTAACACACAGGTGGCATCACACATAGGGATCCGCATGGGTAAACCTGCGGGTGTCCTGAGGTCAACCTGTACCCATACCCGTGCACACAGGTATGGGTATGGGTATGGGTACATACCCATGGCGGGTGTACCCATAGGTGTGCAAGCACTAACAATGCCACCAGGGCCATCCAGGTCACCATCTACTGCCCCCATCCAATCTTAACAGCCACCAGTGCTTAGTGCACATGCCCAGCACACATCAGTGAATGCTGACATAGCTCAAACATATGTGAAAGACACCAGAAAGTGCCAGAAGAGCAGAAGGAGTGAAAGGAGGGACAGGATGGGCAGAACAAGACTGATGAGATGGGGAGAATGAGACCATGAGAATGAGACCGCTGAAATGGGGAGAATGAGACTGACGAGATGGGGAGAGCGAGACCACAAGAATGAGACCGCAGAAATGGGGAGAACAAGACTGATGAGACGGGGAGAGTTAGACCACAAGTATGAGACTGACGAGATGGGGAGAATGAGACTGCTGAAATGGGGAGAACAAGACGATGAGAATGAGACTGCTGAAATGGGGAGAGTGAGACTGTGAGAATGAGACTGCAAGATGGGGAGAGCAAGACCAAGGGAGAACAAGACAGATGAGACAGGGAGAAAGGTAGTTAGCAGTATAAAGACACACAGTACATGCACCTTGGAGAGCAGGAAACAATAGAATTAGTAGGTGGTACAATTGGTGCAGAAACAGTACTTGAACAAACATCGAAATAATTACTATATATGGAAGTGACAGGTATGCAGCAGGTCACAGGTCTCAAAATCCAGACCCGTACCCACCAATACCCGCACCTGTGACCTGCCACAGATTACCTGTACCCATGCAGATGCCTAATCACATAGTGTGTGAATGGTGCCAGGATGAGTGTATCCTGTAGGTAAGGGGCCATGATAATGGTGTGTTGTTGAAGGTACCTTAAAAAGGAGTCTCCAGTCCAGTGACCCATGGACTTCACAGTTTCAAAAGAGACTCCTTGTAACAGGTATTCTAAAGTACCCCTGATATGGATGCCATGACCCTTCAGTGGTGTGATTCCTAGCCTGGCTGAGGCTCATTTGATGTAGCACATGAACTCTGAATGGGTCAGAGGGTGAAGGCCTGTATTGTGATGCCAACTGAAGAGAGCTGCTTGTGGGGGAGGATAATTGATGTTCAGATGGTTCTGAAGCACATGTTGTGGGTCCACGTCACCCATTTGTGGTGAAAAATATAAATCCTCCCCAGAGGAGGACATTTTGGAGTGTGGCAAGTGAAACACAGTAACTTTTAATCCATGTTGATTGTTAAGAACCATGTTGCTCAAGGGGGAGAGACTGATTCAGAGGGGCTTGGCCTCAGCTTGTACGCTGTGCCCCTTACCCAAGTATGTGCCCTTCATTTCATATGAGGTCTGATGATGGTCTGATGAAGTCTGGAGGACTTCCGGAGGAGCGCGGTGTAGGGAATGAGATTCCTCTAGGCATATATCGCCCATATTATGACTCATGACAATTGGTACAGCACATGACTCACTAGCTATGACTTTCCCGTGAAACATGCCAGAGGCACGACACTTTCCTGCATTATGCGACACATTCCTGCGCACACGCTTAGCACACTCTTCCCGCACTTTGTCGCGCAGCATCCCAGAGCGTCCATCCATTGTCCAACCAGTTCCCTAGTGAGTCCTTCCTTGTTTATTCTCATTATCAGACCATATTCAGTACTTGTATGGCATTATTTCATCATGGACCCTTTATTTACATCATTTACATACTTAGAGCGCTCCCTGTTCGCTTCTGAGCCCTGGGAGCACGCCTAGGCACAGCTTACTGGTTGCCTAGGAAGTTTTCATAAAACCTACCACCACAGAATACAACAACCACCATCATGTCTAGTAGTGTCTAGCAGTCAGAATCGATCATCTTCAGCCAGTATGCATCAGTCATCGCCCTAGTCCTCAGTCCAAGTCCATTATCACCATCAGTCACTATTCAGCAGTCTCAGCAACAGTCCATTATCACCAGTCATCATTCACCAGTCTTTACATGTTTGCACACCACATGCGCTCTATTCCCATGCTTCACGCACCTACGCGCTCGACATTCCCACGCACTTCACCAGAGTTAACCTAGCATCACCCAGTGGATCTTGCTTTCTTTGCTTCCCTTAAGGGTCGAACATATTGCCTGGCACACTTCGACCAACATCTAGAGAGTCAGTAGCCTTCCTCTCACCACCAGAGTGAGAGTCCCTCTTTCTTTCTTTAGCTCTGCAGCCTAGCAGAGTTGTTGAACCTTCAGCGGGAAATGTCCGGAGGAGTGCAGGAGAGTTCCCACTGCAAGGTAATACTTCTACAGGAAACAGGGTGGACAGGATAGGGTTGTATGGATCAGGCTAGTAGTGAGGATCCGGAGATCCAGAGCTCAGGGGTAAATCCAGAGTGTAGTCGATCCTGCTGAGGTGTGGAGTACACAGCGGAAGGGGATCTGGGAATGAGTCGGATATGGGGTCTGGACGTAGGCTCAGAAGGCATGGGAATATGATGGAACGTGGGTCTGGATTGTGGGATATGACATTGATCCTCGGTGTATCTAACATCCGAGACTTTCAGATGAAGCAAGGGATCAAAGGCATTCAAGGAATGGACTGTTGTCTTGCCTAAGCAAGTGAGGGTGAAGAATGATGTTACTAGACAAGCATACACTGCTGCTTCCAGTGGATCTGTGAGATTCAGTGTGGAATGCAGAGTTAGGAGAACACCAATGGTGTGTTAAGGTCATACTCAAAGGATAACTGGATCCGAAGGGCTTCGGCCTCAGCTCATGTGCTGTGCCCCTTACCTGAGTATTGCCCCTTATTTCAGGAAGGCAAGACTAATACATCCAGAAGGTCGGACGAGTAGCATAATGGATCCGGATGACTTCCAGATGAGGGATAAGTATCGTAGGGCTAATCTGGATGAGTCCAGACTAGAAACTAATGGTAATGGACTGTCGGAGACAGAGGCGGATATGGATAGTCTATAGGAATCAATCCTAAGTCTCAGAGGGTGATGAGAGTAGAGGTACTCAAGTCCAGAGGACAGGAATGAGTAGAACTAAGATGATATTCAAACTGAGGTACTACAGAAAGTTACAGGAGGTTATATACTATAGGTATCTCATGGAATGATCAATCAGCAGAGTCCAAGGCTATGTATGAAGCATGTGGATAGTCTATTGGTAAGTAGAAACGGATCACAAATCATGAAATGGAAATGAAACATAGGTAGCGGATAAGGGAGCAGGACAGATATACAGATAACCAAAATACCGGAGTTAGGGGGTTACCAAAAGGAGATGAGCGCTGGTTGTGGATTCGGATGAGTTGTGGACTGGACCGGACAAGTGGACAGGTTGAATGATGAGATGTTGGAGGGAGATAAGATGTGGATAGGATCAAAGATAAGATGTGGATCTGAGATGAGATAAGGGTCAGATCTGAGATCCAGATATGCGGATATGATAAACCTCCTGTAAATCTCTGTAACACCTCAGTTTGAATATCATCTTAGTTCTACTCATTTCTGTCCTCTGGACTTGAGTATCTCTACTCTCATTACCCTCCAAGACTTAGGATTGATTCCTATAGTCTATCTGTATCCACCTCTGTCTTTGACAGTCCATTACCATTAGCTTCTAGTCTGGACTCATCCATATTAGCCCTATGATACTTATCCTGCATCTGGAAGTCATCTGGATCTGCTATGCTACTTGTCTGACCTTCTGGACACGTTAGTCTTGCCCTTCTGAAATAAGGGGCAATACTCAGGTAAGGGGCACAGTGCACAAGCTGAGGCCAAAGCCCTTAGGATCTGTTAGCCCTTGAGTATGACCTTAACAGGTGGTTTCTTCATCCTGATTCTTGTGAAATTGATCTTCCTCTCCATTGTCCATCATGTGCTCTCCCCCTCCAAGGTCACCATCATCACTAGCATCATTTCTCACTCCAGGTTCTCCTTTGGGACATTGGTCATTTGTATAGTCCATGTCATCTTTGGCATGATTTGTGTGCTGCTTGTCATTCTTGTCTGCTTCCATGCCTGCTTCACAATTGAGTGCCATTGCAATTTTAGTGTGGAGGTCTCCATGAAGAGAAGGAATGAGTGAGTTTGAGTAAAGGTCCTTGAGTGAGATAGCTTTGTAGTCACTGACTCCAATAAGGAAGATTTGCAAGCAGCACTGCTAGACTTGTGTTATATACTTGATAACTTGTGTTAGAATTAAAACATACTAAAAATGTGTATCTGTTCCAATGACAAGCTTCCACCTCAATTATACTGTGAGCAAGTGATTTAGCTAGGTCCATGATGCTCATGTGCTTGATGATCGATGTGACCAACTTAAAGATGGTCAATGTCATGATGGCCCACATGGACCAATGAAATAAAAACCTTGGCTTGAGATTGCCACAGATAGAAGAGAGCAATTCACTGACCATCTTCAAGAGCTGTGCCAAAAGCTCGACATCTTGAATTAGTGCAGTTGGTAATTTGAATACCTCATGATGATTCTTGGTAAAATTCTGTTGCAAAGTCAATTCCTGTACATGCAAGAGGCAGTGTAAAAGGTACCATGATGTTTGTGTGCATGTCAGTGACATAAGTGGTAATGTTTGGTGACAGGAGACATGCTGTCAAGCAGCTCTGAAGCACAGACTGCATTTTATCTGGTCAGCATGGTGCCCTCTGAGAAGGCAAATAATGACCTTGAAATCCTTGGAATCAATTAGTTCTTTCAACTCAAGGAGAGTGGTTTTTTCTTGATCTTTGTTCCTCTTATATAAGGTGGCTTTCAGGTCAATGAGCATGTGAAAGATGCTTCTGGCCTAAAGGGTGTCAATGAAAGTGCACAATCATGATCTCAAAATACTAACATCAATGAATTTGTGTAAAACCTCCTGTGGGCAACCAGTCTCCTCAGTGACTTGGTTTACATACACCTTGAGTTTTTTTGTCTGTGAAGGTGATAGCAACTGAGTCATGTCAAAGCCATCATCAGAGTCTGTTCTCTGGCAGTGCACACTAACCATGATAAGCTCATCAAGAGACACTTCGGATAGAGTTTGCAAAATGACACTACTGCTGGGCCCATCAACAACAGTGTGAGAGGCTGAGTGGCTGCTCCCTGGTTGAACTGATGGGATCATTCCCAGAGGTGAATGCTCTTGCTGGATACAGCTTGAGGTCCTGCTTCCAGGCAGCCTAGGTGCATCAGAACCAGAAGGCCATTGAAAAGATGCAGAAAGATTTCTCCCTCAAAGCCCCCCAGCAGTAGCTGGTGTCAACAGCCCACTCATTAATCCAGGCCCTCTGGGCTGTGAACTGCCTGTCTCGTTATTAGAATTTCCAGACCTCATAGGAAACCATTGGAGCAACATTGTCAAGCAGGAAATTGGTTGAGTGAGGGTGACTGAAGGAATTTGAGCAGTCACTTAGCATGTGTCACTGAGATTTTCCATTCCAAGTGTGTCATAAGTTTTGTTAGGTTGCATACAAATATCTGAGTTATGGTTGAACACTCAAACCAGGGAGAAAATAACTTAAACAATACAAAATATGCATATGTGGCATAATAGTGCAGTACAACATGAGGGGGAAGTAGATAATATGACATTACTTGGCACTGGGGGGATACAGGACTCTGGGAGAGGGTGAAGAGCATCCTCCCAGATATTGATCCTCCTGTGAGGATTAAGTTCTTGACATCTCTGTCATCACTGGGGATTCTTGACATCTCTCCTATCATGGGAGGTTCTTGATATCTCTCCTGTTACCATCTGCATGTTCATGTTCATGTTTCCTGAGGATGCATAAAATAGTCTGAGAAATACTGCAGGTGCTGTGCCTGTGACTGCATGTGAGCATAGATGGCCTACACATGAGCCTGAGCCATTCAAGCTTGCTGTTGGTGGTTCAGGTATATCTGTGCATGTGCAGTGCAAGACTGCAAACCTGGTAGAGAGGTGTGAGGTTGGTGTGTTGCCAAGGAGGTTGTGAGCTGAGGAATGCGACTGTGTGAGTAGGGCGCATAAGGGATGCCACATGTGCTTCTTGAGGACCTGTGTTGGGATATGATATTAACAGCAGAAAAGGAGCCTGATGATAATGTGGGGCTTGCAGTGAAGGTCCCATTGGCAGTGGCAGAGGGTAATACAAGGCTTGCAGTGGGGACAGCATGAATTAGTGGGATGAGACCATTGGACCCTGCTGAGTGGGTGAAGACATGTGTCTTGAGGTCCAAGCAATAGGCTGCCTAACATCTGATGATGTCATCTTCCTTCTGCCTCGTGTACTGGCACTGCTTGCATTCTTTCTTGGCTTGGCAGCTGCCTTTTTTGTGGGAGTACAATTAAAGGCAGGAAGTGGTGCAGTTGTATTGTGGACACCTTCCTCCACAGCAGTTACACCTTCTTGAGGCCTGGGGTATTACCTAATGTCTTCACTGCTTTCTTGTCTTCTATCTGCTGTATAACTAAAGTCCAAACCTCAGCCAGATTGGTGACCCTCAATGGTAACTCATGAAGTGCCTCAGGTATGATCAGTCAGATATGATCACAGTTGTGAATCAAGTAGGTATTGAGGAAAAAGTGCAGAGTGGGCTGATGGCCAACAACAGGCTTTGTTTGAGTGGTTTGGATCTGTTCTTGATGTACATGTTGCTGGCACATGTCTATGCACTTGGAATTGATGTAGTTGTGTTGAAGATTGATGGTACAAATGATATTCTGTAATGCAGTGATCTTCAACAGACAACTCTGAGTTTCAGGACATATCACTTACTGCCACCATTGAAACTATTTCATCTTTCATAAGGTTGAGACATGGTAGAAAGATTGAAGGATGTAATGTAGGTCTGAATAAAAAGACTTGCAGTATGACATGATCCATAGTTTTATGGATGTCATGTGATATGAGGATCTCACAGATACGTCCAATAGACATCTGCACACACATCAATAATTGATTATGGAGAGGCTCAAAATCATTTACCTGTCCATCTGCAGGTTGTCAGAAAATGACATGACCATTCAAGTCCACTTGTTCTCCCTTGCTCATCACAAGTGATTTGCCATGGTAGTAGGAAATACCAGATTGAGGGGTCTTGAGGATTTTTGCACAATGAGTATCCTTCCATTGTACTCCATCTATTAGTTGCACTTTTCCACTTGTGCCAATGACAGTATCAGGACTTCTGGTGCCTCTGTATACTTGAGTAAAAGCACAACAATATGCTGCCTAACTCGCCATGTAGTGGAGGCTCACACAAGATACTTGATATACCAAGAAGGTGGGCCTGTTCTGGGTGTTCATTGAGATAATATAGCACCTGCTCTCCTCTGTGAACCCATTTCTTGACATTGTGATCAAACCAATATTCACCAGCAGTGATGTGTTTCACAATGTCTTGGTATGCAAAAAGTTAACAAGTATCCCTGCTGGGTGCATGTTGATTACTGTAGATTCATGGCAATCAGAAAATGTGATTAAATGATTCATATCTCTTGGTGGAGAATATGATTGCAGGTCTGAAATGATATATGAATACTGGAAGATGAATTAAGTGAAACTTGGGCTTGCTGATGAGAATGCTCAGAGCACATTGTGCTGTGATATTAAGAAAGTCCTTGATCATTTGGGATAACTTTGCCTATTTAAAGAAGATCAATCAGTCCATAACACCTTTCAACACTTCAGTAGTGTGAACTAACAAGGTATTCTTCAGTATCTGGTATTGTCGTGTGCCAAACAAGTGTGACAAGTTCTCTGATAATGGACCATCCATTGACAACTGTCTGAGGGATGAGGTCATACACCAGGAAGGGCATAACTTGGGCCAGGCTCTTGAAATATTTGCTTATTAAACTGCCTTTATAGTGACATATATAGTCAGCATTCAGAGAGGGTACATTCAGTCCATTTTTGTTGACAGACTCGAGGCAGCTCTGAAAGATGTGCAGGAGCTTTGATTTCTTCAGGAGAAATATGCTCTGACCCCAAAAGTACTTCACCACACCCAACAATATTGTATGGAGGGATTTGGTGTAGAGACCATGTCCTCTACAGCCATATAATAGGCATATTTTCGCATTTTGGCCTCTGCGCTGATGCCCCCAATAAGTGTGATACATGCGCAGTATTTGCAACAATGCATGCTTTGGACGCACTATGAATGCACTTTCGTGCACTTTTGCATCCTCATTGCCAACTGTCTGCATGTCCTGTCCTTGTCCTCCAAGGTCCATTGGTGCATGTTCTATCTATTTTTACTAATTTTTACTTCAAACACATATCACAGAGTTACATATGGTATGCAATTACTCTTTGCCTCACTATTTTTACTTAAGTTACATCACTTATGATATTTACCACTACCTATTCACTTCTGAAGCCTGGGAATGTGCTTATGAGGCATTACATGCCTCTGGGTAAATTTTAGTTACTTACTTCCCTTCCACTGGTATCCTGAGAGCAGCAGCAGATAGTTGAATTGACTACCATCTTTGTCAATTTTCGCACTTGAGTTCAGAAAGGGATCATCTCATCCCCATCATCTCCCACCAATCCAAGAAAAAGATCAGTATTACTCGCCTTGAGGTCTAGAGCCTAGCCATGAAGCACACATTTCACATGTTGAGTGCACATTTTCACGTACCTATCACATCCAGCACGCTTTGGCATCTATTGTCACATTCCATACTCTTGCACTCCACCAGGCCCTCTGTTGAGAGCTAGTTCTTGGCATTTCCCCTCAATTCTTTAGAGGAATCCTTTCTCAGTGGCAATCCCCTTGGGTCAAGTTTGACTCACATCCAGAGGAGCTCTGAAGAGTCCTTATCTTTAGTTTCCCCCCCCCATCCAAATTCCTCGCCTTCATTGGTTGGCATATCCAAGTGCATGTTGATCCCTGTGGGACAACATTGTGAGTGTGACACAAATGACATCAATCAAGCTTACCATTCATCCCAAGCAGTGGATTCATTGCATCATTGAGTGTGGCACCTCACAATAATTCCTCAAACTCCTTTTCAAGCACTGCTGTGATTTTGCTTTTGGCTGTTGCTAGTAAGCCCAACCCTTGTTTACAATGTTTCTTTCCAAGTTCTATGAGAGACTTGAGGATGGATGCTGAGGTACTGTCACAAACACCTGTGGAAGAAACAGCATTCTTGTCATATGCCATTCCGGACTCTCAACTCTAAATCTGCTTCTCTGGATATCCGGATCCGAGATCTGGATCTCAAATGATCTGATCTATCTTTATCTTCCTTCTGGAATCCAAACCCTATATCAGCACCCAACCCCATTTAGACTTCCCCTGTCTCTGGACTCCAGTTAACCATGTTTTCCTTCTGATTATTGATCCATTACATACATTTCATTTCCAGTGTTCATTATTTGTGATCTGTCCTACTTACTAATAGACTTTGCATATGCTTCATACATAGCCTTTATGTTTGCTGACTGATTCCTATATGATACCTACAGTATATAAACCTCCTGTAACTCTCAGAAATACTCCAGTTTGAATATCATCTTAGTTCCTGCTCATTCCTGTGTCCTCCGGACTCAAGATAAGTCTCTTGTCATATTCCGAGTCTTAGGATTGCATCCTAGACTATATTTCTGACTCTACCTTAAGGGTAGTCCATCCTCTGTTAGTTTCTAGTCTGGACTTCATCCAGATTAGTCTTATCTGCTTGCCTAGGTAATATCCAGACGTCTGTCGGATTTATCTCACGTTTCAGATCTGGATGTCCGTTATCCGCCCTAGTCAAATCCTGGAAACTCCAGACGACTGTTCTAGCCCCCGGAAATTAAGGGCACATACTCGGGAAAGGGGCACAGTGTATGAGCTGAGGCCAAGCCCTTGTGATCCAACCCCCTTGAGCATGTAACCTTAACAGAATCCCTCCACTTCTGCTTCATTTATTTGATGGTACTTGTAATAACAATATTTCCAAAGCCATAGACCTCCCTGTCTGATTTCCGTCCAATGTAGTTACCTCTGATACGTTTATGTTACCCCTTTGGATTCGTCTTGTTTTATCATTCTTGGATATAGCTGGCTCACCTGACACAATCTGTTGATTGACTGGGCTTTGGGCAGCATTGAATTCTGGATGACTCCTCATGGAATGCCATAGACCCCTCCGATGTCACTTCTGCCTCTGGAACCCCTTCCTCCGGCAGAAATCCCTCCTCCAACTATACCAGAACCTTCTGCTGATAAATCTGGTCTGCATATTTCCCTCATTAATGCAGTTGCCTTTTGCTGGGCCTGCAAGATGGAAGGATCCAAGCAGTTCAGCATCTATCTCTGCCCCTCCAGACTGGATCTCTGGTCCACTTCACTCTCATCTGAAGCCCCTAACCTTTCCAGAATACCTCTGGAATATCAGGAGTTTGCGGATGTCTTTGATAAGGGCACAGCTAGTCAACTTCCTCCTCATTGTCCATATGATCTAAAGATTGATTTGGAGGAAGGAGCTAATCCACCCATCTGTTAAGAACCATGCTCAAAGAAGAGAGAGACTGACTCAGAGGGGCTTGGCCTCAGCTTGTACGCTGTGCCCCTTACCCAAGTATGTGCCCTTCATTTCAGAGGAAGTCCAATGATGGTCTGATGAAGTCCAGAGGACTTCCAGAGGCTGGCTACTCTGGTGGAGAGTGCTAGAGGACTTCTGGAGGAGCGTGGGAGAGTTCCAGAGGAATGCAGGAAGTGCTCAGGAGAGTTCCCACTGCAAGGTAATACTTTTACCAGAAACAGGATGGAAGGATAGGATGTCTGGAGGTCTGGAAGTATGGAGGACCAGAGGACAGGGGGACTGAAGGCCCAGAGGACAGGATGTCTGAGGGTTAGGAGGGCAGAACGTCTGAAGGACAGGACGCCTGGAGGTGCACAGGACAGGATGTCCGGAGGTACAGAAGACAGGAGGTCTGGAGGTACAGAAGACAGGAGGTCCGGAGGTCCAGAAGGAATAGGGGCTACATTGGACTTTGTCCAATGTAGAAGCAAACAGAGGTAGACTACCCTAAGGTAGAGTCAGAGGGACAGGAAGTGGACCTAAGTCCAGAAAGAGGGTAAGTGCTGGAAAGGCAAGACTCTAGCCTAGGGAAGCAATCCCTGGACTTGGGACAGAGACATAGGGGACAAATCCAAAGGTCTGGAATTCCAGCCTAGGGAATCCTTCCCTAGGCCTTATGGAAAAGGACAAGACTCAGATGGACTGAAGTCCAGAAGATACAGTGGCTCAAAAAACTGTCCACATGTTTTGACATTTTTCACTATCTATGATATTGTGTGAGAACAAACAAATGCCTCAGGAACATGCTTATACCACATTGTAGTATGGCTTCAGGGCTTTCATTTGAGCGCTACACCGTGGGAATCGGTGGAGATATGGTGGAGATACAAGGCTCACAAAAGCATGACTCATGTGGACAGTTTTTTGAGCACATATTAAAACTATATAAATCATCATTTATGACACCATAACAATCATGCCACCATTAAATAAATTATAAAGTGGTGTCATTATGTCATTTTAAAACCATATCTAACTATACAAACCAAAAATTTCCATATGTCATGGTTATATTCACCATGAAAGCCACCCCCCCTGCTCAAAGGGATAATATCCTCTCTCTTTCCTATTCTGGCCTCTCTGCTTGTCAAATTTCCTCTAGAACTGGAGTATCCAAGTCCACTGTGGCCAAGTTCATCAAAGAAAGTGACACAGACAAGGAAAACTTCTGTGAAGGGTGTCCATCCAAGCTCACCTCTACTGATAGGAGGGCTATTATTCAACATATCACTACAGGAAAGGCTGATAATGCTGTCCAGGTCACCTATTACATCAATTCCACCATCACATTCCCTGTCTCTTCACACACTGTGAGAAACATTCTCAAGACAGCTCATCTCAGGTCAGTAACAAGGAAGAAAAGGCTCTCCTCTCTATCACACATAAACAGAGATGACTAACCTTTGCCTTAGCCCATCAGAATTGGATTACATGGACTGGAAGCATGTTATATGATCATATAAGACCACAATAAATAGGATTGGGTCAGATGGCAAGGTATATATGTGAAAAAAGAAGGGTGCTAGTCCTCTCTGCATATGTGTGATAGAGAGGAGAGCCTTTTCTTCCTTGTTACTGACCTGAGATGAGCTATCTTGAGAATGTTTCTCACAGTGTGTGAAGAGACAGGGAATGTGATGGTGGAATTGATGTAATAGGTGACCTGGACAGCATTATCAGCCTTTCCTGTAGTGATATGTTGAATAATAGCCCTCCTATCAGTAGAGGTGAGCTTGGATGGACACCCTTCACAGAAGTTTTCCTTGTCTGTGTCACTTTCTTTGATGAACTTGGCCACAGTGGACTTGGATACTCCAGTTCTAGAGGAAATTTGACAAGCAGAGAGGCCAGAATAGGAAAGAGAGAGGATATTATCCCTTTGAGCAGGGGGGGTGGCTTTCATGGTGAATATAACCATGACATATGGAAATTTTTGGTTTGTATAGTTAGATATGGTTTTAAAATGACATAATGACACCACTTTATAATTTATTTAATGGTGGCATGATTGTTATGGTGTCATAAATGATGATTTATATAGTTTTAATATGTGCTCAAAAAACTGTCCACATGAGTCATGCTTTTGTGAGCCTTGTATCTCCACCATATCTCCACCGATTCCCACGGTGTAGCGCTCAAATGAAAGCCCTGAAGCCATACTACAATGTGGTATAAGCATGTTCCTGAGGCATTTGTTTGTTCTCACACAATATCATAGATAGTGAAAAATGTCAAAACATGTGGACAGTTTTTTGAGCCACTGTAAGTCCAGAAAAAGGGTAAGTGCCAGAAAGGCAAGACTCCAGCCTAGGGAAGCAATCCCTAGACTTGGGACAGAGACATAGAGGACAAATCCGAAGGTCTGGAATTCCAGCCTAGGGAATCCATCCCTAGGCCTTATGGAAAAGGACAAACTCAGATGGACTGAAGTCCAGAAGAAGATTGGGCAAGTCTAAGGTGATATTCAGACTGAGGACTCTACTGTAGTTGTACAGGGGTTATATACTAGAGGCTATCTGAGAGGATCAGTAAGCAAAGGAGTAAGGTTATGTACGAGCATGCGGAAACACATTGGTAAGTAAGACAGAACATAAGTAAATGAACTTGGAGATGAAACTAGTACAAGGATCAATCAGCAAGACGGAAACAGAGATAACCGAGAACCGGAAAAGTGGAGATGCCTAAATGGGGATAGGCACAGGATCTCGGACAGAGGGTGGGAATAGGTCCGGAGATAGTACAGTTAATATCTGGAGGTCTGGAGATCTGGGGATCCAGAAGGCAGGGTGGAAACAGGACTGAGATATGTGAGGTGGTGGATGTAGTCCGGAATCCGAGAGGAGGTAAAGTCCGGATGTCTTGCTGGACAGAATGTGCGTAGGGTGGACAGGATAGGGGATCCAGGAATGAGTTGGATATGGGGTCCGGAAACAGGTCCGGAAAGCGTGGGAATATGATGGGATCTATGTCTGGCATATGGGATATGACATATTTATAGTGAACTACAAGTGCTTTAGGGCAGACATGGGAACAGATATGAGTCAGAGATGAAGGACGCATAAGTGATAGCAAGAATAGGTCATCTAACAATAGCAACAGCAGTCGTGATGTAATACAAGGTATGAGTCAAAGATAAGTCTAGCAGTGGCATCATGTGGCTCATGACGTAATACACAGTAAGGGAGGGAAAATGAATAGAGGCATACATGGTTGTAACAAGGTGTGAGTGTCAGGTCTTGTTAAGGTCGTACTTGTCATATCCCACAATCCAGACCCACGTTCCATCATATTCCCACGCCTTCTGAGCCTACATCTGGACCCCACTTCATATCCAGCTCATTCCCAGATCCCCTTCCGCTGTGCTCCACACCTCAGCAGGATCAATTACGCTCTGGATTTACCCCTGAGCTCCAGACCATCAGATATTAACTGCTAGCCTGATCCATACCCCCCTGTCCCATCCACCCTATGCACACTCCATCCAGCAAGACATCTGAACTTCACCTCGTCTCAGATTCTGGACTATATCCACCTTCTTGTATTCCGGTCCTGTATCCACCTTGTCTTCCGGATCCTCAGATCTCCGGACCTCCGGATATTAATGCTGGACCTATTCCCACCCTCTGTCCGAGATCCTGTGCCTATCTCCATTTAGGCATCTCTACCTTTCTGGCTTTCGGTTACCTCTTCTTCTGTCTTGCTTATTGATCCTTGTACAAGTCCTCATCTCCGAGTTCATTTACTTATGTTCCAACTTACTTACTAATGTGTTTCCACATGCTCATACATAGCCTTGTTCCTTTGCTTACTGATCCCCTCAGATATTGTTCAGTATATAACCCCTGTAGATACTCCTGTAGTTCCTCAGTTTGAATATCAACTTAGACTTGCCCAATCCTCTCTCAGATTTTGGTCCTCCTAAGTCTGTCCTACCCATCAGGCCTAGGGATTGACTCCCTAGGCCAGAGCTCCACCTTTCTGGCACTTACCCTCCTTCCAGACTTAGGTCCAACCCTTGTCTCTCCAACTCTACCTTAGGGTAGTCTACCTCCATTTGTTTCTACATCAGACTTTGTCCGATGTAGCCCCTATTCCTTCTGGACCTCCGGACCTCCTGTCCCTTGTACCTCCAGGCATCCTGTCCTTCAGACATTACACCCTCCGTACCTTTGGACATTCTGTCCTCCTAACCCTCAGACATCCTATCCTCCTGTCCTTTGTACCTCTGGACATCCTGTCCCTCTGTCCTCCGTTATCCTGCCCTCCTGTCCTCCTGTCCTCTGGACCTTTGGACCTCCTATCCCTCCATCCTGTTTCCTGTAGAAGTATTACCTTGCAGTGGGAACTCTCCTGAGCACTTCCTGCATTCCTCCGGAACTCTCCTGCGCTCCTCCGGACATTTCCCGCGCTCCTCTGGAAGTCCTCTAGTGCTCTCCAGCAGAGTAGCCAGCCTCCGGAAGTCCTCCAGACTTTGTCAGACCATCATCGGACCTCATCTGAAATGAAGGGCACATACTCGGGTAAGGGGCACAGCATACAAGCTGAGGCCAAGCCCCTCTGAGTCAGTCTCTCTCCCCCTTGAGCAACATGGTTCTTAACAGTACTCAAAGGATAACTGGATCCAAAGGGCTTCGGCCTCAGCTCATGTGCTGTGCCCCTTACCTGAGTATTGCCCCTTATTTCAGGAAGGCAAGACTAGCATGTCCGGAAGGTCAGACGAGTAGTGTAACAGATCCAGATGACTTTCAGATGAGGGATAAGTATTGTAGGGCTAATCCGGACAAGTCCAGACTAGAAACTAATGGTAATGGACTGTCAGAGACAGAGGCGGATATGGATAGACTTATAGGAATCAATCCTAAGTCTCAGAGGGTGACAAGAGTAGAGGTACTCAAGTCCGGAGGACAGGAATGAGTAGAACTAAGATGATATTCAAACTGAGGTACTACAGAAAGTTACAGGAGGTTATATACTATAGGTATCTAACGGAATGATCAATCAGCAGAGTCCGAGGCTATGTATGAAGCATGTGGATAGTCTATTGGTAAGTAGAAATGGATCACAAATCATGAAATGGAAATGAAACATAGGTAGTGGATAAGAGAGCAGGACGGATATACAGATAACCGAAATACCGGAGTTAGGGGGTTACTGAAAAGAGATGAGTACTGGTTGTGGATTTGGATGAGTTGTGGACCGGACTGGACAAGTGGACAGATTGAATGGTGAGATGTTGGAGGGGAATAAGATGTGGATAGCATTGGAGATAAGATGTGGATCTGAGATGAGATAAGGGTTGGATCTGAGATCTGGATATGTGGATATGACAGGTCTGTGGTTAATTGCACTAATCATGTGATGGTCACAATACTTGATGCCCATGATCAGTTTATCTGCTTCCCCACAGCTGACTCTGAGGACATTGACCTGGCTTGTAAATTTGCTGAGTCATGTACTTGTCCAGAGTGTAAGGGTGGCTTTCTGGCTATTGGTGGCTCAACCATGGATCTTTTGCTAAACCTGGCTATTACAGGGAGACATTTTTTGATAGGAAATCCAAGTATTCCCTGGGCTGTCAAGTATATTTTATTTTATCTTATTTTATTTTTATGTGCTCAATATCAATTTAATTTCAGGCTGTAATTTTGCCCCATAACCTCCTAATTGTTGACTATTCCCTTGGTCATCCTGGGAGTGTCCATGATGCATTTGCATTTCAATCTACCCACCTATATGAAGAGCATGCTGACCTTCTGCCTGATGATCATTGGGTTTGGGCAGATATCCATTGGAGTCATGCTGTATTGTCCTGTTCAAGAAGCCTTGCAATGGACAATTAACAAAGGACCAGAAGACATTTAATTATCACCTCTCTAAGGTTTTTTTTTGTGGTTTTTCAATGAATTTAAATTTAAATTTATTTAGGTTTGTGTTTGTGTTGAACACACATTTGCTGTCTTGAAGGGGCAGTTCCAGTCCCTTTGAGAACTCCACTTCTGTATTCAGGCTGAGAAAGACCTCAATTTTGCGGTGCAGTGGATTAAGTGTTGTATCATCCTGCACAACATGATCATTCACTTTGAAATTCATCACTGCAAGCAAGATGGAACATACCAGAGCTCTCTCAAGTGGGCTCATGATGAGGGGGAAGACTTTTTTGTTCAGGAGCCTGAGGGTCCAGATGGTGATGAAGTAGTTGGTGACAGGACATATGAAGGCACTCCAGGTCAGGGTGCTTGTGCAAAGCTGATGGATATGCTCTTTGATAGTCTTCACTCAAATGCCCAACATAGGGCAGAATGATTCCTCTCAGATCTAATTTGACATGGACTACCACAAATGAATCTGTACAACATATGTATATGTATATAGCTATGTGTATGTAGCTATGTAACATATAAAGTAAATATAATGGCAATGACAAAAAAACATGATGACAACAAATGAGATGCAATGATGACACATGAGATGCAGTGATGGCAAACAAGAAGCAGTGACAGCAAATGAGATGTGATGATGACAAATGAAACAAGATGGCAATTAATGAAACACAACAATGATGAACAAGCTCACACATCTGACCCCAAGTCCTTCTTGGTCTGCATCATTTGCTGGGATTAAATTTTGAGCCAGAGGGTTTCAGCCTCCTTGTCAAGCACAAGGGAATGCACTTCATGCACCTGTATATCCACCTCATGAAGGCGAATCTTGGTGTCTCTTTCCTCCTGTTGGCACTGATGGATGAGAGCCACTTGATTGACCTTGTGTTCACAGGTGGCATGAAGCCAGTCATATTTCTTTGTGTCCCACTGGTGCTTGCTCTTCACATCAAGTTTTGCAAGAAAGTGTTCATGCTTGCTCTCATGGTGCAACATGGCACTGGACTGCAGGCTCTCAATCCCATTGTGGACCAGCTCTACCTGCTGCATGATGTCAGACTTGGCCTTTTTCTTTGAGCTGCCTGTGCTGTTCAGCAATGAGGTCTGCAGAGTTGGAGACATGTGGTAGTCTGATGTGACGATCATACCAGCGCTAGGCGCATATGATCAATAGCACAGTTTTTCTCACCTTCAGAAAAAGGAGATAAAGCATGGATCATTAAATCCATATATATTGACCCATCCGCTCTTACTCTGGTCCAGTCCAGTCCTAGGAATCTGCCCTCCCATGTCCTACCCATGTCCACCTATCTCCGCTGGTGTGTTATTTTTCCCAAATGTCATTGCTAAATGAGTTGCAGGTCTTATTACATGACTACTCACATTCCACAGTGCATGAAGTTTTATTACCTATAGACTCATTGCACGCTCGCTAACTACACTACAATTCTTGCCTATGCATTCCAGACATTCATGTGCTACAATATAAATGACCGCAGTACATACAATGGAGTAGTTTTTTTTCCCCCAGAATCAGCTCTATAGGAGAGTTGTTCTTGCATTATTTTTGTAGACTTTGCGCTATCCATCTATTTTGTTCCTTCCTGACAATCTTGTGCAATTTGACTGTTCTGAAGTCCGTACCACTAGGATCTTACCCTTAAAAGCTCTGCAAGAATACTCGACCCACAACCGGTAGTTTAGCGCTGTTCTTCACTCATGCTATATCCCTTGCAACCAGCCACTCCATAGAGCGCGGTTGATTTTTGCCTGTGCTCCTGGTCGATTCCTTGGTATAAGAATTCAGAGGTATACCTACAGCCAGCATTCAAGTTTCTTAGGCCAATATAGATTATAACTCCTTTGCTCACTTACTTCCCTTGCACATAATTGAAGGAAGTGCTTCAATAGCAGTCCTCTCAGGCCAATCAATTAAACTCACGCCTCTTAGGATAAGTAGTGCTAGTTGCTAACTGCCTAGTACCTTTTTCTTTTACACACCGACAATGTTGTATTGTGCATTGTCAATGAAGGTGTTGACATGCTGCATGCAATGGCTGATGACAGCTTGTGCTGCCTCCCACAACTCAGCAGCCTCTGCATGCCAAATGCTGAGCAGCTGTCATAAAACAAGGCCAGGGACTTGGGGGGCATTGGGGGGGGGAGAGGGTAGTGCAGCAAGCTGCCATTTCTTCCCTGTGACTTAGGGAGGGCTGTTGAAAGTGCCAGTGCTGTCATACATCATGTTGTCGTCATCGTCAAAGTGGTTCAAAGCATCTCTGAGGGGGATGTTGAAAGGGCTTCTCTCCAAGTTGTTTGGGGAGGGAGGTATAAAATCATCCTTGATCTCAACATCAGGGGAATTCAGGCTGTGAAGGTGTACTGGAGGGGGAGCAGGAGGAGCAGGAGCAGGAGCCGCTTGACATAGTTGTGGATTAATTGGGGGATCACCATATGGGTGTGCTGCTGGAGGGACTACAGGTGGATGTGTGGTGGGAGGAGGAGTATTGTGTGCACCAATCAAGGGACCAGCCCCATGTGGTTTAACAAGTGAGTAAAGAGTGGCAGCATGGTCAACACTGGGCTTGGATGAATGAGTTTTGGCAGCAATTGAAGGATTGGCATGCCAGATGGCATCAAGCTCCATGTACCACAGGAGCTCCATGAGAACAGAGTCTACAAAGGTTGATGAGCCCATGGAAAGGACTTGAAGCCATCCCATCAAGTGGCATTACACCAGCACCCATCTCGCTGAATTGGGCCTTGAGCTTCTTGTATTTTGATCTGAGACTTGAGGGATTTGATCAGTGTATGTACACATAAGAAAAATGAGAACTTACTTTGTGATGTGATTAGAGACTGCATCGCGGAACTTCTTCTGATTGTGCTGGTATGCCTGGCCATACTTTGGGTGGCCAGTAAAGATGAGCTTGGCAATAACATTGTAAATCTGCCCCTTGTCTGAGCCCAAGGGCCAGTGTGAAGAAGTAATTGGTACTAGGCAGTTAGCAACTAGCACTACTTATCCTAAGAGGTGTGAGTTAATTGATCAGCCCGAGAGGACTGCTATTGAAGCACTTCCTTCAATTATGTGCGAGGGAAGTAAGTGAGTGAAGGAGTTATAACCTATGTTGGCCTAAGAAACTAGAACACAGACCATATGTATACCTTTGAATTTCTATACCAAAGAATCAACTGCAAGCATGGGCAAAAATCAACCAATGTTAGTATCACAAGAGCAGGATGAACCATTGGAAGATACATGTGAGTGTATTGGATGTCAGATGCCAGTGCGGCAGATGTAATGTGCATGAAATCAACTGCACTCTATGGAGCAGCCAGTCACAAGGGATATAGCACAAGTGAAGAACTGTGTTAAACTACTGGTCGTGGGTCAGGTATCTTTGCAAGAGCTTAAGGGTAAGATCCTAGTGGTATGGAACTTCAGAGCAGTCGAACTGCACAGGATTGTCTAGAAAGAGCAAAATAGATGGATTGCACAAGGTCTACAAAAATAACATGAGAACAACTCTCCTAAAGAGCTGAGTCCAGGGGAAAGGGAACTACTCAATCATATGTACTGCGGTCATTTATATTGTAGCACATGAATGTCCAGAATGTGTAGGCGAGAATTGTAGCGTAGTTAGTGAGCACGCGATGAGTCTATAGGTAATAAGACATCATGCACTGCGGAATGTGAGTAGTTGTGTAATAAGACCTGCAGCTCATTTAGCAATGACATTTGGGAAAATAATGCACCAGCAGAGATAGGTGGACATGGATAGGACATGGGAGGGTGGATTCCTAGGACCAGACCAGAGTAAGAGTGGATGGGTCAATATATATGGATTTAATGATCTGCACTTTATCTCCTTTCCTGAAGGTGAGAAGAACTGTGCTATTGATCATATGCACCTAGTGCCAGTATGATCATCACACTGGTCATCAACAGGGGACATGGCTTTCTTCCCATTGGAATAGAAGAGTATCTTGCAATTAGCAGGGTGAGCATTTAGATGGTTTACCAATACATCAGTCAGGGTGGTTTCACTCTGCCACTGGATGGTGAGTCTGGGTCCAGATGATTCAGAAATGCTGGTAGAATGTCCCTCAGAAGATGGTATGGAAGGTGCTGGAGGATCCATCAACTTCAAGTGTACTCAGGCATCAGCTCAAAGTCTTGCAGAACAGTGTACACACTGACAAGCAGGAGGCATGGTGTTTGAAACTCCACCCTGCCGCACTTGCCTGACTGTGAATTCAGGTGCATTGAGGCCAAGTTTGCCAGGAGTTTGAAGTGTTTAGCTGGCATCTTAGCAAGTTTTCAAAAGTTTTAAAATTTGTTTTGAGTACCACTAGTTTTCTCTTCAGCTCAGTTTCACCCAAAGCAGCAGTAGGCATCAGCAAAACCCTAAGTTAAGGTCCCCCTTTTTACAGTGCTGTGTGGTGCTGTGTGGCACTGTGTGGTGCTGTATGGTACTATGGGGTGCTGTAAATGGGGGGACCTTAACTTAGAGTCTGTTCGGATAGGTTCAAATTTGCACAACTAGACAAAATTTCAAATCTCCAGTTACTTTGTCATCATTGGCCCTTGAATATCCAATATCAGTGTGACATTGGATATGTATCGATAACACACACCCTTCAGCCTTTGTGCACCCACAATGTCATCCAATGAGCATGACCCTGATGTTGACCTGCCAGAATATGATGACACTACTGTTGTCAATGAAAATAATGAGAATCTCGATGGCAGCACTGTGGTCGACACCGATGAGCTGGATATACTCCAGCTGGAGTGGATACGGAAAATGTACATTGGTGCTATTCATCTGGTCAACGTCATGCTCAATGCTGCTACCAAGACCCTTAATTCTTACTCTGATACTCACTTTAACAAGCAACCTTACCATACTTCCACTTTGACAGGGATGGGATAGGTCAATGAATTACTCAATGGACATCCTGATTGTATACGATGTGAACTTGGAGTGTGGTGGCATGTATTCTATGTTCTCCTGAATTTACTTTGTGATTCTGGATGCAAAAATTCCAGATATGTCCAGCTGGAGGAGCAGCTTGCCATATTCCTGTACACAAGTGTCACAGGTCTCTCTGTGCACCACGTTGGTGAGCACTTTCAATATTCCAATGATACCATATCAAAGTGTGTCATTCCTTCATTTTATTGATAGACATGCTGATTTTTATCAAGATATTATAAACAGATTCTCAATGCATTCACCTCTCCCCCTATATATCCCTTATATGTCCACTTGCCTGATGCAGGCAATCCCACACCTCTGGAAATTCTCCAGAAGCCGAAATTTTACCCCTATTTTGCTGACACCATTGGTGCTATTGATGGCACTCATATTGCATGCCATCCCCCTGCCAAAGATCGTGATGCCACTCGCAATTGTAAGGGCGGTCTGACCCAAAACTGCCTGGCTGCTTGTAGCTTCAACATGTCATTTATGTACATGTTGAGCAGCTGGGAGGGGTCCGCAGCGGATGCACATTTATATCATGATGCTTGCATTAAGGATTTTAATATCCCTGCAGGTAAGTACTATCTTGCAGATGCTGGTTTTGGAGCGTGTGATGAGCTACTTGTCCCCTATCTGGGAGTACGCTATCATCTCACTGAATGGGGCCGTGGCCATCTCGCATATGTACTCCCCCTTCTATCATACATCTGTACTGATATTTATTTAGACCATGTGATTACAAAGAGTTATTTAATTTACACCATGCCATGCTCCAAAACGTCGTCAAGCGCATCTTCAGTGTTCTGAAGAATCACTTTTGGATTCTCCTCCTCCCTCCTCACTATGATATGTCCGTGCAAGCTCGCATCCTCCCAGCATTGTGTCTAGTGCACAATGTCATCTGTGTTCACAACCCCAACGACATGCTGGACTACCGTCAGATTGATCCCAACTTGGATGGCCAGCAGCCACATGATACTGGCACACTTGCTCAAGGCCCTCCTACTGATGAGGCATGCACTCACTCACATCAATGCCATGAAGACATTGCCCTCCAAATGTGGGAGGACTACACTACTGTAAGACAGGAGAGGGGGGAGTCATATGCAGAGGAGTATCCAACTGACTTGTACTAGTGTATATTTGTAGCGCTCACAATCAAATGTATTTGTACCTAGTACAAAAATTGTTCTAACTATTGATTAAGTCCTGAAAAAACATTCAGTGTATACTATCCTTAGCATTAACAATAGCTAAGTAAGAGTCCACGATGGAGATATCCTGCCTGAACTGCTTCATGACCACAATTACTTGGGCGTCCTCTAGACCCTCTGTTAGTAAATGAGAGATAGCCTTCTCCCTGCACATAGGGATAGGATCTACAGAGTGCATGATTGTGTGTTCAGTGCAATCTTTCAATGCATTCGCCACGACACTGAATGATGAGTTAAGGTCACAGATCTGTGAACCCATCTGTTGAAATGCTTGAGGGGTACTGATACACGCGGACTTCACAGAGTTGCCAGACACTGTGGGTGACTTGGTAGAGCCCAAAGGGCAGGCAAGGGCTCTTGCACTGTCATCACCCTCAGCTCTGCATTTACCTGTGGCCTTTGATCCAGGTTGGCTCATACCTGTACCCAGCATGGAGGGGGAGAAAGTTGCTTGCTGAGCGGCATCGAAGGGAGGGGGCAGTGGCATGAGGATACTCAATGCTGCTTCACCAGTGCCATTCTCAAGGTCTGTGAGCATCTGCTCCTGCTCCTGCACATCGACCTGATTGAAGTTCAAGGTTGTGGGAGCAGCACTGGTAGAAGGAGTCAATGAGCTGGTAGCAAGTTGCATGAGAGGGTGGAAGGCACTGCTACCAACTGCCTTTGAAGGCAGGAGCTCACACAAGGAGTTATAGGGTGCCCAGCCTTTATTTTTGAAATTTTTGGCAGCTGGGATACTCTAGATTAAACAGTGTTAGTGGCAGAGGGTGAAAAAAAATATGGTACTTACTTTAATAACATCCACCCAAAGTCCCTCTGATTCGGCTGTGATATCAGCGCCATGCTCTGTGCTCCATGCCATGCCCAAATAATGTGCAACTCTATCAACAACATTATATGTGGCATGAAGCTGGAAGTTTATTATCAGTACTAATATCCGGTATATGACAATAACATATGACGTACCCAGGACCACTTTGTTGCACAGGAATCAGCTGTCTTGGGAGCACCAGCAATCGTAGATTGAGCGATATCAATCACAGCCTGAGTCCAAAACGTCTTGTCAAAATTCAGTCCGTCGCCACCTTTAGCACAGTTGTGAGTGATGTAGGTGATGAGGTGTGCTTCATCTGCTGGTGTCCAAATACACCTTGGCTCTGGCTCCTGACTCTGGGTACCTGAATTTGCAGAAGCTTTCTTCCTGGGTGCCATGAGATACACACAACCACCCTGAGAATGACGAGAATGAGAATGAGTAGTAGAGGATTGGGTTGTGGGCATATTTTACTGATATTGATTATTGATGGTCACATATGTCACACTAATACTGATGATGACAAAGCAACTGGAGATTTGAAATTTTGTCTAGTTGCGCAAATTTGAACCTATCCGAACAGACTCTTAGGGTTTTGCTGATGTAGTTTGACACTGCCGGATTCTGCCATCTGCCGGGTAGAACCGGTGCTGCCAAATCGGCTCATCGACCTTTTGCAGATGAACTCGGGAGAAACCGGCCCGGAGTGCCGGCCAGCGCCATCAATAATTATCATTTTGAAACACTCAGAACGATGTGAACGCGCACGGCGCACGCTCTGTAGTTAGAGACCTCCATCCATGGGGCACCTAATAACATTGGCTACGTGAGTATAATATCTACCGTATCTTCATATTTACTCATATCTTTCCAGATGGTGCGTTGTAGTGACCTCGATCTCAACTAGCATCTACTAAAGCGCTAGAAAGTTCATTGAACCAGTGGGCGTTAGATTTTCAAGTAACGTTCTTCATTATACGATCATCACATATCATTAAACTAAGTGTACGTATCAGGGAAACTATGAACGTATTATCCAAAGCATCGCGATCGCAAAGGAGCGCGGTGCTACCCTGAGAGTTGGACCAGAGCTGGAAATTCCGTCAGTACTCATGCACTGTGATAGCGCATGTAACTAAAACCCTCCACAACATAGCGGATATGGCTGCTACGACCATTTCCTTGAAGGTACCGCCACACACATATAAACGTGGCACCCCTGATAACCTAGCACAGGGGACACCGTCCTCCATTCCTGGGAGGTACTAGCCAAAATCTTGGCCAGCGACGATACCATGGGAATTATCTGTGATATTGGGATGTAAGTTGAAAGTGTTATCTGCCTATTCTATAGACTTCATCCAAAATATGACAGGCCCGTGGTACACAAGAACGTGATTTACAACTGCCGTGTCATTGTACACGACAGGCAGGTCCTGCTTATTCGGCCTAAGATGTGGCTCGCCAACGATGGCAACTACCGCGAAATGCGGTACTTTACTCCTTGGGTGAAGCATCAACAGTGGGAAGATCATTTCCTCCCAAGGATTATTCAAACCGTCACGAAGCAGGTTTGTAATTGATTTCCTTCAACCTTAGTCATACGCAACTCTTCCTTTCCAGGTCAAAGTACCTTTTGGAGACTGTGTTATAAGCACGGTGGATACCTGCATAGGTGTCGAGCTCTGTGAAGAGCTCTTCACACCAGCAAGGTATGTATCTTATCTTACCTGAGCACGCCCATTCATACCCTGCTTCAAGTCCGCATATCTCAATGGGACTCGACGGCGTCGAAATATTCACTAATTCCAGTGGGAGCCACCATGAGTTACGAAAACTTTACACCCGCGTTGAGCTAATAAAGGAAGCGACGCTCAAGGTAACAGGCATGCCAAGTATGGACTCTGCCAGCTAACTCGCCTTCTAGCTTGGTGGCGTCTATCTTTATGCAAACCAACAAGGCTGCGATGGCGATCGGATGTATTATGATGGTTGTGCCATGATCGCCATGAATGGCCACATCGTCGCCCAAGGTTCACAGTTCTCCTTGAACGATGTTGAGGTCGTCACAGCTACGATCGACATCGAGGACGTGCGCTCACATCGCACATCCCGCAGCCGCGGGCTCCAGGCTGCCCGTTCTGAGGCGTTTTATCGGGTTGAAGTGCCGTTTGCGCTTTCAAGTGGAAAGTTTGGTAATACAGATGGGGCGATGACCCTAGGTATCCAGGCCAAGCTCTCTGGAGCAAGTTTTCATACTCCAGAGGAAGAGATAGCGTAGGCCTGCTGTTCGTGGGCAAATGCTGGTGCTGATTCTCCCCATAGACTTGGTCCAGCTTGCTGGCTCTGGGACTACCTCAGGCGCTCTCGCACACAGGGATACTTTGTCCCTCTCAGCGGCGGTATCGATTCCTGCGCCACAGCTGTGATAGTATATTCCATGTGCCGTCTCGTGACTGAGGCTGCACGCAAGGGAGGTACTGTCATTCATTTGCTAGATTTGGTGTTTTGGCTAACATGATCACTTTAATCAGACAAGCAAGTCATTGCTGATGCAAGACGAATGGTAGGAGAGCCGGAAGACTCGGTTTATATTCCTTTGGATCCGCACGAGTTCTGCAGCAAGATCTTCCACACGTGTTACATGGGCACCGAGAACTCTAGCGCAGAAACGAGAAAGAGGGCCAAGGACCTCTCAGAAGCGATCGGAAGGCATGTGTCCACTTCATTCCTCGAACCGCTCAGCTAAAAATGAATCTAGCTACCATGTAGACCTGAACATGGACACTCTTGTCACCTCCATCCGTGACCTATTCGCGTTCGTTACTGGTATGCGACCTCAGTTCAGAGCCCATGGCGGTTCGGGTGCGGAGAATTTGGCGCTGCAGAATATCCAGGCAGGTGCCGTGAATCTGGATCTCCACGGTGACTAATGACTGCTGCTAGGCACGGTTGCGGATGCTCCTTGCTTATCTCTTCGCTCAACTACTTCCCTGGGTGCGAGGCAGACAGGGTGCGCTCCTCGTCCTTGGCAGTGCGAATGTTGATGAAAGGTATGTTAACTGGCCGGAGTGACGACAATTGGCTAACTTAGGATCCAGTCTCCGCGGGTATCTCACGAAATACGATTGTTCATCAGGTCAGCCCGTCTCGAAAGGAATGCTGGATGAACTAACATTAATGCCAGCTGATATCAATCCTATTGGCGGCATCAGTAAGACCGACCTCAAGAAGTTCATTGCCTATGCTCGGGATGCGTTTGAAATTCCCATCTTGAATGAGTTAGTACAGCTGGGTTATCAGGTTTGATACTCTTTCCTGATGTCCTGCAGTTTTTTGAGCGCCATACCTACTGCCGAGCTTGAGCCAATTTCAGAGACATATGTCCAGGCGGATGAGGTGAAGATTTTCTCGAAAGTATTCTCTCAATGGCGCTGATCACTCGATAGGCGGACATGGGCATGACGTATGATGAACTGTCGGTCTTTGGTCGTTTCCGCAAAGTGGAGAAGTGTGGACCATACGGCATGTTCACGAAGCTGGTGCACGAGTGGGGCTCATTCCTGTCTCCCGTTCAAGTATATCATCGTTCAAGGTTAAGTGTAATTCGCTGATTACGCCTTCCAGATCGCAGAGAAAGTCAAGCATTTCTTCTTTGAATATGCGCGCAACCGTCATAAGATGACAACTTTGACACCGTCGTACCATGCTGTGGGTACACTTGTCTTCACAGGTTGATATAAGACTGACCTTGTCGTAGGAATCCTACAGCCCAGATGACAACAGTATGTTGTGCCTAAAACTTCATATCACAAGTTGCCCAGACTGACATTGTCGCACAGGATTTGATCTCCGTCCTTTCCTCTATCCCTCAAGGTTCCCGTGGCAGTTTAAGAAAATAGATGAAGTAGCTGCAATCCTACCCGATCGCTCCAACCCAGCTGCAGATAGGACCGAGACTGACTGAATAACATAGAGATCAGGTCTATGTAGACGACATAAGGCTTAAAGCCACAATGAAACAATATCTTGTATTCCAATATGGCGGATATCATGCGAGTACAGTACAGTGCGATGGACAGAGAAACCGAAAGGAAATAGATAATAATGTTGGTCAGATTATGTCCGCAAGAAACGTGATAGCGTGCTTTGAACCGTTATCTTCTTCATGATTGTCGGTTCCGGAGCTGAGGCGGAAGAATAAGTATTGTTGTAATTAGCACGTACTGGTTTTACAGAAGGACTTACGATCAGTTAGGCCTTCATCCTTTACTTTGCGCTTGATGCTATCCATGACTTCGCTGACAGCAGAACGATCGAAATCTCCTCGAGCTTTTATCAGTCCCTCCACGAACGGTATGCATGGCCCGTGCACTTTCGCGAAGGCCCAAAATGACAGGAAAACCATGCTTTTAGACGCTTCCAACATCGCTAAAATCAGGTCCACCACCTCGAAGTATGGTTCGAGCTCTTTGGTGGGTTTGAACCCGCTGAAGAAGGAGAACACAGTACTGATGTCCTCTTTGATGCGCTCCGTTGCTGCTGGTATGCGTAATTTCGGGCAGTTGGCGAGTGCAGTAAGATAAGTAACCAAGAAGGCGTCAAGCAGATACTCGACAAGAAGCTCGAGCAGCGATGGGTTGATACAAGATTGATCGGCCATGTAATCCCGCATCGTAAGCACGATCTGTTCCATGACACCATCGTACCAAGTTGGCTGGAAAAGTTGCTTCGTCGCGGGCTTCAAGTCGTTGAGGATAATATCAATAAATGTCTGAATGCATTTCTTCGCAACATCCAAGTTTCCATCAATGGCGTCATTGAGCTTCTCACTAATGGGCGTTCGGTACTTCTCTGATACAAGGGGTTCGAGTCGTCCCAGAAGCGACTCGGTGTTGTCGGCGGACTTGATCTGGTCGTTGGCAAGTGCAATGCAATACTCTGCTAGACCCCCGACGACCTCCTCCGGTTTCTCCGTTTGCTTCTTCAGCTCTGCCTCAATGACTTTGGTCCATTGATCCTGTATGCCCCTCATAACTCGATTCACCTCACCCACCACACGAGCAAGGATAGCTCCTTGACCACTTTCTGTCGCTGCGTCGATCTGTTGGTTCACCATCTGGAACAGGATAACCGCGCCCTGCGTGCCATAGAGTCCGTCACTGTCCACCTCAGGTGAATCCGAACGCGTGGTGAACTCCTGAATCTCCGTCTTCATTAGGTTCGCAGACCATTCATCGAGCTTCTTGACAATCAACTTCAAATAGTCCTCGATGAGGCTCTGCTCCTCACCGCCGAGGAGCGGTGGATCAAGGAGCTCCGGAGCTATATTCAACTCTTTCATGCTCTTCTTGTACTCCTTAATCCAGGCATGAAGGTCGAGCATGATGCTCGCATCGGGCTCCGATTCAATGATGCGCTGAAGTGTCGCATTTAGAGCACGGTGGTACTCTTTGATATAGAAGGCATGTATCTCGTAGTTCGGTGGAAAGCATGGCACCACGTCGCTTTCGATGCGGATGAGGTCTTGGTATATCCAACCAAGGCCACCAAGAAAGGCGCCAGGGTCGTGTTGATGCCGCGTATATGCGTCGTCAAAATTGGCCTTGATAGAGTCAGATATGGCTTTGGTAGCTTTAGAACGGTAGTGCTTGATGATACGGGCATTTGCCTGCATAGACTTGAATTTAGATGCTGCGTCCATCTTGGCAGCTTTTTTGACGAGCCTAATAGCGATGGCCTTACACCATATCAACTTCGTTCTAGGTGAATGATGTAGTGTGTTGTACCTTTTCGTCTTCCCGTGCCTCAAGTTCCGCGATCTTTATGAGCTTTACTACAACTTCCGGATACCCTGCACGAACAAGTGGCAGCACGTTGCGGGCTAACTCCATGATGTATGCCTCGAAATCTTCAATGACCTTGTTTAACCGCTCAAACATACGCGCAAGTTTGTGGCGTGAGTTGACAGAAGCTTTCTTTGCTTGATGCATGGTCTGATTCCGGAATGCTTCCAGACGGTTGATGTGAAAGTGGATTGGAAGGAGATTAGGAGCGGGCCCAATAATGATTCTGCTCTCTGCTTCAATAATTCCTCTAATACGTCAAGTTTCGAGTTAATCTCCAGTAGATTGTTGACCATCTCCTCCGTCTGTTCGAAATTCCTGTGTACCATCGACACCTGTACAACCTCAGGCTGCCGGAATATGTGAACGATGGATAACGCACCCTGCTAATCTGATCGAATGTTGACACAACATTTTGAGGGTCAGAGCACATCCTGTCCACAGTCTGCATCTCCTCCTTTATGACCTGAACGTTGTTTCGCGTCCCAAGCAATTTCGTGAGTCCTTCCCTGGTTGTATCAAGCTGCTCCTTGACGCCACTTTTGAGTCTGGCATCAATTGAGGCCTTCTCTTTCTCCAGTTTCTTCCGGAATGCTGAGATTTTCAGGAGATCATCAGGAGACTGGAGGTACTCGCCAATGGCTTGTGCAGCAGATACCTGCGGGGCAGCCATGGGAGCTACAGGCTAGCCTCCAATATTCAAAGATCACTGTTACCAGAAAATGAGTCTTATGAGTGAATGACCGAATCGAGGAATAAGTGAAAGTGACTGCAGAAATGTCAACCTAGCGCGTGTTACTAGGCAATGTACATAATAGGCGCCTGTCAGGCTTTCTTGGACAGGTCACACATTCAATCTCGTAAACTTGCGGTTTATTTCATGGCCTTCTTTGCAACGCCAAGGTCATCAGCGCGTCTAGGATGTCGACGGAGGCTGTTTTTCAGATCCTTCAGTTCTGAACATGCGAGAGATAATGACATTGTGATAGTAGGAGGCGGGCCAGCAGGATTGGCTTTGGCAGCTGCCCTTGGTGCGTCGCCTTTTGGTCTACGTGACACTCTCATTCGAGCATTGTGCGCAGCCTCGAATCCTACCGCCAAGAATTCACTCAAGATTACGCTGATAGAAGGGGGGGATTTGTCCAAAGTACAGGATTGGGGCATGCCGCCCAGTGCGTACTCAAACCGCGTCAGTTCCATCACAAATACGTCTCAGCGTTTCTTGAACAGTGCGTGGTACCTGGTGAAGGTGCTCAATGTCATAGCTAACTGTTTTCAGGGATTGGTGTCTGGGACTATGTCGAACATGCACGCACGAACCCTATTCACCAGATGCAGGTGCCGCCTCTATAGGTTTACATAGACCTTTAGTGCTTAATTGTCTCATTAGGTGTGGGACGGCATTTCTGGTGCCCGCATCACCTTTGACGCATCCGAAATACCGGAGTCGAGCGAAATGGCTCGAATGACAGAAAACCTGAACCTCCAACGCGCACTACTAAGAAAGCTTTCGGATACCCCGAGTGTTCAGGTAATCCAAAGCGTCAAAGTCGAATCGATACAACGCGAGGCAGGTGATCGCAACAACTGGCCCCTCGTACATCTCTCTAATGGCGCTACCCTACGCGCAAGACTGCTAGTCGGTGCCGACGGGTTCAACTCCCCAGTCAGGTCGTTCGCTGGGATCTCATCGTACGGATGGTCATATGACACGCAAGCTGTCGTCGCGACGCTAAATCACGCGCCGCGAGGACCATTCCAAGCACCCAACAACACGGCTTATCAAAGATTCCTCCCGACAGGTCCGATTGCATTTCTGCCGCTCTCCCCTTGCACCTCTTCGCTTGTATGGTCAACCAAACCTCATATAGCAGCAGCGCTGAACAAATCATCTCCAGGAGTTCTGGGGCAATTAATAAATGCCGCTTTCCGTCTCCCCGAGTCGTCTTTGCAGTACATCTACAGACGACTCCTCGAAGGTGCTAATTCAAACGAGGAGATCAAGGAAGAAATCGCGTTCAGGGAACGCTCGGATGGCATTTCAGGCCACTCTGCGTACACATCCGCTACGTCAATGATTTCGGATGGTGGTATTCCCCCGGATGATTCGGATGCGGTTCCTCCCCTCGTGATTTCAATTCAGCAGGGCACGGTAGCAAGTTTTCCGCTTCGCTACAACCATGCTGAATCCTATCTTGGAGAGGGCGCGGGAAGCCGCACGGTATTAGTCGGGGATGCTGGACACACTGTCCATCCGCTAGCAGGACAAGGTCTAAATATGGGTCTGGGAGACGTTGACGCTCTATCGAGATGCATCATACAAGCTCTGATGCATGGCGGAGACATCGGTGAGACACACCTTTCCTCATCGAGAAGAGTGCAATTTAACTATCTCTTCAGGCTCGTATACAGCTCTGATGCCCTATGCACGGGAACGCTATTTTGAGAACCACAAGGTGATGTCAGCGATCGACAAGCTGCACAAGGTCTATTCTTCTACAGCACAGCCGGTGGTGTGGGCGCGATCTGTGGGGCTTGAAGTGGTGAACGAGCTTGATTCAGTGAAAGCCGCATTGATGATAAATGCTGGAGCGAGCTCTTGGTTGCACAATGCAAGCGAATGGACTTGTTTGCCAAATGCGTCGAGAGTTTAGCAGGGGCCGCTAGTACCTCGAAAATGGTCGGTGGGATGGTCGGCGTAGGAATACAGGAGTTGGCTAAGAACGCCAGCCAAAGATTGTTTGGACGCCATTGAACGCGTCTACATAGATAAACTTTGCCTTGTTCTTTCTGCAGATGATCAGAGTCAACCCACCTCATGTTCTCATTAATGCTCGAGTCCTGAGCACACTACTGATCCATATCCGACGTGGTAAAAGAATGAAATGTCAACTTCACCTCATTTCAAAATAGTTCTGAAAAGCTCATAGGAGCGTTGCAGAAATAGCATGGTGTGCAAGTATTTAACTAGGGGTCGGCGTTGCCGACTTTTTACCTTGCGGAGCTCTTTTGCTTAATTTGACTTGCCCACAATATCAACAGGGCCAAATATCTTTGATTACTCGCCGTTCAGACGCACAACATTCTGAGCATGATACAAAAGGCTGTAAACTTTCATATGGGTCCATATTCACCTTCATTAAAACGTCTCTCGGTGTCTTCTACCAGTTCTCGCATTCTTTCGTCTTCTATACGAAGATCTTCCAAAGGGTGTCGAAGGGGTCTACGATGCAGCTTAGCGTGTTCGAATTGCTGAAGACTTCCAACGCCGAATGTGCTTTTATATTTAGTATGTTTAATTCGTTATGTGCATTATTTATCGTTGATGAGTGTCTCATCAGTCGAACACCAATCTCGCGGCACTCCTCATATCTTCATTCAGACTGCGGCCGCTGTCCAAGAAGCCTTTGAGTCTAGCGGGTCTCGAATGATTTATACAGACTCTCCTACCATCCTTGCAGATCAAGTGTTATGTGCAGATCCAGCAGAGTTTAATCGTACGTCAGTTAGTTATATGTTGGCGTCTTTTACCCTAATTTATTACTGAGGAATCGCTCAGAAAATGGCACGCGACTTAGATACTACAGTGGTGTATGCAGATACACTTCTGTTAGCAGAACGGTTGAGAGATGCTGCTCTCAAAATTCCTCGAGTGGTCAGTTAAGAAATTGGTGCTTGGGCTGTTTGTCTGACAATTAACTTACGGACTTTCTGTGTTCTCTTTTGCCGCATTTTTGATAATGGTTATGTCGTTCGTTCGTCGTATTGTCGGCTGTGAATGAAGTCCATGACACCTGTTGTGATGACATAATCTGAGTTAGTCATTTGCTCGTATCTAATTGCGGAATGCGCCAGGCTGTTGACTTTCATACAGAAATGACGGCAAGCAGCTACATTTGTAGAATCGCAGGTCAGACGATTAATTGGAGTCGTGGTTCATATTCAGGCGAGTAGTCTTTGTCACTATGCATTTTTTCATATCTTGGACAGGTTTCAGGTATAAATCAATTTGGACGCATTCGCGCTCTCGTATGCTCTGGATATTGGAGCACATACCATCCTCGCATATGCTGTGTGCTTTTGCATCAGCGTGGTTGAAACAACCTCGAGGTTAATTGTTCGCGCCGTTATCGAACCTCGGGCTGTTCATAGCATGGCATATGTGTGAGGGCCGGTGACGAAATGAGTTTGCCGGATGGATTTTAAAAAAGTAGTGTAATTATTGTTCGGGAGGATCGTTCTTGAAGATACTTTGTACCATTATCTCATTCGCCATAATGTAATTCTGTGCAGAATCAGCAATAACGCAGTCTAATTCATTTTGGTGTGTCTGGTGTCAGACGGTTCGCGATGATCACGTGTATATTTTGTGATGTTTACCACCACAGGTCACGCCGCATTCATAGACCTTGCTCCGCAAGGTAACTTGGTACGTTCCAAGTATTTGTCCTTATTGAATCCTAAGGCTGCTGACGAATCACTCCTGTCACCCGAAAATGACCTCTGTAATCTAAGCTGGCGGCTCACATGCACAGATCAAAGGGGCCCGATGATGTGAGGTCATCGACCGCCGATCAATCGTTACCTTTTCAACGTTCAATTTGAATTCAAAACACCTGAATTCAGACGAAATCGAGCATACTCCTCTTCGGATTTTGATACTCTACAGACAGGCGGCCTTATCAGGATATCCGGTCGAACCAAGTCCGCCGATTGACTAGCCCGACACGGAAAGTATGATTTTTCTGCTAAAGGAGCTATGATAGGGGTTCTGGTGACATATAAATGGCTGTCAGGAGGGAAAATCCCCTTGTCAGAACCCCGTCACTGCACACTTAAATCGAGCACACACATATTTATCATGTCTCTTGTTCACTTCCACTACGACCCATTCACCGAGTTCGAGCGCCTCTTCGACGACGCTTTCAGTGCTCGGTTCCGTCCCTCTGACGTCAGCCGAGCTGTCGAAAGCGGGTCTCGCGTCGGGACATTCCGCCCAAAGTATGTGCATAAAAGGGGGCATCATTGCATTGCTAACTTTGAGTAGGATGGATTTGATTGAGGGCAAAGATAGCAATGAAGTCACGGCTATCTTTGATTTCCCTGGCTTGAAGTCGGGAGATATCAAACTTGACGTGCAGCAGAACCGTCTCACCATCTCAGGGGAAATGGGTGCAGAGCATCAGCGCCAAGAAGGAGATTACGCTGTGCGTGAGCGCACATACGGAAAGTTCTCTCGCACCTTGCAACTACCTGTGGGGACAAAGGTGTGTTCAGCTTACTACCTTCGTGAGTCGAAGCTCACGTCACCCGCAGCCTGAGGAGGTCCAGGCAAAGATGGAAAATGGTGTCTTGAAGATTACTTTCCCGAAAGTTGGAAAGGATCAAGAGCCCAAAAAGATCACTATTGCATAAGTGATCACGCCATAAAAAATGTTCCCCAAGAAACGTTGCTACCTGCCATTGTACGATAGTGATTATCAATGTACCATTGCGCTGTTGAGTGTCAAAAATGGCTGAGCGTGGTTTATAAGAGTGATCCTAGGACATGTTATCATCTAAGATGTGGGAGAGTGTAGTTGTTGGTACTCGCCCCTCATGAAGGCCCACCACTGCGGTCCATACATGTAATATAATGCACCAAACGCCGCACCACCAAAATGAGCATAATGATCAAACATCCTGAAAGGCATCACCAACATTAGGGATGTTCTCATGCACATATGTACGTGTACCCACCTCCAGCCGCGTGCGATGCCGATCACATCAAGCACAACAAGACCACCAACTCCTGCCTGAATCGGTATCGAAACGAAAGGAGGGAAAATGAGGCTGACTTGGGCGTCTGGAAACGCTAATGCGCTAACTGTCACAGCTGCGTAAATGGCGCCAGACGCGCCTAAGGATGGTAAGATCTCCCGCGGAGCAGCAGTTGCAGTCTTTACAGCCGTGCTAGATATTGCAGCTGCCGCTGGGGAGTTCTTTATAACTGCAGAAGCGGTGTACTGGTTGACAAGGCGAGGGAAGAGAACCTTGCAAGCAGCAACATGGCTGACCAAACCGGAGAACAGTCCAGCTTCAAAAAATAAGTAAACCAAACAGCGGCAACTGACACGAGCGTCCTACCGGAGATAAAGAAGGCAAGGAAATGCCACTTGGCAGTGGCTTCTTGCTGATGTTCACCATGTTTTAGTTGCTCCAGGGTAAAATAGTGTGTGGCGGCCGAGCCTTATAAATGGAAGAAGTTAGGATGACCCTCTAAAAATCTAACTAGCGCACCAAAGCTAGCTAGGGCCATTGAATTTGCCAACAAGTGGATGAAGGATTTGTGACTAAACGTGCTCGTTAGCAGAGTGTATGAGCGTCCTGACAACGGGTGGTGAGTGAAAGATCGGGTCATGAACGGCGCGAGTCGTGGTATCTTCCACACGAGATATATGGCCGTGTTGATGCCGCAAATCAACCAGCACAATCTTCTGCCCTCAGGGGCATCAAGGTATGACTGTGCAGCTTGAACGTAGACGGAGAGGATGAGGTTGCGCAATGCAAGAGGCCATTCAATCAGCGTATCTTTGAGTTGATTTACTTGCGTTTGCAGATACTGAAGAAGATAAAATGTATCATGGAGGACTTCGGAAAAGAATGAAACGCACCTTGCCAAGCTCTAGGTATTGAGCCTTTCTCATCTCCTCAGTAGTTGGGGGTCGCAGAGTCCATCTGTGAGAGACAGATACGAGTTGTTTTGACCAGTACTCGGTATCGATTTTGGTTTGACTTGCGGCTATCGAATACGCAAGTAAAGATCCACCGACAAAAAACTAAGAAACCATAAGCCAGCCAGCTAAAGCATGAATGAATGAAAAATGAATGAAATTTGCTAACCAACACTTGATTCCGTATTGTCGGCCGGGGAAATCGAGAGCTGAAGGATTCTACTTCAATTGAACGGGCAACTTGATCACGAAAAGTCGGCAGTACACTCTGAAATGACTTCTCCGAAGCAAACCGCCCTATTCTTGGAAAGTTACGTGGCAAAGAGTGGACAAAAGAGCGACTCGAAGGATGAATGCATGGCCGCAAATAAAGAGACGTCTTCAGGATGTCAGTAGTACGAAACATGTTACTTTCGTGTGCATGCGTGTTGAGTTTGCCGACAGAAGATGTCTTCGCCAAATCGGGCAACACGTCCGCTCGAGTCGCCCATATGATCACCTTCTATTTTCGTTCTCTACTGAAATGGCGTAGGTCTAACAGTGACCAGTCAAAAATTTGGCAAGTCGTCTCGAGAGTCTGGCCTATGTTACAGGTCCAGGAATATGTTCTACTACATCTCATTCCTGCGGCCACCTCCCACCCAAGCCGCCTTATCTGGCGAACCCATCCTCATCACCCCTCAAATCGCCAATGATCTACGGACAGAATATTACACAGATGTCCAAGATATATTCTATTCGTGGTCCTTGCATTCGCCCGCGCCAAGCTCAGTGATAACAAAACCTGTGAAGCTCACGAGCTGGAGGGCATCTACTATGTACAAGGAAATACCCGTTCCACCCCCTCGAAATGTCCGCAGTGGAGAATACTGGCGCCTTATCCTTAGCTCTGGAACATCACGAAAAGATCAGGTACTTTCCTTGAACGACGAAAATCTGGGGTGCCAGCCGTTCCCCGTCCTCTCCGATCCTATCTTTTTCTCCGCTCGCTCAAGCAAGGCTGTAAAGCAGGAGCAAATTCAGAGATCATATGCGTTAACTGCAACCAATAGAGACCACTCTGTGATATTTCACATCATTGAGCAAACATCTTTTGACCTTGACAAGGCAAATCAGACATCAGCTTACCTCGCTGCAGACAGCTAAAATGAAGCTCCAACAGAAAATATGGGACAGCGGTATCGGTCTTAGCTCTTGGTTAATACAACTTCACTCCGGGATGGTTGCCAACACCGCTCTGGTTTCAAAAGTGAAAGACGTACTCTTCGCCTCAAAGTGCAATATTCTCGAACTAGGTGAGCTCTCAACGAGGTAGTATTCCTCGCGGCGCTGAACTCTGAGTACTGAGCAGGCGCAGGGACAGGCATAGTCGCTATCGTTCTTGGAATTTTGCGAGGCTTGCTTAACTCTCCTGTGATATCGGGAAAAATCATAACCACCGATTTGCGTGAGCAGCGTGTGGCAGCTTAACGAATAAAATCACTAATTGTGGTGTACAGCCTCTGCCTTGCCTCTATTACAGAGTAATATTAGTTCGAGTCAATCTCTCTACCACCCCGGAAACGCACCCAAAGGCATTGTTCTCGACTGGGATAAACCCTGACATATCCACTCAGGTGGCATCATTCGTCAGTGGCATCGATGTGATCGTGTGAGTGCGTATCAACTTGCATAGGTGAATGTTTTGAGCTTTCATACTAGGATGGCAGATGTCACATATAACACTGTATCGTTTCCTGCACTCGTCGGAACACTCTCCAGACTTATCATGTTTTCAATGAGTGTCGCACCAGCGAAACCTCCACTGATCATTCTTGGTTACAAAGAGCGGGATGTGGCAGAACGTACTCTTTGGGAAATGGCAGAGAAAATCGGCATACGTTTTGAGGAGGTCGCACAAATTCCTGGAGCGGTGGGTACACCTGTTGAGGTTTGGGTGGGGACGGTGTTAGTGAATACATAGTGAGATGTTGATTAGCTGAGATATGAAACACTCTTGCGAACAAGTACAGATGACTAGAATTAACAGAGTAAAATGCAATACAAGAAATGCGGGGTATGTAGTACTGAGATAGTGTTGATGATAGATATCAGATCTCTCAAAGTGGCGGAAGGGGCCTGCGACAGTGAGGACAAATATTCTGAAAAGATCGATCAATATGTAGTCTCATTCGTCTATGTAGACCGTTACCTTGATAGCAAGCCACTAGTAAATGGAGGAGATGAGCATCTAAAATCCGACAGGGAGCAATAAACATACCTTCTCCAGGCACTCTGTATGCTGCTCAACAGCATGAGCGTGCTGCTTGCATATAAATGATATCGAGAACTCACAAATAAATGTTGACAAGGAGCCAGACTGTAACTTCGCCTTGCTCCGACATTTCGCAGTAATCCACCAGTAACATGCTCTAGCTGCTTCTCATCTTCGGTATGAATAGCCTCCATGCAAATAGCACAGTCCCCGAGAGATTCGTCAGGTGCTTCTGGGTCAGCGACAGAAAGCGGTAATGCTGGATGATAGTCGTGCACTTGTGCACGAGCAAACTGCAATACTCAGTAAAACATCTGTACGGGTGAAAAACGCGACCTACTCGTTTCGGAAGGAAGAACGCCGGCCCAAAACGCTGCTGAAGCAGTATAACAGCAACTTGCAGGAAGATGAACATCGCAAGATACCATATCCAACCTAGTAAAGTATAAGTCAAGTCTGGTTGATTCACGACTCTGTACCCACGGCGAGGCTCGACGTCGAGCACATTCTTTGGACATGTCAAAAAGTCTGAAAATATAGATATGTTGGACGTAAATTGACAACAGATGCACTGGCACTCACAAAGAGCATGGAAAAGTCGGCAGAGTGATGTGCCAATCAAGTACTCGGCAGTAAGTGCACTGCTCCTGCCTTTCTTCACCGATCGAATAATCTGTGGCAGCCAGAAAAGGGAGTACATGCTCGCCACAAACACTAACGCTAGCGAAGGAGTCACGATGACTCGGACGATGAATGTCAGGAAGAAAAACATTCCAAGCCCTGAAGGAACGTCAGAAGTGAATACGAGAACACCTGAATACCTACATATCCGTGCTTGGGGATCAGAGCGAATGTGTCGAAACAATAAACTTGAGAATGTCGGGCCGGTAGATTGAGGAGGAGCTGTCGTTGGTGCGGGCACAGTTTGAGAAGGTAGTGACGGTTCCTGTTGTACCGGCCGGGGAGGGGGCAGCACCACTGCATCTTCTGGGGCTTGAACCTGATTGATGAGAATAGCGTGTTGCTGAAAAGTCAATTCAGCCTACGCAGTCTATCGAGTAGTGAAGGCTCACTGACAGATTCAAAAGCAAAAAGCACGCAGGCAACGAATGCTGGAGCCACAAGCGATAAGGAAGGACGTCCATTAGCAATAATGGCAAAAGTGATGTGCCCAGCAAATGAGACGGAGTCCACGATGGATTGTGTAAGGAACGTCCATAGGGACACACGAGACAATCCAGCAGGAGTACGACTTTGGTCAACTTGACGAGAGAGCAGTAGTAACTGCACTAGGTACACAAAAGCTGAGATACCGGCATCTGTCCAAAAAACACGAATCAATAAACTGAGTGCGTCAAGGCGGAACATCCTAACATGTGGCAACCTTCCGGAAGAACAACTGAGACCTTGAGACAAACACTCAGTTAGGTCCCTAAACAGGAAATATTGAAGCCATACCTTAATCCTTCCGCGTCATGCAAGTTATATAAAATACCACATTCTCGACTCAAAAGTACACCATTGAGCTTGAGAGGCGGACGTTTCACTGTCCATCTCCCCGTTGGTTTCTGTAATTCGTCTTCAAGGTCTTCCATATCCTCAACGGGTATCTCGGACGGCGCAATTTGCGCGTAAACGCTGAATCCACAACCTCCTTGCGATTCCCCATCTGCAAGCACCGTTAGAAGTGTGACAGACACAGGTAGCTTTGGCATACTGGTTGAATCCTGGTCGATAACACCCGCATCAATCATATCTTTCACCTTGTTAATTCTAGACATCAATTCAGGTTCTATTGTCCGAGCAGTATCATTCTGGAAAGCTTCTGGGACAAAGGCGGGGATGTAGCGGATGTCTATATGTCGACTAATACAATATCAGTTTCTGTCGTCTGGACGTCATGGCTAAGGACACACCCGGTGGGTTCAGCAAAGCCATATATTGACCCATTTGCGAGGAAGTGCACGCCTTCAAAATCCAGCTTCATATCATCGGAAGTGGCGGGGTGACGGACATCAATTCTGCCCTGTGGGGGTTCAATTTTCATGAAATGAAGTAATGAAAGCAACTCACGTGAACCATGGCGATCTTCTCGGTAACACCTTTCACGCTGATTGGAGCTCGATCCATTATACTCCATGAAATTTTATCCGAGCCAGTCCAATTCCAAGATCCGAAGTGACCGACGAGATCTGTCATGTTAGTGTCGCCCATGAACGTCTCAGCGTGTGTTCTCCAGGGATAAGTTGCAGATTCAAGGCTGGGAGGGGTGATATTGAAGAAGTGGATCTCGCCGTGCGCAAATCCGGTCACATTCGAAAAATAAGATGCCCACTGTGAATTGAGATGAGACCCAAAAGACATGAATGACCCTACAAGAGGGGTGGCAGCGGCATTCCTGTCTGGCTGCTATTCTTCAGCGTTCATCAGCAGCCAGAAGCAACTAAGCACGTACCATTGTAAAGTTAGACTCTGTCCCATTCAGCCAAGCAGTGAAGTTTGACAGCTGGTAGTTGAGGGATTGAAGGGCATCCTGGTAATGATTTCGAGCGAGAAATTCATCCCCAGTGTGATTCGTGAGTATGAAGAGCATAAATATTAGGAACAGAAATGACGGAACAGAACTCCTCTGCTGCGGTATTCTCGCCGGCTGCCCATCATTTTCGTCGTTGCGGTCCATAGGTGTCCGAGTCGGTGTCGTGTTGTCACTGGAGCCTTCAGAAGCGCAGCATTATTGATCACGTGCCAAATGCATTAACACGTTAGCCTAAGCCGCGATGAAGACAGCACCAGACAGCAAACGGTGGACCCATTTTCACTCGGCACTACAACTTGCCATATCGCGCTCAGCACACAAATGGACGCGAGTATCAAGGCTGCTCATATTTACGCGTAGTTCTGACTAACGGTCATGTAGATACGAAGATTTCCAGGAATGCTTCACGCTCTGGTGCAAGGAAGAGCCACATGGTGCAGAGGGCATCTTTAACACTGTCTCGAGGCATATGGAGGATCAAATACACGTGAGTCTTGCCTCTAAGCGTCACAGGATGCACCATTACTGAGACGGCCTCTCAGCAAAGCTGCGAGAGTCTGTTTAAGGAGTTTAATGTGAGAGATAGTATCAACATTCTCCATGCCGTCGTCTCTGAAGCGAGAGCTCGAAAACAACGTGGAGAAACACATGGCAAGGATGTATGGAGAGAAAATATCGCACCGCGTGCTGCTGTTCGTGCACGTACTGTCCGGGTGATGGAGTCTGAAGTAGAGCGTGCACGAGCAGAACTACAGGCTGTGAGTAGCTCTTTGACAAATGCTATTATTTACAGGATTTTCTGAATCCATGGCAGCTTGAGGAAGAGAATGCTGCCCTGTACGCCCGATGTGAGGATAATGACGAAAAACAGCGTGCTGCAGACGCTAAGACAGCGGAGCTACTGGATATCCTTGATGACGTGCGTGATTTTTTTTCATTGGGATTGTTTGAGCATTCTAATAAATGCTAGGTTTACGCAAAGTGGAGTCAGCTCCCGCAGGATGAAATAGGTGTATGGGCTCTTGAATCAGCGGAGAACGTCGGCTTTGCACAACCACCATAGATTGATGCCGTCACGTCATGACATGAGTTTAGGGCGATAGTAGCAGTCCGCTTTTTTCGTTGATGATTACCACTGTACAGATGATCGACAAAGTGTACTGGCAAGAGTATTGTATGTTATTAATTTGCATCTCGGAAGCTCATTAATCATTTGACTGATACCACAAGCAAAGAAAGTACACGAAATGGGATCTCACACGTCGGGCTATAATGGAAAAAAAAATGACACTTAGCAGCAACTGGTTTCGATCCAGTGACCTCAGGGTTATGAGCCCTGCACGCTTCCACTGCGTCATGCTGCTGATGATCGAGGGATCAACTATGTAATATTTAATAGGGATGCTCAATTCTAGTTGTTGTTTGCAAGTGCCAACAGTACTTCCCCAAGCTATGAGTTGCGACTTGCAAACGACAACGACACTTTAGAATTGAATATTGGGCATCCCTGGTAAATATCTAAGGTTATATTTGTCCATGTACGATGTGAGGTTTCCGTCAGTTCACTGATGCTTTATCGCAGACTCGAGTCTCTTGTCTACTTCTAAAATCCACGATTTTGTTATCCTTCGTCAGACTCGTGTAGTGTTTCCCGCCGCTAGATTTCCATCTAAGCAAGCACTACAATGGCTTACATCAAGAACCAACACGCATACAGCCTGAAAAACTCTAAGGGAGGCACTGCCCTTGACCTCTCGGGCTACGATGGCTACTCCAGTACGCATATCATCCTTACTTCAGGAGTATTCCAAGCCAGCGTTAATGTTGCCTTAACTTAATAGTCATCGGTTTTCAACCCCACGGCAGATCCAACCAGGCAGTACTGCACTTGTTTGCCATCCCACTATGGACAGGTCGTTCTGATTAGCTTCTCGGTTCTTAGTGGACCTTTCAGCAGGATGACGACAAGAACGGGTGGTTCATACGGTCTTCCTCTGGAAAATATCTTGGGATCGAAGGCAACCCTCAAGCTGGCGCCGCGGTCGTTGCTGTTTCGAACCCCTTCAAGTGGGATGTCAAAGACTCCGACATCGAAAACGCTAGAGGCATTAGGTTTGTGTGTGTGTGCATGTCTTTCAATGAGATGATTCTTACCGTTTTTTTCTTCGGCAGGATATTGGCCCATGGCACGAATTTCAGCTTAGACTTATTCAAGGGAAATCCAGCAAACTGGACGAAAATTATGCTTTGGGGAAGTTGGCCTGGCGCGAATCAGATTTGGACATTTACCGAGCTGGTTTCCATTGAGGACCAGCGCACTTACAGCCTCAGAGATGCTCCCAAGGAATCATCAAAAGTATTTTTCTTCAATTTCCTATCTTCGCCATCTCATCGTGCATTTTTTTGTGATTCCAAGGATCTAAATTTGGATTTGAATGCATGTTTCCATCCTTTCCTCGTATGACATGGTTCGAGCATTTTTCATGCAGATCATCACCATCCCCACGGCCGCCCGTGATGCATTACTCAATGGGGACTTGTCTACCGCTGACATGTTACTCACACAAGAGATCGGCACTGATACCGACAACCATGACTCGTATGCTAACCGTTCACTCGTGATGGCACGAAAACACGAATGGGGCCACGCACTCGATGATGCAATCAAGGTGAATAGATCGACCTATCATTCCTTCCTTATGAAGGCTGACTTTTATTGCAATACAGTCCGTCACCATTCAGCCCTCCTTGGCAGGTTTTATCTTCAAGGGCATCGCCTTATGCGGAAAAGGGCATGTCTGTGACGCGAGGATAGCATTCGACATCGCGTCCATGTTCACGAACGAAGATTCAAAAGCTCTTCATTTCCTTCTCTTGGTCAAGGCATGTCAAATGTTTCTCATATACTCCCTATTTCATTACCGATTTCAGGCCATCGCGCTGTTTAGTGCAGGTCAACATGAGGAGGCAATGCTGCTCGTCCAACAGCTAGCTGCAACTTGTTCAAATAATGATACTCTTGCATGTCGTGTCGTGGAGGTGAGATCTCAAAGAAGCCTAGATATCGTGCATCGGTCCTGATTTTTTCTGAACTTTGCGCATTAGGCATATCTCAGTATCCAGCTTGGAATCAATGCCTTGGATGGCGCACTTCACGACAAAGCTGTTGTCCACTTCGCCGCCGCCGCCAGCTCCAGCATGCTCCCATCTGCAGGCGCCATCGATTCTATATACAAAGACTTCATAGTGGTAAGTTGATGTGATACCGGACATGCTTCCGTGTCGAACTCTGTGATGTTGTGTAGCTCTTTGGATGGGACCTAAAGTCCCTGTGGCAAAATGCACATCAAAAGCATTGCGATGCACTCCGTGGGGCGGGTAGACTTGAAGAAGCGCTGGAATCATTCCGAACCATGATGTATATAATTGACGAAAATGCGAAGGCCTGCTGCCTTGATTGGTCCAACGGCGAGTCTGGAGTTCATATTGTCACGCAGGCTCTAATCTTCACCTGTTTCACTCAGCATTCAAGCAGGAATTTGGTGCCTCTATCTTGCCAACGGAGATGATGCCTTCGCTGCAAGTGACTATGACAGGGCTATTAACTTATACTCTGTTGCGATCGAGCTGGATTTTGCAAGCGACACCGTGTTTGCAAACTGCAGTAGGGCAAAGTTGAAAAAAATGCTATGGGAGGACGCGCTTCTCGATGCGCAAAAGGTACGATGTTATACCCAAGGTGTTCCCTAGCCGATGTCCACTCTGGCGATACGTAGGTCATCGAACTCAACCATTCATCTCATATTGGGTATCAATTAAAGCATACGGCGCTTTACGGCGCAAAACACTACCATGAAGCTGTCGGGGCCTTTGAAATGATGCTCGCCAAATTGGATAGTGCTCATGACATGCAAATACGAAGTAGGCCATAATAAACAACTCCTGTCCAAATGCTCAACTCTTTTCTCAGAGCTGCGCGAGCGGTATGTCAGTCCCTCCGAAGCAGAAGGTTATATTCGAAAGTTTGTCGACATTCAACTTGACACCAGCCCACTTCGTCTACTCAACACCACTACCGGGCTCTTATGTGATCGAGAAGCGCAGATAAGCGCCTTTAAATCGAGCACAGAGTACAATGAACTTCTTTTGGCGTTGACTACCAAGCATCCAGATATCCGGATGGAGCGCATCACAAAAGTGGTTGCGGTGTACTTCCGTCGCGTCATGTTATCGCATCGATGGGGAGAGAAAGAGCCGCTGCTGCACGACATCAGTGAAAAGGTCGTGTACGAGTTGAAGGCAGCTGGCGGTCTCATGAAGTTGCAATCATTCTGCGAAATTGTTCGTAAGGCGGAGTATCACTGGGCGTGGGTTGATTCGTGTTGCATCGACCAGCGTGACAACGTCGAGCTCCAAAAATCACTGAACTCTATGTTTACCTGGTATCATCATTCCGCACTCACAATTGTCTACTTGTCGGATGTTCCACCGTCGTCCAAGTCTGGGGCACTATCGAAAAGTATTTGGAACACCCGAGGATGGACCGTCCCAGAATTCCTGGCTCCAAAAGCCATTCTCTTCTATCAACAGGATTGGACCCTATATCTCAATGACAGTTCTCCAAACCACAAGGAATCTGTCGAGATCATGCATGAGTTGGAGGCTGCGACAGGCATAGATGCACGCACCCTCATCGAATTTCAACCTGGGATAAGAGACGCACGAGAGAAACTACAATGGGCGTCTACGCGTGTCACCACTGTGCCAGAAGATACCGCATATTCATTGTTTGGTATCTTCGGCATCCAACTACCTATCCTTTATGGCGAGAATAAGCAAAATGCGCTTGGGCGGCTCCTACAGGAGGTCGTGGCTCGGTCGGGCGATATCACTGCCCTCGACTGGGTCGGCCAACCCTCTGAGTTTAATAGTTGTCTTCCAGCCGATATTATTTCATACACAGCTCCGCCATACGCCTTGCCATCTTTGTCTGAAGATGAGATCCAGACCGCCGTCTCTTTACTGAAAAATGCTGTCGCCGTAGAATTGGCTTCGAAACTTCATACCCTTCTTGATAACATGAGTGCTCCTCGTTTCGCGAACTGCAGATTACGTCTGCCTTGCATCGCCTTCCGTGTCACGGAAGTCAAACGGAGGCATGGTACAGCCCAGGAACCTTTCACGTATGGAGTGAAGGCAGACGGGCTTCAGGACCTGCCGATCACCAGCAAACAGACGCTGGTCCAGTTCTCGCGGACGAGGCCCACTCGACAGACGTTTTTGCTTGTCCGTCCATGGGATCGCCGCCTCCTTGAGCTGCCTGACTTTGCAGAGCTGGTATCTACCTTCGCAGATGATGCGGAGAGCTTGGGAGATAGGTCCGAGCCCGAATCCCTGTCATACGGCTCTGATGAGTCCCCCAGCGGTTCGCCTGGAGAAGAGTTGGCTGATCCGGAATCTCACTCGCGAGCATTGCGACTGATTGTTCGCCTTGGACAGCCGTTCAGTGTGTTTTTGCTAGCGCAGCAGCGTGGTGGTGAATACAGGAGGATCGCGTCAGATCAAGTTATCACTGCACAAGTCAAAGACATGGCTTCTGTTCACAACATGATGGACATCAGGACCCTAGAAATCTTGTAGTACAACAGTTGCAACTCCAGTCCTAGTTTTATTGGCTAGTGCTACTACAATCTGTTCGGGTACTAGGGCTCCGTGAAAAACCAGGTTGTTTAGAGGTGTTCGACACCTGTCAATAACCCTAAATCTTGACATGCTCGATTCCCTTTTTTGAAATTAGTATCTTCCATTACTTTCTCCATCATACCATGAGCACCGAGCGGAAGACAGCACCTAATGCGCTATGGGCATACCTTCTCCAGAAGGATCTTCCGGCATCCAGCGACGTTGCTGCTACACCCATAATTCCTGCAATGGCACCGGTCGATAGGACCAACACCTCCATGCGAATGCTCATTCACGACATGCAGGCGACCCTCGAAAAGTTCTCCACGAGAGTGGACACTTTGCTTATTAACGTCAAGGACGCAAAGACTGAAGTGGTAAACTGTAACCGGATATCAGAAAGTGAACGTGAACGCGTGCTCGACGAAATCTCGAATAGTTGTGAGTGTGCGTTTGGATTATATGCTTTTGCAAACCATTTGAAACGCCCGTAAACGAGACGGATTATATTCTCATCACTTCTTTTAGCAAAGAAAATGCAAATCGAATTGAAGGCTTGCATAGGTGCACCATCGCAAGCATCATCTCTCGAGTTGGTCCAGAAATCACAGTCTTCAGCGGAAAACAGCATACAAGCTCTAGACAAGCGCATAGATGCAATTCAAACGGTACTTCATGTTTTTGCTACTAAGCCCGCTTTGTCTCTAGTACACTCAGCTGACAGACCGTAATTGCACAGCTCATCCAATCCCAGAATCATGCTATGCAAGCCATACAGGACCAGCAACATTCAATATTAACCGCGGTACTTCCACTTCTTCCGCTTGTACAATCCTTCCCTTTGCATGTGGACCAGGTCAAAACTTCCTTAGCCGATAATGTCTTGTCCAGTATCTCAAGTCTGAACCGCGACATTGACAGCATGAAGTCTACATTATCCAATCTATCCGCTCCTCCTAACAGCATACGGAGCGTTTTAGAATCAGCTGTAGCGGTTTCGCCCTCTCTTGCTGAGAATCATCCCACCCGCAAGCGCACTAATTCTTGTTTAAATCAAGACGACACACATTCAGGGCGCTCACTATCCGATCGGCCCCACTCTGTCGCCCCAGCGACGGGTAGCCCTCGCATAGATCATCATAAGAAGCCGCGATTGGATAGCGTATTATCTACTGCCTCAGCTCAGCTCGTGAGACCTCATACGGAGAATTCTCCGGCAAAACACGCCCCGGGTTTGCGCGAATCCCTAATTGCCGACGGGTTGACTTCCCCTGCGCGTAGCTCGGTTACCAGCAATGGCCACACTACAGCTCCAAGACCCAAACACACCACGAGAACGCCTCCCGCTGACATATTGCCTCCTCTAGTCAACCACGCCACTATACAATCTCGAAAGGCCGCTATCGAACCTTCTTCCGGTCCTGGAGTCGATTTTCCAACGAATGTTCAAACGATGTATGCTTCCTCTCAGTCAGGCGGGCATCCACTTCCATCAGCTCGAGCGCACGAAGCGATTCCCCCAGCATCAACCACTATACCAATCAGGTCGAATGTTTCTGCTACGGCTCCGCAGCCTGGCAACTTTGTCCTGGCAACTGCCAATCAAAATGGAAAGAAGATACCGGAATCAGCTGCTCCACCCATCCCTCTGCAACCGATCTCGAAGGCTATCAAGTCGGAAGAAGTTATCCGCTCGCCCCTGAGATGTTATATCTCCATTTCGCCGTCACCACTATCGTCTTTGTCTCTGTCTCCGATCCCGGCCCCAGCCCAATCCGCTTCGAAAACTCAGGTTCAGTATGCTACCGGTGGAATGGCACGGCGTCAAGTCACATTTGCTACGTCGAATCAGGCATTCACCTCATCCACCCGTCCTGGTTCTTCAGTATCGTCGTTACCTATGCTCGATTCCATGTCCGCATCAATGAGTTTGCGTGATCGACGCGCGCAGATGTCTATGGTGAGTGCCAGTACATGTTCACGGACGATTGGCTTAACATGTACTTTCAAGCTCGGACGTACTGCTTCCAGTGCAAAGCGCTTCATCCCTCTAGGCTCCTCCTCCGATGAAGAAGGTTGAAAACTGCATACATTTGTTCTTCCCTTGTTGCTCCTTGATCCTCGGTTTCACCAGTTGTAGATAAAGAGGCGCTACAAAAGGCCGGGATGATGTCCATTGATACTACAAAACTCACAATTCAAATATGCCCAACAGGGCTCACCTTCGAATCATACATCTTTGACTTGCTCCTCCAGCCAATCCCACAGCGCCTTGCCAAGTTGAGGGTCTTGGGTTTCCTGCCTAGGTGGTCTGACGCGAGCCCACGGCACAAGATACTAGATACCTTTCAGCACTGTAACAACATACAAGTCCAATCCCGAGATTCACCTTGCCATTTAAGCTAACAGCTTCTGGGGACGTAGCAGCATATAACTGCGTAAGGGCGCCTTGCGACACTTCATACAGTAGCACCTTGATCTGACAAGCCCATTAGCGTTGAGAATTTCCTCGAGGACTCGATGGATTACTAGAATCTGCTTGGCAACACTTGGAAGTTGAGCCATAGCGTGACGTGGCAGGTCCGAATTGATATTGCCAGGATTCAGTGCCGTTGAAATGATACCCTGGTCTCCATATCGCTTTGCCAATTCAAGAGCAAACACGACATTTCCCTATACCGTGATCAGTTTTATTCCGCAACGCCAACGGAAGTGCTTTACGAATTTGCTTTGGTTGTAAAGGCTACCCCTTGAGCATTTCTTTCGAGCCGGGCCATCTTTGAAGGTGTTAAAATCGAGACCTCCAAATAAATGGGCGCAGGAAGCGACGTTTACAACGCGGACTTTTCCTTCGGGAGTAGCTCTAGCCGTCGAGGTTAGAATGGGGAGCAGGAGCTTTGTGAAGTAATAGTGGCCTAAAAAGTATCAGCCCCTGGTCATCTCGATGTGATTGTCAAGTTTCCCACCAAGGACGTTCGTTCCAAATTGGAGGTCATAGCCATCTGCAGTTACTAACTCGATCGGCGGTGCCATAACACCACTCGTGATGTTCAGTACGACGGATCTCGTCGAGGTAAAAGAAAGTTATCTCACGCATTATTTAGAAGGATATGGAGCTGAGTCTCTTTGCTGTCGAATAGCTCGATTTGAAGTTGGTAAACCCTTGAATAGTGCACTTCTCACCTCAGGAACTCTTCAGCAGACGCCTTGATTGCCTTCAGATCACTAAGGTCAAGTTTCAAGAATATCGCTTCGTTTCCAGTCTCCTGCTTCAGTTGACGAATAGCTTCCTCTGAAGCAGCTTGGTTGCGAGCCGCGATGTAAACTTTCGCGCCATGTGCAAGTAGAACCTTGGAGTCCACGTCAACTACAGACCCTCAGCTTCGTTCATAAAAAGGCAATTCACTCTTGCGGTCTCCTTCCCAATACCCGTGTTGGCACCAGTCACAATAATTACTTTCCCTGTTAGGTCTGGAATTTGGTCAACGGAAAAAGTAGCCTTTGGAGGCGCTGCGTCGGTGACCCAAGACAAAAGATTGCCCATTGCTTCGATCAAGCAGTCTCTGAGAAGAAATCTCGTGGAACAGGTGTCCCACCGACAGTGACAGCTGCCGCTATTTAAACTATCCAAAACCCTAACCCCAATGCGGGGTTGCTGCCATGGTCGTGCACGACGGTCACTAACAGATGACGTGTTATGTACAACTACATGTGGTCAATATACAAGCCCGCTTAGCTCAGTGGTAGAGCGCGTCACTTGTAACGGATCATGAGATCCGAGAGATGATGAGGTCGGTTGTTCAATCCAGCCAGTGGGCAAATACATTTTTTGCTTATTCTTATTTCGTTGTCCTTCGAATTCCTAACTTGCCTTGATTTCGCCTGTGATACATAGTGCAAGATGTTGACCATCATATTTTCAGTATATCGGGTTTGGAGCTCATAGACTAGTGAGTCGCTAAATATATATGATCTAGTTACTGATCCGCAAATCACTGTATGCAAGTAATATTCAAGAACAAAATTTGGAAGAGTAAATACCCGCACAATGCCCACAAGAACTTGAACACTTGGGAAGTTACTCATTTTTATATCAAGCTGGCGTGCCCCGTTACGGCCTCCAATCCCAGCCACAGGAGGCATGGTTGCCGACCCACATATTCCCTGAAACCAATAACACTCGAGACATTTGTGTCAAGCAGCTGTATTATTAATGGGAGGTGTTAGCGCGGATGACCAGTTGCTGACTGGGTGGGACGGCATGCTCTGCTGGCACCTCCACACCACCTGCGAGAATGCCCACACGCATCATCCCAAGGAGCTACATGACGTAACATGCGAGAGTAAGTTGACAGCGGGCAACGGAGGATCAGAGTCGGTCATTAGCATCGTTGGATAAGCAAACAGTGCCATGTGGTACGCACGTTATGCGCTGCGTGAGAGTGAGCATAGACACCGCCAAAGAAAGATGCCGTCATGTCTTTCCCAGAGTTTCGTGTGAGTAAAACGGGTCCTCCCGGGTGATTATCAAGGAACATTGACACGTCGTGGATAAAACCTGATATGAGGAGAAGGGTCCGAGACTGGGACTCTTCCTGGACTATTTGCAAGGCACGATGCAGATCAATGAGTCACAATCGAACGTGTGCCAACATAAAGTCACTCACAGGTTTTCCACGAAACCACAGGAAGTTCTTGCGGAGGCACAGGCCATTCAATTGAGTCCTGGACGTCCTTGAGAGCTTTAATTTTCATCGTGAGTGCGCCCTTTTCAATTTCGTTGCTAGGGAAAACGCGGAGATGAGAGGCAAGACCGATATAGTGACAGACACTGATGAACCACTTGGTAGGGTCATACTGATACCATCGAAATGCATTCCTGGTGAAAAGGCCATGAGTTGTGTAAATGACGTTAAGAACAGCCCAATGAATGTCAGCTACTACCTGTAGTCCATGGGAAATTGATGGTGGAAGTTGTGGTACCCTTCTCCCATAGTAAGAATAGCGGACAAAAGATGGTCGCGGGGAGTATGTTTGTCATCGTACGGCGTAGTTCCGAGATAGTGAGCAATGGAGTTGATGCAAAAAGTGCACTGGGCTCAAGTCAAGTTTTGTCTTAGATGATGAAAAACATGGAACTCACGTGATGGCACGCGGTCATACGAAATGCACCAACGAAAAAGAATCCGCCTTTCCAGTCTCCCCACAACAAGCCGGGAATGACCATTGGAAGCAAGTACCCGAAAACGGTCAAAATGACAAAGTACCATCGGTGTTGCCATTGTACGACGGGGTCCTTGCTCAGGTCAGAGATATCAGCTGGTCCGGGTTTCAAGTCTGACTCAAAAATAATCCATCCGATGTGCGTCCAGAGGAGGCCTCGTCCTGAGTTGTACGGGTCAAGATCCGTGTCGGTATGCCTGTGATGCGAACGGTGCCGGCGTGCCCACCAATAACATGAGCCTTGCACTGCACTCGCCCCTGCAAGGATGAGGAACACCTGTAAGGGGAACGAAGCGTTATATGACCTGTGTGACCAAAGCCGGTGGTATCCTGGAGCGGCACGTTCTGATGATATGTCATGAAGGTTATCGCCACCACTCACCAGCAGTTATGCCTGGGGGAGCAAATTCAGCAGTCGGAAGAAGCGACTATTTCAGAACACCTACCAAGCATGGAATAGATGTAATAGAGGGTAGTGCAAACGATAGTCTTCCGAAGGACGGGAACATAAAGCAAGCCGTATAGCGAAAGAGCTGGCGTAATGACAAGGACAGAAAGGTTGAACCATCGTACGCCAGTGATGGTCGGAAAGCTCTGCGTCACATTCTTAATGAACATGTTGAACTGCCTCATCACTACCAACAACGCTAGCAGAAGAAGGTGCGACCAAGAAGAACAGAAGGACCTCGTTACCAGGAGAAAGATTATATGATTTTCTCCTACAGATTATGTACCATTGAGGCATGGCATTATGAAGGCCCGGTGTGACTGATTTGATCGGGCAGCGAAGATCAGTGGATGACATGTTATCGTGTGTAAAAGTGTAACTCAGACTCGTGGAAGACAAAGTTACTTGTGAAACTCGGACTTCTATGGAACGACGAGCCTGTCAATGTTAGTATTACCGATGTTTGATCCGAGACAATGAACAACAGCCTTGGACACTCACGCACAGGTTTCTACCAGACAGTGTATATATGATTATGCATCGAGTCCGTGTTGCCTTGAGATTCTTCAAGCTGTTTCATGGTCTCACCGAAAACAATATCCTATCTCGTCTGAGTGCCAAAGTGAAAGAATATCTGGGAGATAGATAGTGGGCGCGGCTTACACTGATTCGTCCAACATTCGTCTCTACGAGTCAACTCTGTTGCAATTGGCAAAGAACAAAAGAATGTCATGAATTAATTCCACTTTGGAACTGTAAGTATTTAATTAACTAGGCACCTCATGCTGTGCATTCACTAGATCCGATATGTGCCGACCAAGTACCGACATTACGATCTGGTTCAGACACCACGACAAGCCGTTTGACCCTCCTTTGTCTTATTCAAAAAGGTATTCGTCTGTCAAGCTTAAGTTGAGACCGATGCCAAATCATAAGATCGCTATATTATGACAAAGGTTATCGGTAAGTTTCGGCGGCCGTCAGAAGTGGGAGTCTCAGCGACTGCGCCAAGGAAAATGGTGGAGAGTCACTGTAATCGGTCGAACTATAACAGTCATCGTCGATGCATCATCTTTCAAATCATCGGTTTTTCGGTTAAGCACGTGGGTCGCATAACTCGTGCGATGACTGTCAGTGCTTATACGTGCAGACCTTGAGATGTCTGTTTCCTTGAACCAAAGTCAAGGAGAAATAGGACTAGTAGTGTGCACAGCCCGACTTCAAGCCATGGACCAGGCCAAGCCGAGCCAGATTGATTCAATTATTCTATATGAGCAGTGTAGTAGTAAAGTCAACAAATGATGCGGTACGCGCGAGACAGGTGAACCAAGGAATTAACCAGATGTGTTGGACCACATCATGATAATATGGCAACGGTAGCCCACACGTCCTCCCACCAACGTATTCTGATGTGCAGTCGGAACCAGACGCGAAAGGGGCCATCTTCCTGCACACGCTCGTCAGTGCTGAGTTCAAGTAAGCTTTGCACCCGACAATGTAAAACATCAATATTTTGAGTCATGCACCTATCCATCGTTTGTATTATTGTCAATAGCTCCATCATTTCTAAAAACCATGCTAGTCTTTCGAATCGACAAGCACTTACCCTAAGTGCTAAGGACCAGTCGACAGCTCGTTTACAACGATCGCGCCGTTAGAAGGGCATAATGTCCAAGTCGGCTAAAACTCCTTCAAGGTTCAAGTTGACAGATGCGGCCGCTCATTAATCATTGACCACCTCCTGGAAAGTCATACTTCATGCCAAGCCTCAAGGAGGATGGCTCGGATCTGGTATTGGCGTTGTATAGTTCCGCTCGCGGTTGCAATGCCCTTTTCCGAGACATTTAAACAGGTGCTGGCCAGGAGATAGGCCCGGATATTCGACTGCCGCTCCTAAGTCCTTCAATGTCCTTCAGTGCGAGTCAGCCTGACCGCCCTTAAATTTGTCAGGTTCACTGCCAAGGTCTAGGAAAGGTTTGTCTCACGCAAGTCTCGCAATTTTTTCTGGTTTGTACCTGTAGGGTTGTGGGACCCTGGCCACCGGTGTAGGTAGTTGGCTGGTGGGGTTGAACGTTATGTAACACTTGGCATCCCTGCTAGATTGCCAATCGACTAAGGCGGATGAGGCTAGCTAGGATAGAAATCGATAAAGTTAGGAGTACCAGGTATAGTACTTAGCTTGACGTCCTATTAATATTTCTCCTTCCTTAAAATGGCAGACCAACTAGCTTGATAGATCTATTATCTTGATACCCGACTTCTACATTGTTCAACCAACCACCTCTGTCTTCTATCGCAACAATGACACAGCTGAACGAATCTGAGCTCAATAAGCCAGGTGGTGTTGAGGGTTCCGGACAAGCAGGGATGCAAGGAATGGAGATGTTGGATGGCATGATTGCCGAGGCTCTCAAGGAGACCGTAGAGCGCTCCGATCCGCAACATCCTGATAATCGCAACGATGTCACTCAAGGCATCCATGGCCATTTACATCACTTTGCGCCTGGCGGCTCTAGCCACCACTTGTGGTTGAACAAATTCGTGCCTCAGCTGCAATCCCTCGCGGCCAAGTATCACGTCGGCAACTACGTCGCAATTAGAGGCACCAATGAACGAATTTTTGAAAGCATGCCGATCTATGCACGTTTGGGCATGCATATCTTATTTTATGGGAGGGAGCAGGTCAAACTCTTGGAAGGAAGTAAGCGCATCGAAGCACTCCTGATGGAGCAGAGCAAGCGCGAGGGTCAGATCTACGACTCCCCCGAGTCTAGAAGTCACATCCCGTCATTCATACATACCTACAACATCGACACAAACGAGCTGCTATATCCGCCCGAAAGCCCAGCATACAAGAATTTCAATGACTTCTTCTACCGGAAACTTAAGCCTGAAGCCCGCCCTGTGCAGAACCCTGATCATGAATTCTGCAGCGCCGCGGACTGCCGGCTTGTCGTATACCCTGCGGTACACGATGCGCAGACTTTTTGGATCAAGGGGGACGAATTCACAGTTCCTGCCCTCCTAGGACTGGACAAATCCGATCCACTCTGCCGGGCGCTTGAAGGTGGCTCTCTCGCGTCATTCCGCCTTGCGCCGTCAGATTATCACCGCTTCCACTCGCTTGCGGACGCCACTGTCATTGGTGAACCAAGGAATATTCCTGGACAGTATTTCACAGGTAAGGGGTGCTACCTGCAGCACTCAGCGAATGGTAATTTATCTTGAGCAGTCAACCCGCAGGCAGTCAACGAGAAACATCTTGACGTGCTGTCTGCCAACAAGAGATCAGTTCTCCTTCTAAACCACGACGCAACGAATAAAAAGATCGCATTCGTTGCAGTCGGTGCCTTGCTTGTTGGAAGCATCCAGTGGACCGTTTCGGTAAGTCCCCGGAATATGGTTATCTAACATGCCAAACTCACTTCCATCAGGCGGGTTCCAAGGTTCGGCGCGGAGATGAACTTGGATTTTTCGCGTACGGAGGCAGCACTGTCGTTGCTATCCTTGAGCCGGGGGTGGTCGAGTGGGATTCCGATCTTGTGGCCAACTCCTCACCCCCGAAGCGGGGTCAACTTGGAACCGAGACTATGATGAAAGTTGGTTGGTCTATTGGGAGGGTGCCAAAGGACAGGAAGTAAACAGAAACTGCCTATATGATATCAGTATTTCTTAAATGTGAGCGTGTTCTATTTGCCCAATCATGTATCACCACGGCTTCTGAACCATTCAAATACGTGCACAAGTGAGTCTGCAAGTTATTCACGCAAGCCTACCCCACCGCGGGCCAAACTAAAGAGGAGGGCAAGCTAGAATTGGATAGAAATGTGCCTTGGGTAAGTGTGCGACGCCGCAGCCATAGCTCCGCAACTTGGTATTTTTCAAAATAGCCTGCAAACCTCGACACTGATATGCATAGCAAAATGTGAGTTCCAGCGCCATGAGATAGCTGGTCGATTGATCTCTCAACGAAGAACAAAACTTACTGTTATTCTGACTGCACCCTGTATTCTTGCCCGTCGCCCGCATCATGGAATAAGCAACTTGTTCCTTCGGACTCTGAAATTTGAAGGATGCAATCTACTTTGTGCACAGTACGTAAGTAAGTATTTCATCGCTAACATTTCCAGACCCTTCATTCACATTACAATGCTTTTGCCACACCACTACGCTGCTACACCACAATTCCCGTCATCAATCACAACAGTACTGGTTTGAAGGGATACCGTTGGACAAGGTGTAACCTTGGATGTCCGCAGCATATCCCGAGCAATATATCCCGCGCGCTATCCAGGCGCATGACAAGATGTTGGTAGGTAGTCCCTGCGCTGTGTACGGCCCGCGCACCAAGGGGAATGATAGCTGTTAATGCCAAGAAGATGGTTGTCAATAAGTCCACCTAGACCATCAGTGTCATAAGTTGAATCCGCAGCTTGGCGAGTTGACTCTTACTGCGAGCTAAAGCACAGATGAGTTTTTTTCGTTCTATTTGGTCAGTTCTGGGCTCACGCACTTTATAGCTGCTGCTCGTCAAAATATTAATCCCTAAGTTCAAACTCAGGATTCACGCCAGCATCATGAGCATGCATGCACAGAATCTAGCAAAGTCCGCTGAGGCACGCGTATTTGTTCATTTTGCCCCTCCGTTTAGGGCCGACGGTCGCATGAACATCAATCAAAATTGATTCAAATCCTGTAAGACTGCTGCCATCATTGCTTGTCCGCATCATGTCAGACAGTGGGGGAGCAATTTTCCCAGTCTGTCTCGATCAATATTCTACCTCACCATATACTATTGCTATACATATATGACGCACCATTTGGATCAACGTCAGGTTCCTTGACAGGATGATAGACGTTGGTTTATTGTGCTGCAGTTTCTCACCCTTCATGCGCCGCGTTCGCTTCGAGTTCAATATCGTCTGCTGCTTCCGGTTTTCCTGCATCTTTCTCATGTATATTCAATGGAAAGCAACGTCTCATGCACATGCTTGAACTATCTTCTCCATTGCAATCGTGATCTGTTCAATTCAAAACAGTCTGTCACATCTACAAGATACCTCGCGGTTCCTATTTTCGCGAGCAAGATGGACGATAATCTCGAGTGCTACAACTTTGTCTATAAAAAATTGTTGGCAGTAGAAGAATCCTGTTTAACAAGACATGGCAATAACTCATAGGTATAAATAACTGAAAAGTTTGAGGTGCAAGCCGGGCAAATAAAGTACTTCGAAGATCGCATCAAGCCCTGCCATTTTGAGATCCGCTTGACTCCTTCGATCCCTCCCTACCTGTAGTCCGAAAGGTTACAAGGGCATCCCATGCACGTCCAGAAGTTATGCTATCCATTGCTAGCGCAACCCCTTCTTTGAAGTCCGAAGCTAAGCCTGCGACAACCAAAAGCGCCGATGCGTTCAGCAATACAAAGTGCAAAACGGGAATCAGCGACTCCGGTATGTCACTACCCGAGTTGAGCAGTGCCTTGAATGTCCCTGCATTCTCCATCGGCGTCCCGCCAGCGACGGATGAGAGTGGATGGACGCTTAGTCCGAAAAGCTCTGGATGCAATTTGATTTCCGTAATTTTGCCATCCTCTAATTGCCACGCGTGTGTGTCGCCGGCACAGCTAATCTCATCAAGCCCCTCGGCTCCACATACCACGAGGGCACGCTCAACACCGCCCTCACGGAGAGACTGAGCAAACGTAGGACCAAGTTCGCGCTCAGCCACGCCCAAAACCATTCCTCGTGGACGTGCAGGGTTTATAAGGGGTCCAAGCACATTAAAGAGCGTTCTGAAGGGTAAGGACTTGCGGTACGGTGCAATCATAGCGAGTGCAGGATGGTAATGAGGCGCGAGGATGAAGGTGAATGGTACTTTAGGTATGGGAAAGGGAGTACCTAATGAAGGGGCAGTGAATGAACAGTCAAGGGATTGCAAAAGATCTGCCGATCCGGACGAAGATGTGGAAGCCTTGCTTCCATGCTTGTTGTTTGACTCATTAGATAAATTACTGCAGCAGATGCAGAATAAGCTTACCTTGATCACTCGAGCGCCTGCGCCTGCGGCAACGACGGCTGCCGTGGTACTAACGTTGAACGTGTTGTGACCATCTCCTCCAGTTCCAACGATATCGACAACAAAATCCGTGTCTCCATCTTCGATGGCTGCTTGTAATGCCCGCGCCCTTAACACTTCAGCGGCCGCAGCGAGGGATTCTGGGCGTCTTTCCACTCTTCCTATGTGGAGGGCAGCGAGGAATGCACCTATTTGTGCGGGAAGGGTAGCATTTGGAGTAAAAAGGTGATCAAGTGCAAGTTTTAGGTCTTCCGGAGTGAAATACTCGGGAGTCTTGACGAGCTTTCCTAGCAGGATTTTGAAGGAATCGGGAGTATATTCTGTCATGACACGCTGGGTTGTTCGAGTAATCTACATACAATAGTACTTGCACCCACTTAATTAAGGCCACGTTAAAATCTGAAACAGTAAATATAAAGCCGGGCCCGGTTTCACTGGTTATCAAATTCAACAGTATGGTCACCGTGCTGTGATTAGCATCACGCTTTTGGCCCGTTATCATTGCGTTGTTATATTCGAGGGTGTCGATGTCGTCGCTTCGCGCGATCTCTGTGCCTTGCATCAGAGGACTAGTGAGCCGCAGATCCTTATTGTCATATACTAGGAAAGGTTTTTGTTACATTGGAATGTAAAGTCATATATATAAAGCCACATCAGTGGGATATTGTGAGTTATGAAGCCCTTCGTAGCCAGCGGAAGCACGGTAGCAGATTCCGGTTCGGTAACAGTCGACTATTACAGAATCAAACTGTTGTGTTAGAAGTTAAGACACGAAACACGCTCAGTGTTTGGAGACAACGACTAGATAGTTTTAACACCTAAGACACGAATTCGAACACGCTAGGAGGATGTAGTAAGAGACAATTAACCATACCTCACTGTTTTTTTTAGTTCCCATCGGGGTAATGTACCCTACATATGTCGGACAGTACTATCTAGTCTAAAGGGCCCCTGCCCTGTCTACATCTCTGGATTCACGAATGTCCCGACGTGAGGTTGCCCGGTTCCAGACGTGGAGAATGTGGTTCGAAGTTAACAGAACCGTGCCTGTTTGAGAGCCATTTTGGGCGACCGAACATCATAGGGAGCTCCCGGGGGCCTACTTGATCTTTTCTTTACCGGTGCACCCCACAATGGCAGCCCTGCTGCAAACGGACTTGCCAGACCTTCAACTTCTTTCCAGGGGAAAGGTCCGCGACGTTTATGCAACTTCGTCGCCCGATCATCTATTGTTTGTCGCAACCGACCGGATATCGGTGTACGATGTCATCCTCAACAGTGTTCGTGGATCTCTGAACTCTTTTCTGCCTAATTCCATGTACTTTGCCTCTAGGGTATCCCAGACAAGGGCAGACTCCTCACAAGCATCTCGCTGTTCTGGTTCGAGAAGCTGAAACATATCATTCCTAACCACCTTGTTACCGTCAATATCGATGAGATGCCGGATGAAGTCCGGCAGTACCGCGAGCAACTCGAGGGCCGCACTATGCTTGTAAGAAAGGCTCAAGTAGTGCCCATGGAAGCGATCGTCAGAGGGTACATCACTGGTGAGTTGATTCGTCATCCGGATAATCTCCTGGAATCGCCGGGATGAATTTGTGAACAGGATCAGCCTGGGCAGAGTACCAAAAGTCGCAGACTGTCTGCGGTATCCCAATACCGGAGAAGATGGAAGAATCCCAAAAGTTCCCGACACCAATCTTCACTCCGTCCACCAAGGCTGAGCAAGGCGCTCACGACGAGAATATCTCGCCTGAAAAAGGTGATATTGTTGGTATAACTTGTTTAAAGTCACTCATGCGCATTTTATCAGCTGCTCAACTCATCGGTCAAGATCTATTCGACCGTGTCCAGGCTGCGTCTTTGCAGCTATATACGGCTGCTGCTGAATATGCAGAATCATGCGGACTTATTCTCGCAGACACGAAGTTTGAATTTGGTCTTGTTCCCTCTACTTCTGTTGGGAAAGACGAGCTCATCCTTGTGGATGAAGTCCTTACGCCCGATTCGTCGCGATACTGGCCCCGAGACCAGTATGAACCTGGAAAAGGACAGCCAAGCTTTGACAAGCAGTATGTCAGAAATGCGTTGACTGCTGCTGGATACAGAAAAGGATTAGAGAGTGGACCAAACGGGAACGGCGAGGGATGGGGAATCGACGACACCGTCATCGAGGGGACTCGAAAAAGATACAAAGAAGCTGAACAAATGCTTAAATCGCTACACTTATAGAAAACTCGTCTAAACTATTTGTGTACCTCGGTAATGAAGAACGAGTGTGGGGAAAGAGAAATTCCTAATCGACTAATCATTATTTTGATGCTAGCATCTCCTTGGGTACGGAAGCACATGCGGCGATCAAACTTCATCGAAGATCCTACATCTGTAAAACACCCCAGTTCTCACTTAGTAGTGTAAGAAGTTTGATCTGTTACTAATGCTTACAGTTCAGTGATGGAGCCCTCTGATTGGTGGAGATCGTGTAGTAATGATGTAAAACCTTTAGATATTCGGATAGTGTATAAATTGATAGATTGTCCGGACAAGATAAAGATCAAAAGAT